ATTTCGTTTTTATTGTTATTTGAGTTCACTTGAGATAAATTCACATTTTAGATACTTTACTGTAATTATTTCAAAGTACAAGTACTTTAGCAAATAGAAAAAACTGAAAAAACAATTAATGTAAGCAACAGTTTGGATCCGAAAAGTATTCTTGAGTAGTATTTAGTTTTCGTAATCTCTTTTAAATCAATTGTTGATTCAAAGCCACTACGAGTGCAAATATATCAGCTATGATTACACTTTTTAATTAACTGTATGCAAATTTTCCGCTCTGGGTAACTTTATGGGTGCAGAAGAAAAAGTTAAGCTTGTTTGGAAATATTTATTTTCAATTCAAATCCAACAATAGTGATTCAAATGAACATCGATCGGAGGTTCATTTTCCAAACAGCAGAAAAGCTAAATCGATTGATTAATCAAGAGATTAAAAGCAAGCAATTCTTCAAATTACAACAAAGTTATGCCACAAAAATGAATGAATCGAGTAGCCAGTATCTGTGTGGGAATCCCGCCTTCTCACTTTCTGTTTTCTGTTCATTGGCGGAGCGTTAATTCAAGAGCTTAAGCTGCTCTACGTCCATTTAATGGCCATAACTTGCATGGTTGTAGGTGTGCTTTGTAATTACTATGTACTTGTAGTACTCGTCCTCCACTCAAAGTTATGGCCAGTCATTCGCAATTTCTTCAGTTGAAGATGAGGCAACGCCGAGCAGCCACTGAGCCATCAATTAGGCAGACAATTTGCAAAGTGTTTCATAACTGGGCACGGCCAGGTGACGATGAAGCCCCTCACCTGTTCACCCGCTCAGACCCCTCCAGTCGGTATAAAATCAGTGGCAAAAATTGTGTGAGTAAATCGATGCGAGTTAAATCGACTTGGACGCGTCCAAGTTGCAAAACACGCCACATTCGGCCAAAAACAATGTAATGCCAGTGGCCAGTGGCCAGCGGCTAAAGTTAGTGTGGACGTCGACGTCGACGTCAGCGTCAGCGCCGATTCATCATCGGCAATACACGGCTCTGACTTTGACTCTGACTCTGACTCTGGCTGTGGCTCTGGCTGTGGCTCTGGCTGTGCCGGCCAGTTGCATGTTCGTCCACAGTTTCCAAGCGAATCGCACGAAATCCGCAAACAAGTTGGGCCAACAAGACAAACACTTTCACTTTGGCCGCACAGGGCGCCGATGTTTTGCTTATTGTTGTTTGTATTGTTGTTGTTGTTGGACGATATCGGACGCTTGCGTAAAATGTCGTGCTTGGCTTATTTTGTTGCTTTATTTTAATTCACTTTTGGCAAGCAACTCAAAAAAAACATATTCCAAAATACCTAATAACGAATATAGGATGGGGACGGGGATGGGGACGGAGAGGGTTAGACAGAAATCATAAAACAAAGCGTCGCCAAGAAATGGAAAACACAATAATAATAACAATAATGATAATAAACTTTTGGGGCGCTTGCTCCACACACACACACACAGTGAGACACGAGGCAAGTTCATTAGCATGTTCGTGACGATGGGAAATATATTTTATTATAATTTTTATACCATATCCAAGTATATGCCAGAGGCGTTAGCGACCATTTCAACTATGGACGCATGCTTGAGACCTGAACAGCATTCCCACAATTGTGGAAATTGTTGGGAAATTCGCACGGCTTTTCCATATGTTAACACCAAGTATAACACAATAAAGTGTGAACGAACTGTAGAGTGCACTAAAAAGTTTTAGAAGTTTACCTCTGCTTCTTCACAAATAAACCCAATTTATTCATGTAGCAATTTCATTCTTAGAAGAGCCCATTTTTAAAGTGAATTAGTGAAGCTACGTTTACATACTATAAAGCTTTAAATAGGTCTCAATATTAGATTGTAGATCTATTTAGTCTTAAGCTCTATTGATAAATGCTCCGAGCTAGAAGTACTCTCCTCCTCAAATTTTAGATTGTGTAGAGGACTCTCCCAGTTCTAGGCGATGAATAAATAAGCAAGCCTAAATGCCAAACTTTCCAACTCTATTCTAAACGACATTTTTCAAGTCTCATTCTCTCTTGATCAGATGGTTTTATGGAAACACAAATTTCAAAAAAATTCATTTACAGTCTTTAATCGTCTTCGTGGAATTTTTTCAAATAATGGTATTACAAGACTTATAAAGGGATAGGGTAAAAAGCATTATATAGTATTTTTATTAATCTCAATAGTACTAGGTTCATGACCTCCTTAATCGAAGCTTTGCCCAGCCTTACCTCTGCTGTTTTGGTTCCAACTCTATATGTACTTGTAGAGTGGCTGGCTTTTTTATTAATTGGGCAACATTTATTTATTATTATATTTCACTATTTATTGTAATTCCTATGGCAGAAATATACTTACGTCTGTTGTGGGTTTGCAATACGCCATTAGATTCATTTAAAGGTCTATATTTTAGAATGTTATGTGATATTAATACAAGTATTACATCAACTAATTCGTATATAATATTCTTATTTCCTGTAGACCTATAGAAATCCAGTTTTAATAGCACACAATAACAGAAACGGCCCGTGGAAGTTAAGAGTAAATATCGGAACTAAACTAAAATTTCTGAGGTTTTAGGCGTAATCCTAATTTTGAGCAAAAATATATAATGTACAATATGTAATGGTTTTCTAAATCTTAAATAACTATTTGTATATTAAAGAAAAGCATTTCTTAACATAAAACGTTTATAAATTTTGGAGAATATGGATATTTGTCTGAGTGAAGGCAGACTTTGCAACATTTCTAGTGAAAATTTCGTTGTACCTATTACTTTCTTTAAGCTCGGCATGTGTTTTGGATCATACGTGACTTGCACCCATGTCGGCGTATTTTAGCCGGAATTCCCCCTACTGTGGCTTTCAAACGAAGGTACTTGACCCATCGCAGCTCCAGGGCCCTGACCAATTTGCAAACCCATAAAACAAGCGACCTTAGACAAAATGAGCTCAACCTCACGTAGACTTCAAGTATAGAACGATATGTTAGACTAGAAAAATATATAGTATATCAAATAAAAACATATATACTATACATATACTCTCACATATATCTCTTTAGATGAATAACAGCTGCCTGGTTATATCATCTGCGCAGATCGCTAATGCTGGCGATATGAAAGTTATGCGCATATACGTCACACTGTCGGCCTTATTGTGACACTTTTGTGGTGGCTTCTCCATTGTGTAGGTCTCCCAATCTCCCAATCAGCTTTTAAGCAATTACGTCTGGCAGACGCTAATAAGAGGGCGCGACTATGGCGGGAATTGAGCGGAACAAGTGAGAAAAGCATACTCAGATAAATGTATATAGTATATAGTAGGTGTGTGTATGACATGAATCGGTTGCTTGTTTCTGTTTAGAGCAGACAATTGCTTGCACACATGTTCTCCATATAGTATGTTCGAATCGAATCGAATCGAGGTCGTCCCTATATACTTGTACATAGTATATGGGTAACCTTAAATGCAAGCTGGTTTTTGTCTGACGATCCAGCTGAACTCGAACAGCTGCAGCTGGCTCTCCAAGTTTCGGTGCCTTTTAAATAAATCAAAATCACAGCCATATGGAATTTCTAAGATATGCTCGCACAACAACAAAGTGGGCGGCATTTACCAAACGCCCCCCGCACACTTTTCACTCAAATCGATGGGCATACGAGTGTGTAAGAAGGGCCTGGTGTGGGTTATTTAAAGGCTGGGTCAAGACGGGGCTCGGTACGGTTCGTGCAAAACTTAAAACAGGTACCAAACCCACAACAATAGTTTCTAACACTTGTGGCACACGATTTACACGGTTCACAACGACTAGGGACTGACTGCGAAGACAATTTAAGTTAAAAAGTGACAACAATGGTAACTTTCTCAAATGTACAGTCGCAATTAGCACTCTGGGCCTCATTATCCAACATGGTGCAGAGAAGTTCTGAAAAAACTCTTGTTGCTTACACCTGTGTATGAAAAGTAACCGCAATTTGAACAGTAAAGTTGTAGAAGAGGAGATTAAGAACTACTTAGAAGAAGCTCTGTGCTCTATAAATATACTATACTAAGTATCAAATAAATTAATATTTCACTTAGTCCTCTCCGCTCTTTTTTGGCCATCAAAAGACAACTATAAAATACTTGTAAAGTTTTTTAAAAAATCGAATCTAATTCGTAAATTATAGTTCTATTACAATTCCATAAATTCTAATTCATTGTAATAAATCATATTATTTTTAAGTTAAGCTTAAGGTCACGACGCTATAGATTAGACCACCATAGCTTATCTGTAATTTGAATTACCTTTAAGCTGTATATAAATAAAATAAATAAACTCCCTGCAATGTCGCCAAGTATAAATATATATAAATAAAGATAGTCGTGGCTATTTCTATATCAGAATTCCAGAGATGTTCCCTTAGCTAAACTGAATAGCATTCTTCCTTGATTCACTTGGTGCTTAAGTTTTAAATTTAAAATGGGCGAGGAAGTGTGAATATAACAGTTCAGATTCGATTTTTTATTTAGCTGAATAAAAATGTTCCGCTCATGGGTGCAGAAGAAGGGTTAAGAGTATTGTTTGGAAATATTTCGACAATTTCAAATCCGGCGATCTAAAGTTAATCTTTTCTGCAGAAGAAGGGTTAAGAGTATTGTTTGGAAATATTTCGACAATTTCAAATCCGGCGATCTAAAGTTAATCTTTTCTGCAGAAGAAGGGTTAAGAGTATTGTTTGGAAATATTTCGACAATTTCAAATCCGGCGATCTAAACTCCATCTTAACGAACCAAGTACTCGATGTGTCCTTTTTTGATATGTTCATCAACATAGGGTCCGCAAATCTACGAATTCGACCCATAGTACATAACGACTTGGTGAATATCCTTGTTATACCTATAGACATATGTACATACATATATGTATGTATGTATATTACTTTTTAATTTAACGACAACCACACAATGACAAGCAATCGTATTCCATTGGTTCAAGGTAGTTGGCTGCTAGTTGGTAAGGAATTGGCCGTAATCGCAACCTTGTCGTAGCCTTGCATACACGTGGCCCAGGCGAAAGGATTAAATAGAAACGAATACTGGAACAGACAAACTTCTCGCAATATAGGAAGGAGCTGGTGAGGCCGTTGGGCACGGCCTAGAGGGACGCCATGCACCCGAACCCACATCTGCATTCGCATCCGCAGCCTCATCTGCAATTGAAGCTGCAACCCAAACAGATGAGACGCCAACGCCAACGCCAAAAACAAAAACAACACAAATCAACACCATCTGAGGCACACAGAATGAGTTGCAATTTCGAGCTGAAGCGACGGCTGCAGTTTCTCGCCTCTCTGCTGCTCTGCGCCCTGCTCGGGTATCTGACCTCAACGGCGGTGGCGAAGCCGACGTTATCCTTCAGCCTGCCCCAGGGACTGCAGGGTTTTCCCTCATTCCAATCCTTCACACAGCAGCTGATCGAGCAGCGCAGTGCGCGACAAATCAAGACATACAGGTGAGTGGACACCACTGGGAGTGGATTGGAGTGTGCTCTGATGAGGTGGGGCGGGGCGGATTAGTAAGTGGTCTGCCGGCCCATCATTGGTACGCTCGGAGTATCGTGTGGTGGCATTCGAATTCACGTCACCTGTCAGTAGCTTTGTAGTTTTCACCAACCATGCTGGCTTACCATGGCCAGCACGTAGTAGACAGCGTCTATAATTGATTGATATGCATCTGGCCATGTGCACACGAATGCTGATTATAATTGTCATTCTCTCTCTCTCTCTCTCTCTCGATGTCTCCCTCTCTCCTGTGGTTTGTAGTGGCCAGCGCGTGAGCAATGACTCGCTGCTAATGATCTACCACCACGATCGGACCATTGCCGTCACAGAGCTGGGACCGCAGAAGTTGCTGCTCAGCTGCGAGCTCATCGAAATATAGTGAGTAACACACACACACACACACACACACACACACACACACACACACACACATATGTACAGTAAGACTTACCTCTAACGAATACGTAGTTAAGTCAAATTTATTAAAGTTACCTTTTCAATTCATCAATAAAATGTTCCCTCAAGCACAACCTGAAAGAACTCAAAAGATTCCTACAAGTACAGTCGAAATGATTTTCTTCATAGTTATGGGTGGGATAGAAGTTTTTTTTATTAAAAAATTTGTACTACATTTGATCGTTATCATTATTATTTAAGAATTGTACTGCTACCTAATGTGGCAGCTAAATCCAGTTGTACCTTAAAGGGGAGTACTGCAATTATTCATAGACTGCATCTTTAGGATTGCACTTAAATCTAATAACTATATAAAATACAAATTATTTGCATTATAGTGGCATAGAAGATACTCGTACAAAATTTGTACTGTATTATACTTTTATTTATACTTTATTAAACAATTGTACTGCTACCTAATATGACAGCTTAATCCAGTTGTACCTTAAAGGGGAATACTACAATTATCCATAAACTACACCTTTAAATCTAATAACTATATAAAATATAAATTATTTGCATTACAATGGGATATAAGATACTCGTACAAAACAAATAGTTCCGAACAGTATTGAAGGGTTTTGCAATATTTTATTGACATATTGAAACTTTTGGGGGAGAAACCGGTATCTCGGAAAGAATAACAGATTCACTTAAAAAGCTCAAATAATTGCAATTCACCATGAAAAAGTTGCCTATAATCAGAGGTTGAGCGGGTCCGCAACACAAGGCCGAGTTATAAAAGCGTGCAATAGTTTTGAAACAATACCTTGATCTCTTTTTTGTCTTTTTATTTTTTTGTAACACGCAGCAACGACAAGGAGGGCGAAATGCTGCTTGATAGTTTGTCGCACTATAATCGTCCGCTGGAAATTAAATTCGAAGAGATGCTGAAACTGATGGATCAGTGCGAGCACGTGGATAAGATGACATATGCATCGCGTCACAAGGGAAAGGCCGCTGACAAGGTGGCCGAGGAGGGCGATGGTGCTAATGGCATGCGCAGCACTGGAAGCAGCCCCTCCAACAGTGAGAGCACCTCCCTCAAGCTCGCCGCCCACATCTTTCCCCGTAACCCGTTCACGCTGCTAAGCGGCATTATACCTGGTAGGCTAGGAATAACAACTTTACAAATGGCATTCTGTTCGACACTCTCTTGATCAACACTCTATTGCAGGCACCAAGTGGTGCGGCACCGGCGACATTGCCGAAACGTACAGCGATCTGGGCACCGAGATGCGAATGGACCGCTGCTGTCGTCAGCATGATCTCTGTCCGGTAAAGATACGCGCCTATCAAAGCAAATACGAGCTGACAAATGATTCCATATATACCAAGTAAGTCCTATCGCCTGAACACAAAATAAATGTTCAACAAAACAAAACAAATTCGCGGGCAGAATTTAACAAAATTTGATTGACTCAGATGATCGTTATTTAGGAATTACTGAGTTAATACGATTTACAAGTATTTCCCGCTGCAACAATTCCCATTATACACTGTAACTGGTATGTAGACTTGTCTCATCCATGCGCAGAGCGGGTTTGTTAGAAAACATATTTCTAAGGTTTCATTCGTTTATATAGCTGACGTCAGTATCAAAAACTTCAATGCTCATCTTCAGCAAAATTTGCAATTGTGAGTTCTGTATAGTGCCTCACCATAATCTCAAGTTATGACATAATCAGCAAACTAAATCATATAGCTTTTATAGGAATGATTGATGCAACCAAGTGTAATTTCGTTGAAAGACTATGTGGGTACATGGTATTGAAGAGTCGAGTTAGCTAGGTGTACATACTTGCATCTGAGATATAGCATCTTTGTAAAGATGAATCAAAGCCACCTTTTTGTCAACGTGGCACTTAAAACTAACCAATTAATGGCCTACAGAGATTGCATTTTCTCAACCAAAGGCTAGTCGCAAATAAAGCTATTGTAGAAATTAAGTATTTATTACCAATACCTGAATCAGAACATCCTCTATATAAGGGTCCTAAAACTGGCAAAGATGGGGGAATAGAACCTATTCTTCATTTTTGGAAACTATTTGATGAACATTGTTTCTTCAAGAAAAGTGTGAATGGCATTTGTTTCAAAAAATTATGTGTCGTTAAGCTGAACATTTTGGAGTCTTTCCATATCCATCATACTCCCAGCTCACAATAGGAAACCATTTACCAATGAATATTATAAAGAAATTGTTGAAATACAGGATAACGATCGCATAAATAAAAGCCAACTTTATTTATGTTTCAAAATGTTCAATTAAAGTTTAGATTTATTATTTCCTTATTGCGCACAGCTTGCGAGTTGCCGAAAAAACAAGAAATGTCTACACATTAGCACAAAAAGTAATTTTTGAAAAGTTAACGGTTAATGCATTTCTTTTATCATTGTTGCTCTTGCCTTCACATATATTTTACACAATCTGGCAACGACATACTGCAACAACGCCGCAGTGGCCAGATTGATATTCGATAGAATTGAATGTGCATTATCAACAGAAACGATATTTAAATATAAAATATATTTGTATTCGCATTTTCCCTTAGATCTCACTGCATCTGCGATGACATGCTGTACTCGTGCCTGAAGATGACAAACACCTCGGCCTCGCAGCTCATGGGATCCATTTATTTTAATCTGGTGCAGGTGCCCTGTCTGGATGGCCGCAATAATCAGTACAAGTTCCGTGCGGCCAAGGAGGGCTTCTGAGGTGCTGGCAACTGCAACTGGAGCGGGGTTACTGGCCAACTGTACTAGCGCACTGGCCAATTGTATATACATAAAGAGCTTAACATAGTTGGTACGAGAATTGTTTTTGATCCTTATATTTCTTTCTGTCCCCTTAAAATAGCTGCAAATACACAAACATACACATAGAGAAAAAGGAAAGGAAACGACTTTAAATATTAAATATTTATTGAAATACAATTATTACGGCGTTTTTTATTAATTAGATTATTGTTATGTGTAGTAGGTAGTGTATTTGTATGTATATATGTATATATACTTATATTATTATAAAGTAGCATTTGCTTTTGTTATACATAAATATATAAACATTTCTCACGATTTCCAACAGTTATCCTTAACGTCATATGCCGTGTTGTTAGCCCAACAATCCAACAATGAATGAGAAATAAATAATAAATATTTTAGTTTTCTCTTCAATATTAACCTCTCACAGATTACAGATTTACTTTACCTTAACTACATTGTTGTAGTATACAAAAAAAAACAAAAAAAAAAAACTGTTTAGATTCCCTTTATATATATAAAAAATCATTCTTTCTTTATTATATGCGCGCTTTGACTAATAACATTATATATAATAATTACACATACATACGTACTTATTTACATACATATGTAATAATGATAATAAGCCCTCAAAATTAAATTGTAAACAAAATGGCGTAGCAGGACATCCGATATTAGGTTCAGGCTAATTGCAATTTGTTCTCAAGGTACATGGAAGGGTTACCGATTGGTCGCTCACACCCCAGCGCCAATTTTCAGTTTCCAATCGCCAGTCGGCAGCACGTGGCACAACAATACAGGGGGAGGGGCAGACGTCAACGGGTGATGTTTAGTGGGCGGCGAAGATAGGGCCCCCTAAAAAATGCTCGCCACATTCGGTCCCGGCTGGGAGTTGGTAGGCGTGGGTTGCGTGGGTCTGTCGATGTCCTGGTAGCTGCGCTGCTGGCCGGTGGGGAATACCGATCCGGTCTGAAGGCTTCCTCCGCGGGTGTTAAACTCACGGTAGAGCAGAGCGACGCTTATGGGGCGCAACATCAGATTAATAATGGCGAATGCTATGGCCCAGCCATCTGCATGAAAAGAAATGGAATGAAGGGTTTTTTTTTTAGTTGTTTTCGCTGTTGATCTTGTTTATGGTCGCGATTATAGCTTCTACTATATAACGTTGAACTCACTCATGGATGCGAAAAATACGATAATGCAGACTAGGTCAAAGAATATGCTAGAAGCGTTGATGACGAGCGCCTGCAAATACAGAAGATATAAATGCAAAAATGTGTTGATGAGAGTTTTACAATTGGCGACACATGTCAGATTTTCGGGAGAGGGGAGCTACGACTAGCAGATGTGAAATGCTGAGCTTGATATGAGCGATCAGTGCACACAATCAACATTTTATTTATTTATTTATTTATGTCAACAAACATTGACTGCCGACATAGGAGGAAAATATATACAAATTATAAAAAGCATCTTATAAGCTAGCTTAGGCTTTGCTGGAATTACAATAATATCTAATTAACGCCTCCGAGCCGAGCATCTTCGACTAGCTTCATATTAATACCTGCTTTTAACATTCTTCAGGCTATCTTGCCAATTTATAATTATAGTCTTATGGCACCATTCTAAATTAGACTACACCGGAAGCTACAGTGCAGTTATTAAAAACTAGGGAACCTTTTTATACCGGGCTTACCAAAAGATCTGAGCTGCAATATCGATATTTTGAGCACAAGTGTTATCCTGACATTTATAAAAGTCATTATTGACGTCTTGCAAGCACCGCTTAATATTTTATACAAGATTACGATTTCGTGACTGTCCTAAACGCCCGATGCCGAATTCATAAGTGTAAAAGGGCCTACTAGCAAGTCTAAGCTTCAATTGTGTGTAACAGGCCGGAAAAAGCGTGGTAGTCCCCGTTTTAAAGGTTTAAAGTAGCTCGTTATGTAGACTTGTACTATATAATCCATACGGAGATCTAGTTCATTAGCAACAATATATATACTTGTAACTTAATTGTTTTATATAGCTGCCATAGCATCGATCCGTGCAAAAATCAACTCAAACAAAAAAATCAAAATGAACTCTTTTGCTTTTTACGATATCGCAACACAATTTGGTGTTTTTATAATCCATCAGTCTCATCGAAATACATATACAATTATTGCATAGACTGGTTATACCTATAAGAATCGACTTTTAGCTGAATTTAATAAGAAGAAGGTTCTAATAAATTCCTACAGACTAGGTAGACTGTGAACTATTCAAGTATATCCCTAAATGTTCTTGCCAAGTTATCACTGTCTCTCCACACCAAACTTTTTATGGGATCGTTGGTTTCTTGATTGTCTATGTGAGACATTCTAAGACAGGCTGTCCAGAAAGGTAATTAATGTTTTCCTTTTTTTTCTCGAGTTAATTGTCAGTTATAAAAAAAAGCAACTAAGATTATCTATCTTTCAAAATCATCATGGGAGAGAGAATGTGCTGGAAGATTTCTTTGGCTAGGCTGAATTATTTGTATTTGGTATGCGGGAGTAATAGAACAAAATTATTTCGATTGTTAATTCGAATTAGGGATCACTTTTTAATAACACATGTCCCTCACGTCTGTTTTAAAAGTTCTCGATGTTGAAAGGGAAACACAGACAGACGGACGCACGTACGGGCATGTCTTTATCGATTCGTCTCGTCGCGCTACATGCATTCAAACTTTTCTTAACAGCCCGTCTTAGTTTTTAGTCTAGTGTAGAGTACTGCTAAGGGATTGTTGTCGGCTATTGGGTAAATTTGTGCAAAAACTCAATAAAGATGGCTTTGCTAAAGCAGCAGCAAAGCATTTGCCACCAATTGATTTTTGAAATCGTTTTTGGGAGTAATTTTCAGATTACACGGCCCCACTTAATGCTTCGCATGGGTGCATTTTGAAGCAATAAATCCATAATATGTGGATATAATCATACATACATATGTATATAGTACCTACATATGTTCAGATTGCATTCACTGCATTGCATGTAACAAGACACATACATATGTACATATCTACTACGCTTTATACTTGGACTTATCGCATTGACAGCTCGATCCAAATTGCCGCCGATTCGCCTCGTTGTGTTGCAAGTTGAAGGGACTCTACTTTTTAAAGAAATTCCAAGAATACCTGTGTAAGTGCAAGCTTTTAATACACTTGACCTAAACACACACCAACACACACACACACACACACTTGGAACATCTAAGTAATTAATTATTTGTATTGATTTTTCAGTCGAGCGTGTATGTTAGTGCTTTCTTTATTAGATCCCCATGACTATTTTTCATTCGCTAAATTTCCACAGGAGGTTACAGAAGCCGCCTGGCTGACCGATTTCTGAGCCCAAAGAGTTACTGGATGGAGTTATAGTGTAGGTAGTGAAAAGCTAAATTTACTTCTGTTTGTAGGAATGTATGTATGTATGTGTGTGCGTGTTCCATTAAGACCCCCTTCTTCAACCCAATCCAAGCGATACGAATTCGCCTTTTGTCACGACTTATGCTATTTGTTGTTAGTATTGTTGTTGTTGCTGTGCTGACCATTGCTATTTGACTTTTGCATAGTTAAGTTGATTAAAAGGCGTTGCTAATGCCTTTCGGGGAATAACATATAGCAACAATACTTAAGCAGCTGGGACTCTCTTGTTTGCTGGCTTGCTGGCTTGCTGGTTCGTGTGACTGACCGACCAAATAGAATTGTACATATTTGATATATGACTCTCACTCTATGAACATTTATATATGTATATATATATATATATATGCTGATATATGTATGTGTGCGCCCATAGCGTGCCGCGTCCATTTTGACCCGTTTTGAGCAGCTAGTTGGGGCCAAGGAACAAAAAACAGCAAATAAATAAAAAAAAAAACTGAAAATAAAAATGAAAATAAAGCGTACAGCCTTATAGAGGGCAGCGGCAGGTTGTTGTTCCTGCAATTGCTGGCGATGGTGGAGCTGTCAAAAACGGATCGCCCGAGTTCAGGGCTCACCAGGTCATGCATTTGTGGAATGTCAAAGTTGAAATTGTAACAATTTCAAGTTAATGCCTCGGCTTGCAGACGAGTACTTGTGTGTTAGCTTTTTCTATTCAAGGCGGCTTCAAACGCTGAACATAACTACATACATATATACTATAGTTAACCAGCACATACATACATGCTTATGTATATATGAACACAAAACTGTATGCTTATAGCCAAAAAATTTAGCTAGCCAAACGGGTAATTCAAAAGCTTTAGCTGACGTGCTGGGCCAAGTTTTTGATTCGAACGCGCCAAGACTTTGGCCAGAATGTTTCTTCACGGTTCTTTATTCTGAGCTTTTTTTTTTGGACAGGTGAAACGGGCTGCCTTTTAAGGCGTACTTGTTCATAAGTATGTATGCATGTTATGGTTATTCCAATACACATATCCATAAATATGTACCTACATACAACAACAACAACAACAACAAAATGTGTGTGCCAGTTAAATGTAGGACTTGGACTTAAAACGAAATGAATATTTTATGGTCAACATTAATCGGTCACTTTATTGGCATACCAGTATATATACTGATAGGTCTTTAATATTTAAACTTCATGGTCAACTATACAAAAATGTGCTTGAATTAAACTGTATTTTTTATATTAGTTATAGGGACTGGCTCGATGTCAGGTAGAACGGCAAACAACACGACAAAACAGTGATCAGGATAGATGTCTGAATACTATCTCGGAAACTTCAACTCTTCTTCTTTAGCAGACTTTTTTAACCCACCAAGAAAACAAGCTAAATTCACATAAATTGTGAAAAGTATATACAAGTTGGTGTATTTTGAATAACAGAAATGTTGGATTATATTTCAAAGTTAAAGCTGTTCGCTCTTCTCAATATGTTTGTTTAATAAAATTCTTCAGAAATTTTTCTCCACCTTATTGGCTTATCATTTATTTGGCCTATTGCTGTATGTTGATGTACTTATGTCTAACAAAAGATCAACAATGTTTGGGAAAAGAAAGTGCAATAGTAAATGGAATTGTTTTCATATTTTACAATCGTTTGTTTCTAGTCGAAACTGCCAAATGAAATGGTTAGGCAAAAAATAACTGCGCTCTTATTACTTAATACCGTAGATTATATTTTTATAAAAATATAATAATATACAAAAATTTTTAAGTGCATTCATTTCTACCGCATCTGAATATATTTATTGCTCGTATCTAGTCTGCCTCTTTTATATTGTGGGACATAACAATGTTTTTTTTTTTTATCAGCAGCAATAGATAACATAGTCGAACCGATTATCAATATCGAATCTACAAATTTATATTTACAGCACCTAAATAAAGCTTTTTTGCTTCTAGTTTTCACTTGACAAACTATCTTACAAAGCTGTATGATGCACCTTAATGCATTTATAAGTATTTCCAACGACTATATATTTTTTGAGGTGACTCACAAATGTAAAAATCTGTATCAGGAGCGATAAGTAATTTTATTCAACTTTATTAGCCGCAATAATATTGCTTAATCATAGTTGTTTATTTTTTCCTATATATACTAACAACAATTTTTGTTTTCGCAATTTGGATATGAAAATTGCGGTGTTCTGAAACAAAGGGGTTTTATAATTTTTAATTTATTTTATGACTGCGCTTTTTCATGCCTTTCATATGCGTACGGTGTATCTTTACACAGGCAATAGAATCATATCCGTCTGTTTATCTAACTTGGAGATACATATCTTAATCCAAACGAGAGATTGTCACCAAACCTAACAAAAAGATCATGCTTAGTTACAGTCATGTATTGCTTTAATATCTCATTTTACATAGCTTCAATAGGAACGATTATCATGACCAAATTTGGATTTATTTATTTTAATAATAGATGTTTCCAACTCTTTAGTTTCCAAAATTTAATTAACCTTTTTTTCGAGTGTACTTGCGCAAACAAGGCATAAGATTTGATCATGATCTACGCTATCTTATCAGCTGATGACAATCTGAATTTTTAAATCTGCTGTTCTGATTGCGCACATCATGTGGCCCGACGTTCTGTGCATCTCTGAACGGAGAACCTTGTTGTTACCACTAGTAGAGAACCTATTTAGACTTATGTGTGACTACACTTTGGCATGAGGAAGTCTCGTCGAGTCGTTCTGTCATCTGTGCAGTTTCTATTTTGTTCTTTTTGCTATTATCTATTCATTTATTTACGATTTATATGCTAATTTCATTTCAAGAATTCGTTTTTGTTGGGCGGGAAACCGGTTTTTCATAAAATTTGAGGCATTAGCATCACACTTTAATCCCATGACATTATCAGAGTCAGCAAAAAGCTTCGCTCAGACACAACAATCCCTTTGTGCGGAAACACAAGTACTATACACATATGTATAAAAATAACAATTAATTTGGACGATCTGTACTTGCTTTATATACATACTATGTGTGTTATTATATGCTATATAGTATACATATTAACCCAACATATTTGAGGTTTTGTTATTCATGGAAGGCTTTATCAGTGGGGGGCACTGTTTTTACGATTTGTGCCGGCATGAATCACAGCCAGTTGATTAGACAGTTGAAATAAATGAGCGCCTGTGCTTATCAGTATATATATAGTAAATATAAATACTTTGTACATATGCATGTACTTACCGTTTGCACCGCCTCAATGGAATCCTTACTATGCATTGTCCAGAACATGGAAATGATAAAAAGAAAATTGTAGAACTCGTAAGCGCCATGACCCCAACTGCCGAGCATGGCATTCGTGATGAAGAAGAAATGCACAAAGGCGACGAGCTGAAGAGAGAGGATCGTGATAGAGATGGAGAATTATACATATTGTTGTACTTAGTATGTAGATGCGATATGATTTAAAGTTGGTAAGCAGCTAATGCATTGTCGAGTGAAACCCCACAAGAGTATGTGGACAAGGCGAACAGGGCTTCTTTACTGCCTGAAGTTGGAGGCAGATATCGAAGAGTATCGCATATCAATAGTGGTTGGCAACTGCTGAACTGCATTTTGCAATGCCAGGTGCTAATGAGCCGTCTGACGAATACCTATGTACTACCTCTCTTGCAAGCTAGGTAGTTGTTAAAGTAGCCAGCTGGCTGGAAGGAGTTGTAGTTGTTGTAGTATTGGGTGCGGCTTTGTTGAAGCTGCAATGAAGACTCATGGCTCGTGTTAGATAACAAGCGCTGCACCCATTACATGTTGAATGGGAGGGAGTGTGGCAATGTGGTCGGACAAAATGACAACGACCACCAGCAACGAACACAGTCAACCGGCTCCTACACATTAATACCTATATACATACGTACATGTACATATGTATGTAGATATGTATGCATGTTCGTGTGGGCGTGCGAGAGCGTGTCAGAGTGGGGCACAATGCATTTTAAACGCTGATAAACGCCACTTGTGCGACAAACACTTACACTTACAGTATTCTAAGAGGCATCTTTTTAAACATCAAACACACTATAATTACCTTGACGCGCACAAATGGCGAACCCATCAGCTCATTCAAATCGGTCATTTTGGCGCTCTTTGTGTGTCAGTCGAGAAAATTTCAGTGGCGCCCACACGCGAGCGACAAACGTCAACTGAACCTGTTGTTGCTCCTGACGCGACAGCAACAAAAACAAGTACGCAGATGCACACGCACAAAACACAAGGCGTAATTTGTTATTTTTGTTGTCGCTCTTGGTGTCGTTGTCGCTGACGTTATTTTTTAGCCAGCCAGCTGTTTGTTATTTTTGTGCAAATATTTGAAATTGTTCCACTTTTTCAATATGTAGTGCGTACGATTTGTGCACTGCAAAGCAATTCGAAAATGTATTGTTGTTGTCAAATCTATTTTCATTTGCTTATTTCACTTTCAATTTGTATGTACATACATACACTTGTATAGAAATACTATACACGCAAATGTTTATTGCAATGTAGTTGAACGCACTTTGACACACTCACTCATTCAAACAAAAGTGCATATACAGATGTATGAATGTATGTATGTATGTAGATACAGTTGTATTAATTATGAATAATGTGGGCTGTGAAGCGCGCACTTGTTGGTCTTCCTTTCAAATGCAACAAAACAAAAAAACCACAACAGCAATTGCAAAAGTAACAGCCCCCTGTATTCTGGGGCCGTTACCACACCGCAAAATATTAATAAGAACTACAACAACAACAATAGCACCAACAAGTGCAATAACAACAATAAAAAACGAAAAATCAAATCGGAGCTCACGACGCTAAAGCGTTTACAATTCAAATCTGACTGTGACTGCTACGCTGCCGGTGCCCCATTGACAAGGCGGACCCCACCGACACATGCGTCGACATCGACGTCGGCGTCGGCGTCAACAGTGGTGGCGTAATCGCAAAAAGTGTTGCCACACAAGTAGAGGAGCATCAGTGCTGAAAAGCGGTGCGCAGAAGTGCTCAAATAAGTGGGCCCGTGCGTAACATGGCAACAGTGCCAAATTGTAAACAAATAATTTCTACATATATGTACATAGTATATGTACCATGCTTTCTAAGATTTGTATTGGTAGCTAAACTAGCTAGCATATTAACATTGCAATTACCTACATTGGGCAACGCCACGCACCATAAACACTGGTTTGTTATCAAAGCAACTTTAACACTGCCTCAGTTTAGGAGTGTGTTTGTGTGTGAGAAACCTGTTGATAACGTGCGCGTGTGGGACCACAACGACGACGCCCTTTGTAGGTTGTGATTGTACAAAGTGCAAGTTGGATACGGCATGGCTGCTGCTAAAAAATCTAGCAACATTTCGAAGGTTTCCCCACTACCGGCGTCCATAATCACATCCAAAATGGTAGACAATCTGGAGTCTACAAAGGCTCGAAAATGTGCCGTAAGTATCTTAAAACACGCACGCGTCTTACACAATCATACAGAGATTATTATTATAATTTATGTTGTCTTTTACGCCACACAGCTGCCCCAGATCAAGGAACGTAGTGGTGATTGCCTAAATGGATCGAAGCAAGTGGAGTACCAATGGAATTCACCGAGTCTGATGATTGTGTTTGATAACGGCGATATGAACTCCGCGATGCACCATCTCCTCGAATCGCTGCACAATCCGTTTGGACCACATTCCGTAGCTACAATAGCCATACAAGAAAGCATAGTTGATCAGTTTATGGAGCGAGTGGTTCCACGCATTAAGAAATTGGACGACGAGGTAGCGCAGCACTCCGTTTATGTAAGCACCCTGGCCAAGCTGCAAAATCTTAAAGCTATAACCTATGTGGGCGATCCGAAGTCAGTTCCTGCTGAGCTTTCGCCCACTATAGTGAAAGATTTTACCCATAAATATTTGGGTGATGGGCCGACTGGCGTAATAACCTTACACACATTTCGTACTGCCAAAGAGGCTACCCAGCTACATCTAAGTGAGCCAGTACAGTTCAGTTCTGTCAGCATTTGGAATGAACACATGTCCTGTGCCTATGAAATTGCCGAACGTGTGGACTGCGACACGTTCTTTATCAACTGCGCTAATGTGAGCCTGGAACCAATCAATCAGGCATTCAAAGCGGACCGAAGCGATGTAAATATCACCAAGGGCTACCACTATGAGTCAATTGTTATGAAGAAACGCAAGATAATTGTCTTTCCGGTGGGCACAATTTTCGCCAATTGAAAGAAACGCACTGAGCCGAGCATTTACAGGGACTGGAGACAGCATCCAAGGTGCTTTATTAGACTTTTAGAATATATAGCTACCTCTTTTTATATACTAACAACGTTTTGTCAATATACGAGTATGTTTCATGTAAAGGGGAAAATAGCTCCACTATTTTATATTTTATTTTGTAAATCAGAATAGGCGGACAAGTTTCCTGTTGTAAGAAAAAATAGCGTATTCTTAGTCGAATATACTGGTCCGTATATTACAAAATCTATAGTTACTTCAATATTTATCCTTCGATGAACGGCTGAAGTGTAGAATGGTAGACGTATTATAGGTAATATTTGTCTACAATAGGGTAAGAGTTCGCGGTTCACGACCATAAAACAGTTGTTATAATAGGGGACAGTGAAGTTGGGCGAGGACAAAGATAACTTCTGAGCTTTTACTAAAGATACTTTACCGATTTTAAACATATGTACAAGTATATAGATATTTATATAGAAACTCTCACTGTGGTTGCGGTATACGTGGAACAAGTTTTGTTTATTAATTTTCCTTTTAGCCAACTAATGAGTAATCTGTCGCGGTCCTCATGCCAGAATGTCAGTAACGTTGTTTTTTGTAGCACCATTTCGGTACTCACCTGCTTTATCCCTCCTTTCTTTGTTGAAGCCTCTCACTGAGTAAGAGACTATATTTATATTTTTTTATAACCATACATAAAACTGTGATGGGTTAAGGTTAAGCTTAGATGTGGGTTAAAGAGATGCAACAGGGTAGCATGTTAAGTAGTTGCGCGACATGTTTTGTTTAAGTTAGCGGATGATTTCTCTCCGCCAGGGAACTGGTGTTAAGGAACGATTTAAAGCAGCGTGTATATATGTGTCTAAACAGTACGTGTATAGAGTATGTACATATGTACATAGAAGTGTGTAATGGGCAAGGTTAAGGTTAGAAATGGAGGATTGCAGAGATGCAACAGGGCGCCTTGTTATGATTAAGTTAGGGGATGATTTCTCTGCCAAGGAACTGGCGATAAGGAAGTGTTTTCAAAAGCGTTAGTACATATATACATCTATGTACATATGTATGTATTAACAAATTGCTGCGCCATACTTTTAATCAGTCAGTGCTCTCCCGGCCTCTTCTCTTCTCTCACCCTTTAACTGAATGGGAATTAAACAACAACTAAACAATGGCATAGTAATTTACAAATTCTCCGCTGCATTCCCCTACACCCGACAAACTGTGGAACCAACGCGTTGGTTGATTCTACTCGTTTCATTTCTACTTTTTGCTGCTGGCGTTGCGACGGGTCTTTTGCTCCACTTTCACGCTGCTCTGAGAGGGCAGATGAGAGACGCGCAAGAGAGCAACAAGCAGTAAGAGAGTAACTGACTGGTCTGGCATATCCACCCTTCCACGGTCCCGTCGCCCGCTGTGTTGAGTCTGGCCTTCACTTTTACAACAGAATTGCTGTTGCTTTTGTTTGGCATTTTGTTGTTGTCGTTGCTACAACTACAACTGCAAGCAGACAGCGAGCCAACCAAGTTGTTTCTGTAGCCGTCGCTGCCATCAACAGTCGCTGTCAGTCGTTCCAGCTGGCGGAGGTGGTGAGGTGTCGTGGCTTAGAAAAAAGAAAATGCGCTAGCAGTTGCAAAACCACATGAAGAAGGAAAAGTAACGAAAATAACAGGCAATCGCATTTAAAACGATCAGCGCAATATTTTCTTAAAATTATTAAGAACTCCCTGCCGATAGCAGGAGTTGCTGTCGTTCGCTGACGTGGACAATGCCGCCCAGCAAATGGACGGACGAGACGCGTGACGCCTCCTGTTATTATGCAGATGATGAGCTCGGCCATGGACGCCTGGTTTCCAGCACAGGCGATGACGAAGACGATGAGTACGACGAGACTGATGAGCAGGAGGCGTTCTGTGGCGGCAGCAGGGGTGGGCCGCTCATAAACGATGCGGGCGGTAAGTGCAAAAAGTGAATAATGTAGTACATATGTATGTATGTATGTATGTATATACACTCATATGTATGTATGTACATATGTAACTAACATATGGCTGTTTGTATTGTCCACAGCTGACGGTGAATTCCCCAAAACACGACACATTTTCGGGCTGATGGGCTTTTTGGGCTTCGCCGTCGTTTATGCCATGCGCGTGAATCTCTCAGTTGCGATTGTGGCCATGGTCAATCAAACGGCTATTCCACATGCCAACAGCTCCGTGGTGGACGATGATACGTGTCCAGTGCCGCCAGTACGGAATGATACGCGCGTCCTCCCCCAAGGCGAATTCGTTTGGGACGAGGCCACACAGGGCTTGGTGTTAGGCAGCTTCTTCTACGGATATGTGCTAACTCAGGTGCCCGGCGGACGCATGGCAGAGTTAATGGGTGGCAAACGCATCTATGGCTACGGTGTATTAGTTACGGCCATTTTTACTCTGCTCACACCATTCGCTGCTCACTGGGATTTGCCGTTGCTGGTGCTGGTGCGTATATTGGAGGGCATGGGCGAAGGGGTCACCTATCCGGCGATGCATGCCATGCTGGCGCACTGGATACCGCCACTGGAGCGCAACAAGTTTGCGGCCATTGTGTATGCCGGCTCCAATATTGGCACCGTCATCTCCATGCCATTGGCTGGTTGGCTTTGCTCGTTGGACTTTTTGGGCGGCTGGCCTTCGGCTTTCTACATCTTCGGACTGATGGGAATGCTCTGGTTTGCCTGTTGGATGTATTTGGTGTACGACAAGCCAAGCTTGCACCCACGTATCTCGAGAGCTGAACGGGACTACATTGAGCGAAGCATTCGCCCAAATTGCGGATATATCGATGTGCATGAGGAAGAGGAGGACGACGATGTTGGGGATGGCGTGGAATTGAGGCGTACACGGAATGTCGACGACGCCATACCTTGGCGTTCGTTGCTCTGTTCCGTGCCCTTGTGGGCGATTCTTCTCACGCAGTGTGGCCAGGGCTGGGCCTTCTACACACAACTAACAGAGTTGCCCACATACATGAGCAATATCCTACACTTTGATATTCAATCGAATGCGCTGCTCAATGCTGTGCCGTATCTAACGGCCTGGTTCGTAGGCATTGCTTGCTCCGCTCTGGCCGACTGGATGCTGCAGCGACGCTACATCTCGCTGCTGAACTCATACAAACTGTGGAATACGGTGGCCTCTGTGGTGCCCTCGCTGGGTCTAATTGGCATTATCTATGTGGGCTGTGATTGGGTTTGGGTTACCTTTATGCTGGCCGGTGTTGGCTCCTTTGGGGGCGCCGTCTATGCGGGGAATCAAATGAACCACATTGCGCTCAGTCCTCGCTTTGCGGGCACAATGTATGGCATAACTAATTCCGCAGCCAATATCTGTGGCTTCCTGGCGCCCTATGTCATTGGTCTAATCATCAATCATCGCGAGACTCTCACCCAATGGCACATTGTCTTCTGGCTGGCAGCTGGACTCAACATTGCCGGAAATTTCATTTATTTGCTTTTTGCCAGTGCAGATGAGCAAAGTTGGTCGCTTCGTGCGGCCCCATCTCAACGACGTGGTCATCGTGTACGCGGAACTAGAGCTCCGTTGCAAACTTAGCCAGATATGGGGAGAGAAGAGGCTTTATGTACCTGCGGACCACTCTGGATTATCTAATTATGTATCTTATATTGTTCTATAAGCACGTGTGATAACTATAAGACGCAGTATTCCTGACGAGCGACGCTAGCCATCGGGCCCTCCTAGGCTCCCTTCCGCGCAAGTTGCTTCCAAACCAAATATTATTATCCCGTTACATTGCTTCCAAGCGCTCAAAGGAGGCGGCTCGATGGTCTCGAACGATTTACTTGTACTATGAATTATGATGTCTATATGTCAATATGTGTGTACATACTACTTATAAATGTAAATGCTTTGCTAGAATCGCGCAATATTGGTTTTATACGAACTTTGTTTTTGTAAAGCGTAGCTTTTGTTCAACGTATTGTTTTTTTTTTAACAATGTACGAAAGTTTAGAGTTTAAGACGTGCTCATAGCTTTAGAGTAGTGGCCTGTGGCTGCCTTACGACAATTTTTTACAACTACAACTACTTGTATACATATTCAACAATTTATTTATGAACATATGTACATATTGTATGAACGTATCTATTTAACGTATAAGAAGGCACAGTTGTGTGCCGATTTGTATGGCAACAATAAAACCGCACAAACATATCGCACTCTGAGACCCGTCGGATGTCGGGGGCGTTTTTTAATGCGCCATTCATTATCTTGGATATGGTTATCAGAACTGCAGCTCTACTATAGACCGTGTAGGTTCCTTGTACTCAAAGGGGTACAGTTGTATGGGCAATTGTTCAAATACCCTATTCTCTATGAAAGGGTATACTGAAGAGTCTGAAAGACCGTGACTATACGTGTTTAAAAGGTTCGCTCGTCACGCTGATCAAGGGCATACTATATACATTTAGTTAAATGAAAAGTAAATTAAACACGAGAGAAACTTCCGTCCCTGAGTTATAAGCGCTCCTAGCAGAAGCAAAAAGAGGAATGAAGGAACAGGAGCTCCAGCTTGTGGGCGTAGCACCGGAGTGAAATTGTTTCGCTAATCACTTTTCTTAGAATTGACCGAATTGGAAATTTAAAACAAAAGTAGATAACTGTATTTAGATTGGAAATGTGACGAAATTCTGTAGTGTGGAAAGGGGGGAAAATTCAAAAAATAAAATAAACTCGTCCTTTTTCGGACCTAGGAGCAACTGGATACCAACTTTGGTTACTCCAGCTTTTATAGTTTCTGAGACTCTTAAGTTCATCCAGACGGACGGACGGACATGTTTAGATCGATTTCTCTCGTCATGCTGATCAAGAATACATATGTATACTTCCTTCTGCATGTTACATTTGATGATTTATTTTCTGGTTCTGCTGGATGGGGGCGTATTTATAATTCGCCGTTAGGTCGCGTTTTTTATACACTTTTTTTTATCTGTTTCATTTGCATAGCATATCTAGCAAAAATTTAATGATATTAAACTGTTATTGAAGCAATTGGAAAAATTAGGAAAAATATTACCGTGTGGATATCCCAAACCTTACTCAATACAATAGTTTTGTAAACATGGTTTTAAATTAATTTTATTTACGATTATAATGTCATTTGTTGACTGACTCTTCTCGGATATTGGGAGCGATGTTGCTTGTCTTAAAGAATAGAGCATATGTATATATGTATATACTTATATAGGTTGCATATTTTGAAGCGCTATGTGGAGGAGGGAGCATGATTTGTATATGCATTACAGATACATATAGCAGCATACATATATGTAGGTATACATCAGGTATGTATTCATATACTATATAAACGAATATAAGTATATATATATATATGTATATATAAACAAAAAAAGACATCCTCTTCTTTATACACCCGATACATACGATATATATAAATATAAAAAAATAATCTTATGCAAACAATCCCCAGTTAATGAGAAAGGGAGCGAGCGAGAAAGAGAGCAAGAAAGAGACGGTGCGGGAAAGAGAGCGAAGGGGAGCAACTGTGTCGTCGTCATCTACCACACACTGCACTTATTCTCCGGATTCATAGTCGTGCCCTCGCCACAGTTGTACGCATGAGCAAAGTCCCGGGAGTTGGAGAGCGGTCCGAGCACTCGCACGAAGCCCGGCGAGTGCACAGAGGAGCGTATTTTGGTCAACGCATCTTCGGGTCGCATGGAGCCGCACCAGATTTGGGCGTAGTTGAGAAAGAAGAGCTGATCGTGCGTCATGTTCAGGCCTGGTAGCTGCAGCTCGCGTCCGTGCAGTTTCTCCCACTTCTTGTAGGCCTAGGGGGAGCACACGAAAGCATAAGTGATGCAAGATTAGCAATATCCTTTAACGGACTTACCCTAAATGCCTGCTTGAGGCCGCCATTGTCCGCTATGTTTTCACCCTGCGTCATCCTTCCATCCATATACATGTCCACCTCATTGATCTTGTAGCGCGAGTACTGATCGATGACGCACTGCGTGCGCTCTCGAAAGGCCTCGATGGTGGCATTGTTCCACCATTGCATCATGTTTCCCTCCTTGTCGAACTGCCTACCCTTGTCATCGAAGCCGTGGGTAATCTCATGTCCAATCACAACCCCAATGCCACCATAATTGAGCGACTTGGGGAAGTGTTGGCTGTAGAAAAGCGGCTGTAAAATGCCGGCGGGAAACACTGTGTGGGATGGAAGGTGTTGAAAAGCGCGCTCTTATGCAGGAATCATAATATTATTATACCAATGTCATTCTTGTTGGGGTTATAGAAGGCATTAACAACAGCCGGCTCTGTGGTCCACTTCTCCTTGTCCACCGGCTGGCGCAGCAGATGAAGCACCTTCGCCGATTCCCATTGCAGAATGTTCAGCACGTTGTCTATAAAGTTGTTTGGCACAATTGTTAGCTGGAGGCGGAGGGGGAGAGAGAGAGACAGAGATTATGGCAATATTATTATGGAGGGGCTTGAAAGGTTCGGCGCACTCACATTGACATACTCCTGCTCCAGTTCGGTGGCATTTGTCAGTATCTCTGGATAGCCAATGCGCTCGTTCATGGAGTCCGCCTTTTCCTTGGCCACAGCACGGGTCTCGTCATCCATCCAATGGTTCTCGGCGAGCAGCTCATTGAAGGCGGCCCGTATAGTGTGTATCATCTCCAGTGCCACCTCCTTGCTCTCCTGATTGAAGTTGTCGCGTATGAATAGCGCACCCACGGCCACGCCCAGCTTCTTGTTTGTCCACTCGACGCACTGGGACCAGCGAGTGCGCTCCGACTGAATGCCCATCAATATCTTTCGGAATTCGACACGCTCACGTTGATAGTCATCGATCATGTGCGTCATCAGGGACATGACCAAACGCCAGAGCACATAATTGTGCACCACACGTCGTTCGGTGCGCTTCAGGATCTTGCCCATTTCGGTGAGATACTGCATGCCATACGTCACCAGTGGCTCCTCCGCATGCAAGGGGATCTGCGGTCCCAGTGAGGTCTGCAGGTATTCTGTCCAGTTCAGTTCCGGCACCTGACGCTGCAGTTCTGGCAGCGTTATCTTGCGATAGACGGCGCTGGTGTCATGTCGATCTGCCTCCGGCAGCGAAACATTCACCAGCTGCGTCTCGAAGAGTACCACCTCATTCAGTTCCCGGGCCGCCGTGGTCGGATCGGCGCCCAGCAACAGCGACACCTGCGTCATGTACTTGTGATAGGCCTTTAGATCGTTCTCGCTGCTCGCCTTCAGGTAATAGTCGCGCGAGGGCAGGGCGTATTGCAGCTGATCCATTTGCAAGATGTTCACCGAGCTATTCTTGTCGTCGGCCCCCACATAGAGCTCGACCAGCACCGACTCGCTGTAGTTGGCGCGCAGGTAGCCCATTAGCTGTTCAATGCTCATCTGGCTGGGGGCTTGCCAGTTGCGTTCGATTACGGGCCAGCCGCCCAGTGACTTGAGCACTTCCTTCAGCCGGCCATCGCCGATCTTGCGTATCTGGGCTGCAACGGAAAAGGGAATGAGCTAACCGACGAGAGCAAGGGCCGTAGGATCATTGAGTAAGCACTGTTTTTGCACCTACGTATATCCATGCAGCTTTTGAAAAATGTCTTTGCCTTGATCGTCGCTTTGTTATCGCGTCCATCGATCGGTTCCTCCAGTACTCCACGAAGAATCACCTGTTGCTGATCGGACAACACCTGTAAAAAAAAAGTACCAAAATCAATCAACGATGATGCTATATACATGCATATGTACAGAGCCAGACCCACCTCAAATGTACTGATCGAGCTGCGATCTTCGGGTATGGGATGCATTTTGTTCCACGTGCCACAAGCATACTGAAAGAAATCCTCGCAGGGATCGGCCGTCATATCCATGGCCGATAACAACGAAGCAGCTGCAAACACTCTGGCTTGTAAATTACATTTGTTTGAATAACTTTCTTTTAGCGAAGCTCAGGGGAAGTGTCACACCTGCGTCTCATTAAAGTGCCATGCACTTGTCATAAATTATGCCTCATTATTGTGATCATAAAGGCGCAGACCCCCCCTTCTCGTACCGCCTTTCCCAACTTGGCCAACAAATCATGTGTAAAGTTTTTTCACACACTAGCAGTTGTTGGCCTAAGCCCAACCCATTTACTTCCTCAGTCGTACAGGCATCGCAACTTCCTTTATGTACACAAAATTTACGCTTAAAGTTGGCCCAGTCTGAGTCTGGGTCCTTGGCATGAATTGTCTACAGTTCTTGCTGCCAAAAAGTTTGCCAGTCAGACAAAAGCCAAAACAAAAGGCTCAACTCAAAATTGAACACAACGTGAATGTCGCAAAATATCTGACTACTCCCAATTCCCTAGGCATGGCTAACAAAATAGTCAGCTAAATCAGTTGCCAAATATCCTCATACAGACTGGAGACCGCTTTTGATTCATCTGGTTCAAATTGTGAAAAACGCTTCTTAGCAGACACTTTGAATCTTCAAATCGGTCGACACAGCACTTGGTTCGTTCCTGGATGTGTTCTCTATGAACAAAGTTTCCCTTTTACGCCTCGAACTAGTGCCTTTTCTTAGCTTCTTAGTACGACGATCAAAGAGTTAAGGCAGGTCTAGTCTCATAAGTCTAGGCTACATACCCGTTCGTTTAATATAATTTGTTTTTTCAGAATATGTTGGAAAGGGATTTTGGCTTATTGCCATGGAATGCTTCCCGGAATTAGTTAGATTAGAAGAGCTCCATTTAAGTACAATCAAGAGTATTTGTGCTAATTCATTTGACGTGGACTGCTTACTTACAAGTAAACAGGCAATAAACCAGCTGAATTACTTATAAATAATATAAAGCCAAAGTCATTTTAGTGGTCGGTCTCCGGCGATGCATTGATTGACTGCGCCCATTAAAACATGTCTTTGTCATGTTGGATGGGGTGGGATGGGTGGTCAGGTCGGGGGATCAGGAGCAGGACCAGGACCACATGCTCGTACATAATCGTACATGTTTGTCTTTTGTGGTAGCAGCAACGACTAGAAGTGCTGGCCATGTTGCCTTCGTCTTCCGCCTTGTTTGGTGACACTTGGCTGACATGCACTTTTTATGTGGCACTCGGCCCTTTCTTCCCCCCCCGCCCGCCTACCCAACCACCACCAACCAAGTAAAACTGTCCCGTCATGGACATGCAAAGCCACAATCTTCCTAAACACATAACTTGGAGCACGGAGAAGGGAGCTGGACACTCACCTGTACGCACGCATTCCTGTGTCATGCAGATATTGTCCTGTCCATGCCTCGTTGATATGCCATCGTCGGCTGTAATTAGAGCAGAGAGTACGGACATGAATAAAGGTCCTTACTTGTATGTAACGGTAAGAGCTTGCATATGCGGCAAAATGGCCGCCAAGCTCTTTGGTTCTTTGGCACGGAAACGACTCGAGGCGGCGCATGGGGCGTATGAGCAATGTGGGATTGAGGGGCCAGTTTGTGGTTTGAGGGGCCAGTGAATGACTTTTAAGAACCACAAACATTAAAACACACGCACACATACACCGACAATCACAGGTTTGATTTGCAGCAAGAAAAAAAAAATACAAACAGACAACAAACGGTTTAAAAACCACTCAAGTAAATTGAATTTGAATTTTTCATTAAAAGGACTTGTCGGAGAGCGGAAGGAGAAGAAGAATTGTGTGAAGAATAAAAAAAAATAAAAAAAAAACGGCAATGACGGCAGAAGCAGTCACAACCTTAACAACCAAAGATAATCAAATGTAAATTAAAGAGTAGCAGTCAGTCAGGCAGTGACAACGGCAACAACAACAACAATGATAACAACAACAACAACCGAGCGCTGCCAGCTTTTAAAGCTGCTCCATTCGACCCAGCTCGGCCCGGCCTTTATTGAATTAAAAAACGAAACGCTGTAGCTTCGCTGCCACTGTTTCTGCCTGCCTGTCGAACGCCTCCACTCCACTCCGCTCGGCTCGGATCGCATCGAATCGTTTTGTTGTTGTCCTGTCCTGTGTTGTAATGTGTGCCACATGTTGCATGCGACTGTCGCCGCCACTGCCGTCAATAAAAAAGGTGAGCAAATGCTTCGTGCCTTGGTAACCTTACCTGACACATGCCTTGTTTATTAATTAAAACGATTGCCACCGCCACTGCCACTGCCCTTGCCCTTGCCCTAACCTGGACCACCCCAGTCCGCTAATGAAATTTACCATGATTAGGTGCGAGTATTGCGACTCATACTTGTATTGCTACCTTCTTGCTTCTTCTCCGTGCATGGACATGTAATGGAAAATGTATCGCTGACATTTAAAAAGCAATTCATGCATAGCCATCCCAAATATACCAGCGGCCTATTTCGGCGACTAAAATACCCCTTCAGGATCAGTAATGCATTACTACATTTTTATACCCTGTACCCGTAGGGTAAAAAGGGTATATTAGGTTTGTGCAAAGTATGTAACATGCAGAAGGAAGCATCTCCCCATAAGCCCCATAAAGTATATACTGAATCAGCATGACGAGAGAAATCGATCTAGACATGTCCGTCCGTCCGTCCGTCTGTCCGTCCGTTTGTCCGCCTGTCCGTCCGTCTGTCCGTCCGTCTGGATGAACGCAAGGATCTCAGAAACTATAAAAGCTAGAATAACCAAAGTTGGTATCCAGTTTCTCCTAGGTCCGAGAAAGGACGAGTTTCTTTTATTTTTTGGAATTTCCCCCCCCTTCCTCCGCTACAGAATTTCGTCAATACCGTCCACATTTTAAAAGCTACCCTAACCAAACTATGCACACATCATTTCTAGTTTCTATATAATTATCTACCTTTGTTTCAAATTTCATCTAATTCGGTTTGTTCTAAGAAAAGTTATTAGCGAAACAATTTTACTTCGGTACTACGCCCACAAGCTGCAGCATCAAGTTCGCTCTTCTTCTTCCTTTTGCTTCTGCTAGAGGCGCATATAACTCAGTGCCGGAAGTTTACCTGGGTACAGGGTATTACACTGTCGGGCTTGCTCGACTGTAGCGTTCTCTCTTGTTTAATATTACATATATTAATAATATTAATATATTAATATTCTGTTTTTTCTTTGCATTCCTTTTTTATGTTATAAGTTTTTCTTTGTTACTCCTAGACTGATCATAGTTTGGAACTATCCTTCAAGCAAACGAGTGCGAGAACTTGCTCGGGAAAGCTCGACTTTAAAAAAAAAACACGATTCAAACGAAAGCGCATGAAAATTCATATTTCATGAAGGAATTTTATTTGAATTTATCAAGCTTGGCTGGCGTATAAATTCAACAAACTGATGCCCACTCCTCCAAAGGTTCAAATCCTCAAATACTTTCTGAATTCAATTTGTCGGTAAAAATTATGATTTAGAGTCTAAATTTTAGACATTAGCCACTGAAACGGTGCCTATAATAAATATCTAAAGTTAAATTTTGTTTTGCCTTTTCATTTTGTTTGCACATAAATATGTATGTATTTTTGGATTGAAATTGGATAATTTGATGTTGTTCTTCTTTCTTAGAAACCAATCATATTCTAACAGACAGAAATATCGTCGCCATTTTAACACGAAGAAATAACGAAACAAAACGCAAACTCGCGAGATTCTTGCGTTCATACAGACGGACAGACGGACATGGCTATATCGGCATAAGTATTATCATACTTATCAATAAAATATATAGTATACTTTGTGGGGTCTGCCACGCCTCCTTCTAGCATGCTCTAGGGCGTGGTATTTGAATTACGTTTTTGTTTAAAAAACCAAGTTATTGTAATTTGAGGAATTTGGAAAAATTATATTCCAATATATATTTATATATAAATTAATGTGCATTCACATATATGTACAAGTATATGTGCATAATAATTTAACAACAGACCTCTAACCAAATTAATTGGAACTTTCGCGGTCAACAATTTGTGAAATATTTAAGCTCCATTTGACGTCGTTTTTTAAGGAATAGAAGCAATTCTTATCCAACATAGTTGCCTGGCATTGAAATCGATGCGTTTGCATGTACAAGTAGTAGTGCCATTGGCAGCAATTAATAGATGAATTAGTTAATGAAATAAACAGCCAGTTCTACTGAGATTGGAATAATTGTATGCGAGAAAAAAACTGTGATAAAAATTACTAGTTTGAATGGGGCTTTAGCAACAAAACAGCATTATATTTAATGAAAGGACCTTAAGCGAGAGCGCGGGCATAAAGTACTATATACAAGAGTCAGGCCCTTTAAAACCCTTATCCTTTAATACACTTTTCAATCGAAAAATTGGACAGAAACATTTTAAAACGTGTTTAAACATTTTAGTGTTTTATGAAAGACAAAATGAATGAAAGGATGTATATGGATTGTTTAAGGCTACTTTTAGAACTAATGTACGAAAAATCTAGTCAATTTTATTTTATACATGAGCCTATTGTTCATACCAATTAAATATCAATGTACTCAGGAAGCTATACTATACTATATGAATGGAGAAAGCATTTTACCGCTTATGAATTCGGCTTAAAGTTAACATTATTTTAGATAATTATTTCATCGCCTTTAAATGCTAAAGTCGTCGATGCGGTATTTGAAAGAGAATTTCGGAGGCTTACCCCACTTACCCACTATTTGTGATTTTCCATGATTCTTGTAATTCAACGATTCTTTACCCAATTCAAGATACATGAAGAGCGAGATATATGGTCATACCATTAATGAAATTGATGATGTAATGTAATGTCTTTTTTTACACGGTTGTTTCTGGAAGCAATCTGCCGTGTAAAAACAGAATTAGGTGTAAAACTTTATATATACTTGTACATATACAAACCGCCAGAGATATAAATGTTAATTGAAAGTTAAATCGATGTTAGCTGCCTCAAAAGTCTCTGAACATGATTGAAGGCAGCTAAGCAAGTTATACGGAAGACCTAATTCTGTTTTTACACGGTAGATGGGTTCCTAAAAAAGTCGTGTAAAAAAGGACATTGATCAAATGCAAAATGAATCGTGCTAAATGGAATAAAGTCGTGTGACCATATACAGTCGACTCTCGTTAATTCGAAACTCGAGGGACTCTTAAAATATTACGAATTATCGAGAGTTTCAAAATAAGAAAACTTTGAATTATTAAGTGTTGATCAATTATTATTTATTAGCTGCAATTCTAACAGCAACTGAATGATAACTAAAGAAACCAATTTGTGTGAAGTGTGTGTCGAAGAGCCAAACTAATCATAAAAAGCAGTTGCCGGGACGGATCTTGAGGGGTGACCGTATGATGCTCAGAAGTCGTTTTTTGCTAGCACCTGTACGTTGATACAAGTTTGAACTTGTCGCAAAATGTACTTGCATACAATCTTTCCGCCTCTATCTCTATGCAACTATGAATTGTCGAGTGTTGGACGCCGATGAGCTCGAATTAACGCGTCGTTTTGTTATACAAGTATATCAATGAGTTTTTCGTTCGAATTACCAGGTGCATAAAAATATATTGATTTAGTTCGAAATATAAGGAGATTTTGAAGGGACCTCGTGATAACTTTGAATTATAGAGAGGTTCGAATTATCGCAGGTTTGAATTAACGAGAGTCGACTGTAAAACATTTTTAATTTTCAAACCATGTAAAAACATAACTAGGTGTATTTGAAAAGGTCCGTTTGTTCACATCACGTAGTGTATCAGTATCACTGATATTAAAATCAGACTCAAATTATCAAGTCTGTATAATCATACTCGTAGAAAAGAAGATATGTAGAGTGATCGGATTATGGAAAAAATGTTCGTTGCTCTGTTGTTTAAATCAGTCAATAGCTTTATCCTGGTGGAATTTATTACTGAAGGAGCCCTAGACAAGGACCTTTATGCTGTTCATTGAAACATTTTTAATTGTCAAACCATGTTAAATCAAAACCGTGTAAAAACAGAATTTGGTGTATTTGAAAAGGTCCGTATGTTGATATCACGTTGTGTATCAGTATCAGAGATATACTAAATATATCATAATAAAGAAGAAAGAGTGATCGGGTTATGGAATAAATGTTCGTTGCTCTGTTGTTTAAATCAGTCAATAGCCTCGTCCTGGTGGAATTTGTTGTTGAAGCAGCCCTAGACAAGGACCTGTATGCTGTTCATTGAAACATTTTTAATAGTCAAACCATGTTAAATCAAAACCGTATAAAATAAGCCATGTAATAACAGATTTAGGTGTATTTGAAAAGGTCCGTTTGTTCACATCACGTTGTGTATCAGTATCAGAGATATACTAAAATCAGTCCTAAATTATCAAGTCTTTATAATCATACTCGTAGTAAGGAAGATATGTAGAGTGATCGGATTATGGAATAAATTTTCGTTGCTCTGTTGTTTTAATCTGTCAATAGCTTCGTCCTGGTGGAATTTGTTGTTGAAGCAGCCCTAGACAAGGACCTGTATGCTGTTCATTGTAAGCTGTTGTTGTTGCTGCCGCGGGCGGTACACAGCTAACGACATAAACATAATGCACATATTTATAGATGAAATATATTTTTAAACAGTTATAAAAAACACGTTCGCACACACACACACACACACACACACTAATGGGAGTGTAAAGCGTGGCGTGTGTGGGTTTGGCTGCGTGTCATTGTTGTTTGAAATAGGCTTTGATGGCAGCCTGCCGTTGTCCTGCCATCAATGAATTTTGGCGCAAAACATTAAAAGCACGTTTTACAACGCAAATATAAACACGCACATGTGTGTGTGTGTGTGTGGTTGAGCGTGGGGGTGAGGGTGTGTGTGTGCATATGGTTGTGTGGTTGTGGATGTGCGTAGCCATTCAATCAAGCGCTGACAGGACCACACGAGGCGGCCCGAAGTCTGCCGATCGATTGAAGCGAGCGCTAAAAAATTCATGGGCAGCCCGCCAATTGATTGGTTTTTTGAAAATGATGAAAATGTTGAAAATGAAGTTGTTGCCCAAACATGGCCGTGGACCGTATGGACCTTAAATATTTAAGTTGGCTCCGAAACGCATTAGCTCGATGTCGATATGAATGAATGCATGAAGGTGGCGCAAGGCAGGCCATGCCAATAGATAGGGGGTGTGGCTGTTGGCCAAAGAATGTGTGAGGCCTGGAAGCCCCTGTAGAAAAATAAAAAAAAAAAAAAAACAACGCACAAACGAAATACCACAAAAGCTATGACCAAAGTCAGAGTCAGAGTCAGATTCAGTGCCAGAAAGCCAGGAAGCCATGTTCTTGTTGCTGTTGCTGTTGCTGTTGATGATGATGATGATGGTGTATTGTTGTTGTTGCTTTAGCGCCTGTTTGTTGTTTGACATATTCTGTAATTGAATTTCAAACGGCACGCGGGCCATTTAATGCAAGCGGAAATAGGCAGCTTGTAGCATGCGAGAGAGTGAGAATCTGGATGATGTCTGCGGTCGCTGTGCGGCAGAGAATGCGATTAGTGGGAATTGGTTGGCATTGTGTGGCTTTTGTTGACTTGGCCCGACTCTATGCTCTTGGCTCTTGGCTCATGGCTCTTGGCTCACGGCTCACGGCTCTGTGGTCTCCGGTCCTTGCCAATGAATGGCATCAAATCAAACAAAAAGCAAAAAAGCAAAAAGAAAAGGAGACAGAACCATTCCTTCTTTCTCAGGAAAGGAAAGGTAGAAAAGGCGAGCAAAAGTATGGGGACGTAGAGGAACAAACAAAAGTTCTGCTGAGGCAGCAAAGGAGCAACCAAAAAAAGAAAACTGAAAGGATGAAGCTCAGATTTGACAACATTTTCGCAACCACTTGAATATTAAAATGGAAGGTGTTCAGAGATAAAGCCCAAATGGCAGTCAGCGTCGTCGTCAGCATCAGCCTGTTGAGTGTTGAACGCCTGTTGCTTGCCTTCCTAACTGCCTGCTGGCTGCGCACTCCCCCCTTTCTTTCTTTCTTCCATTGTTTGTTTGTTTGTTTGTTTGCTGGCCGAGTTGCCGGGCTGAGCGGCAGCAAGGAAATTGAGTTTTTGCTCCATTTGCTGGCCAGCTTCACAAGCTGCTCTGATGGCGGTTAAGCGGATGCTGCAGGCTGCCAACTATATGTGTGTGTGTGTGTGTGTGTGTGTGGGACAACTAAATGACTTTGTGGCCGTTGGCACCGGCACCAAATTCACTTAACATACAAGCAAATCGAATGCTCATTTAGTGCACTAAAAAGTCAACGAAGCGCGGCGTCGACGGATGCCAGGACGTAAGGATGCCAGGATAACGAGCAGCAACAGAGCCAGCAAAACGAGCGACTGAAGCGATTTTGATTGCCTGCTGACCCAGTTAGCATTTAGTCATTTAGCAACGGCAACGTGGCGTATGCGCAACGTTCCTGCAATTTCTTTTCAATTCTCACTATCGGCGCCCCCTAATGATAATGCCAGTCGATGATCGTCTATGGTTATAGGGCGGGCCGTTGGACTACCTGTGTCCATTACCCTTTCGACTAAATGCTTGGAAGGCGAATATGCATTTTATTTAAAGGTTTGCCTTTACTAAGTTTTAAATCCATTTTTAACGCACAATTGCCTCCTATTTAAATAATAAATAAATACCGTAGCTTGTAAACTTTCGCAAATGTATCATAACATATTAACATATAGCTCTATATCAGGACGATCCTGCTCAAACTTTGTCAAGAGCTTTTTCCAGTACGTATTGGTCTCTAAAAGTTGTCCTTTTCGTATTCTCGATCGTTCTAATGATTCCTATATGATATAAATAGAGTGCATTTCAGCTCGAATTCAATTCAATTTAATCAAAATATATTTCATCTGATAGGTAGCTTTAAGAACAAAGAAGTAAATGCAAAATCAGCTATACGATATAGTAGTCCAATCTGGCTGGCTGACAAATCATCTGGTACTGGGAGAAAGAAGCACACAGAACTGGCTACGTATGTAGATCGAATCGTCGCCGTGATTTTTTTAAACTATAATAATGTTGATCAAATATTCGACTAATTTCGTTGAAACTTAACACTAGGTGGACATTCTAATAGAGCTTTTGAATATAATATTTGCCATTTTAAGGCAAACATTTGACTTTAAAAATGTATTAACCATAGAAACATCAAAAACAAGAAAGTTAAAAAGTATTCATTTGGTATTTCGAAATAAATTGACTTTCTAATTAAACGAGCTTATTTTATAGCAAATAACTGGCAAGTTGCTGGCTTCAATTAACGGGGTTCCAATTATTTATTTAAGTCTTTAGCAAAGAAACTTTATTTTATAAGTCCCCTTTTTTTCAGAGTATAAATGGTATTTGTTATGAAACTAAATAGTATTTCCTGCTACTGCATTCAAAATCAATCCTTAAAATTACTTTTTGTGACTGCTTATGAGAAAACCAGCACAAATGCTTATATATTTGTTCAACAATTCTCAGTCGTTAATATTCATCAAAAAACTGTATTTACAAGGTTATGTTCTTGTTCTAATAATATAATGTTTCTTCAAATAATTAGGCAAATATTTCCATTCATAAAATAATTAATTAGCTGCTTTTCTTTTTACTCAAGTATTGAGAGAGGGTATTCATTAGCTCAAGCCTATGCTTTAATATTACTTCAATTAAATATAGTATTTCATAGCAGGAAATTCTTAAGATCCTTTTCTTAGTAGTTGTTTAATATACGAATGGATTATAGAGCTGTGGAATATTTTAAAAGAAAAATTAAGTTTAATCAACTAAAAAATTCGAAACATTGCAAATACTAAGCGTGGGACAAATTTGTAGGTCCAAACTTTGATATTAAGCCATAATCAATCGAAAGACGAAGGAAAGAAGTTACCTTCGGTTGTGGCGAAGGTATATACCCTTCACAATCGTTGATAACATATAGTTCTTAATGGCCAAGGGTATCTAATCTACCCTACTGTGTCTGCCAAATTGTCAAATCATTCACCATTTAGGGTGTGGGAGTGGTTTACTATCTTTGCTGATTTTTTACTTTTATTAAGTTAGTGAAAATGTAGCAACTCCTCTAGACTTAAATTTGAAACGAGAATATATATATTATTAAATAGAATTTAAAGATGATGGTTCATCACTTTCAATATTTATATTTTCTTGGAACATTGTCTCTGTTTTATATTTTTGGAGGCGTTAAAATGTAGGCTTTTCGACCAATCAGAATAGGAATGAATATACAAACTTATAAGAGATGATGATATAGAATCTATATCTATCTATATTATAGATTTTTTGTGTATTTGTTCTTCCAATTCTTTTATTGATTATAAGCCCGTGTTTAATTCGTTTTTTTTTATCTTTCTATTGCTTAGTAGTTTATTTTATGGCATGGATATTTAAATATGGGTGATCAAATAATATATTGTATTTAAAATTGTGCTTAACATATATTTGTATTTAAATGTACTTGTATTTAAATAAGAAACTGACAGAAATAGGCCGAACTTAACAACTATATAATAAATTTAAGTATGTTAAAATGTGATAATAAAGACCGATATAAAGACCGATATATATGTGTAGTAAAATATAGTTTTCTGCCACAACAAACTTATCTGAAATGCACTTTTTAAAGCCCACTTCAAGAAACACAAAATCCTATTCACGTTACTGGTAAATCGATGGATTCTTTTAAAATCGAAGCCATTATTTGGAATACTTGTACATACTCTAATAGAGCTAATGCGAATGTGAATTCAATCTAGTGATCTTGAGAAACGAAATCATTATTGGATAATCGCAACGTTAATGAATGGATATCCTAACTACTGCTTATAGGAAGAGCATTCGCTGTTCGTTCCATATTCTTTTCACTCACCTGAGCTGAGCTCATCCGCCAGGGCTGTCCGATGATATAGTTGGCATCGTTGATGGACGCTGGCAAAGTATATGGCCAGCGCCCCAATGGCCGCACCCAGGACAGTGAAGGCGATGGCCAAGACCAGCAGTCGACGTCGCTGCTGCGGCTCCTTGAGCAGCCAATCGCTGGGTCGAGGATGGCGCGTTACCGACGTTTGCGTCAATGTTGTGTTTGGAGCAGCTCCTGCTCCTGTTGCTGTTGTTGTTGTGGTTCCTGTTGGTGCTGTGACTGTGCTCACCAGCATTGCCGGCGGCATGTTGCGCTGAAGGGCGCTGCCCACGCCGCCACTGCCGTCCGGACTGAGAAATGCGACGCTCGGCAGTTTGTTCTGTGACTGATGCTGCGGAACTTTGAAAGCCGGCGTTGCCGATAGAGACCCTGTGGCTGCAGCTGGTGCTAGGCCCGGTCTGGTGGTCTGCTGTCCCAGCAGCGGGGACACTACAGTGGCATTCAGCTCGTCCATGGCATGAGCGCCCGCCTGCAGGAACCCATTGTTCAGGGGCTTCTCGCTGTTCTCTGTGGGCCCCGGGGCGCCGCTGCTCGCCGTTCCCAACATTATTTGGGGGGGCGGGCGGCCGAGTGCCGCCAGTTGCAATGCTCGTTGACTTGGTCTGCCGATACGGTTGGCCGTCTCTATGTTATATTGATTTATGGTCGTGGATCGCCGGATAAAGTCAACAGCCTGCTCTTTGCCGGCTCGTTGATGGGTTCGACAGAGCGCGGGGCTTATGAATAATCAATGATGAGCAGCTGTCCACCAAACAACTTTACTATTTGATTTTCGCACAGTTGTTCTAATGCGACGACTAATGCCACAACGCCGACGTCGGCAGCTCTGACGCTGATGACGACACTGGAAAGCACAGATAGAGATACGGATAATACAGATAGTGAGATACTAGAGCGCTATAAACCCCTCCTAAGTCCAAACTGTCACGGTCCAAACTGTCCCAGTCCCAGTCCCTGTCCCTGTCCCTCTTACGGTCCCGGGCCGCCAATTTTGAAAGGCTGTCCATGATTGACACCACCACCAACAACAACAACAACAACAACAACGACAATAGCGACAACAACGAATGTCACATGCGGCCGTTCACATGGCAAATGGCACGTCGTCTGGCATTAGGCATGAAATATTTATGCCACTGGAGGCAAACGAGTACGGGCTCGACGGGCCCGTCATATGATACGGATATATACGCGTACATATAGCTATATATGGATAGATTTATGGATACTTGATATGGATATGTACGAGTCCAAACAAGTATGAGGCGTGTGTGCTGGTTTCATATCGGGCCGAAGACCGCAGCAGATCATTTTCTGGATGGGATGCATCATTTAGCAATGATGTGTACCGACAGTGGAACTAATCTTAAAATAACTGCTGAATTTTAACGGTCAAAATAGCTTCAAAGTGGAAGCTATACGAGAACTTAACGGCAGGGTATATGGAGGAAGCGGAACGGAAATTGTTTAAAATAACACAAGTATTATTACTATCTGATTATTGAATTGGAGTAAAGTATTATTTTAAAGAATTTGAGAGCCTATTTCATCCATAGGATACTTAAAAATGTTCCTAATTCTAGTACCTACTCAAAGGAAAGATATTCACTGAGTGGAAAGCAAAATGTTGTCACGACATAAGATTCGTTAAAGATTCAATTGTCGGAGAGGAAAGGAGGGAAAAGCATTATAAGACACCATAAGTATCTACATTTTCTTCCATTTTAGTTTACAATTACAACTCGCTACAGCTTCTCGCATACTAAGTATAGCAATAAATATATTTTTATATAGCACGGTATTTATACGGGACTATTTACGTATGATATCATTTTAAATAATATATATAATATATTTTGACTTGGACGTAATGGATAAATTCATAACAATAACAGCAAAAAGGTTATTCAAATACTTTGTAAGCCGGTTATTTGCATTTTTACGGATTTATCCAGTTACTAACAAATTACGCAAGAATATCGTGATATTTGGAAACAAACCTGCTTACACTTTTTGAGTCTATCATAAATTTAAGAGGTATTCATAGTATTGTCATTATAAGTTGACTTAACTTGTAATAACGATTTTAAATTGTAGAGCTCAGCTCCATTGCAATAAATCAGTCAAGGCTCCACATATAGATAGGTTTAGCTTTAAGTTTTTAAACATAAACTCATCGAGTATGTGAGAAGTTAAATGTATTAATTAAGAGCATAAAAGCATTCTGACCTTAAAAAAATGGTGTATCAGGACGACACGCGATAGAAGTGAAACTTTGTGGTTATTTGGAGTAATTTTATTTGTTTTTTGTATTGGTAAGGGGAGCATTTGTATTTATTCAGTAGTTAATTTTTCCACTAATAAAATAAAATTTCGTCTTCATTCCTGCTCTAAAAACGGAATCAATGGTTTCGCATCGTCTAAAGCTAAATTAATATTGTGACCCCCCCTTTGGAATCAAATCGATTTAGTCGATGTTTAAAAATGGAAAAAGATCGATTATTTTGCAGCTCAGCAAATAAATTTGCACAGATAAAATGAATAAAAGGAACACAAAAAGTACCAAAGAGTTTAAAGCTAAGTTCGCTCGCGATCGGTCTTTTGCTTGTGTGTGTGTGTGTGTCTGGCTGACGTCACTTCCGTAACGAAACCTTGCCGATCCAGCAGACCAAAAAACCGTGAAGTATGAAGTTTCACTTCAAAAAACTGTTAATTGGGCAAAGCCCTCAACTTAACATTCCGAACACTACAAATGGATGCACATAGGCTAATAATCTGAGTCCCTAAAGCACATATACAACTATTGTTTATCTCAAATCGGCCATTCCCAATATCTTGAATAACGGACGCCAATGAGACCGAATTAATATTTGTTTCACTAAACTCATAAGTACATTAACTATCGCAATATTTAGGTCTGCCTCTATTAATAACCGGCCATTGCCTGGCTAGTTACTTGATAACACAAATGGCAATAATTGCTTGCCGCCAGGTGTATAAACAAAATCATATATACATACATATGTATGTATGTATGCACATATGTTTCTCATTTGCACTGATATGCAACATACTACGTAGATACAGATGTATCTGTGTTCAAAAATGATTACACGCATACAGGGTGCGCCATCTTTTATGTCGGTATGTAAATATTGAATAGCTTTGTCATTAGTGAACCGATTGACTTGAGTAGACCAGTGTTAAAGAATGAGTCTGAAGAAATTGTACAGAACCAAATTAAATAAAAATATCTCATACTTGAAAATCGGTTGTTTATTTTCAAAGATATTCAATGTTTACATACCGACATAAAAGATGGCGCACCCTGTACATTTACATATGTATGTATGTATGAATATATTTAACATGCATCTGAGAGTTTTTATAAAAGTATAGGGGTGTCGGCATTTGTATTTGTTGTTTCTCTGCTCCTTCCATACTTTAGCTTTGCATTTCGTTTTGGCCGACCGGCCGATCAGGGCCAACGTGTTTGGCTGCCACTGTCCAAATCGAAAAGCCGCCAAAAGCCGCGTGCGCGAAATGCGCGCAAACGCAGTCGCGTTTCAGGCCAGGTTGTCAGCAGGCGGCGACATTGCCTGCCCATTGAGCCGGCCACGAGATGCAAAATACAAAAAAAACACACACAAAAAAAAAAACAGAAAAATTTAATAATTTTCTGTATATTTTAATGGAGATTTATGTGCGTTTTGGATCAGCAGCTAAACTAGTTCCAGAATCGCAGCTGGTCGCGAATCGAGTCACCAGTCACCACTTGACGACGCCGATTCTCGTCAAAAAGAAGAAGGCTGGGCTCGACTGGCCAGCGCTGATCTCGTGATGAGGCGCCGGCGACGGCAGCTACTCATGAATATTTCAGCTGCTGACCAATTCCGCTTATTGTTTCACAATACAGTTTAGTAAGCAATTAAATATTGGGCGCCACGTGAAACGCGATCGCTATGATCCGCAATAGTCAGTCCATCAGTTAGTCAGTTCATCAGTTCCGGTCTTCAAAGAGTCGGTGGCGGGTTCATCAAAGTAAAACAAACAAAAAAAAACCAAAAAAAATAAAAATAAATAAAAACAAAAACAACACAGAAATGAAATGAAATTTGAACAAAACTTAAATAATTTATGCCATTGTATAACGAGTTAGATGCACGCTCTAACTTTTAAACTAAGAAAACTTTTGGTTTTTTGTATGCTATTACTTTTTGTTTTATTTATAATTTGTTGCTGAACGATAATTGTTAACGTTGGTGGTTATATTATTGAGATGAGAACTCGACCGTTGAGTGTGTTTGGTCCGAAATCGGAGTCGTCTTTTATTTTTTTAATTATTATTTTTTCGTTTCTTTGACTTTGTTTATGGCTTTCACCGTTTTGTTTTGAACTATTTTGCGCGTGTTTCGTTTGTGCATGTGTGTGTGCGTGTGGTTCGTCTTTCGTTTAAGTTTGTTCCGTCTGTCTCGCCAAACCACGCGAGGCAACTTCTCGTCACGAACTGAACGTTCTGAACGCGTGTCCTTAGCTTTTAAGCAGCCAGCAGTGGTTGGCGTTGACGACGACGACGCCAGCGTAGACGTCCGACCAATCGACCAACCAACCGACCGACCGACCGATTGACAGTGCGGCATGAAAAGCTCCCTTTTATTCGCACATTCATTTTGGTTTTTTTTTTATTTTTTGTTTTTATTGTTGTTTTTTTCTTCAGCGTTCTGTGTTGTTAAAGGAAGTGCAGCACGCACGCACACTACCCACATTTGCATGTCTTTCAGTAATGTCCCCCTCCCCCTCTCCCCCTCTCACACTCCACCAACACCCATCCGAGTGGGTGTGTGCGTGTGTACCGTTTTGGCACGTTCTACACACAGCTCTTCTAATCGCCTCTAATCGTCGCAGCCGGCAGTCGGCAGTCAGCAGTCGGCAGCCGGCAGCCTGCCTGACGCTGCTCACGGCCACGGCCAAATTTATGCCGGGGGTTCTGGCCATTATCAGCGCGTGATCGTTGGCCAAAACAACATTGTCAACATTTTTTGTGTTGTCCGTAGCCGAATCGAAATTAATTACCACTTGCCGATAGATAAGCAGATAAGTATTGCCCAAAAAAAAAATAAAAAAAACACAACGATTTGAAAAATCATACTATACGCCATGTTAAACCACTATAGACATTATATTATTGTTATCGTGATTGCTGATGCTGCCTTCTGGCCGACGCCTTTTAAACGCAGCCAAACACATCAGGTGAAAAGTCAGCGGAAAGTTTGCCAAAACAGAAGAGAGATGTAAGATAGCATTCCTGTATTATTGTATCAGTTACCACTTCAGAGTGTTTATATGTATAATAGAATGTATAGTCGATTTTGATTGATTAGACACCCATCTTTGGGAACTAAAGTTACTTTCGTTGTGATTACCAAGCATATCCTGAGCTTTTTTATTTATAAAATAAAGAAGTCATGTCATGTCACAATTGAACGACATTTATTTAAGAAGTTATTTACCTTAAGCATGAAATAATAATGGAATATTTCACCTGAAGAGATTAAAGCCAACTATGAAAATTACTTTTTGTAAAATTCATTAAGGAATTGGACATTATTCGAATTAAAATTATCCGTGGCATTTAAATAAAGGAAAGCGGAAATATTAATGCATAATTAAAATACTCTTTTAAAAATCCACGGCGAATATGATTTGAATTATAGAAAAAATCGATCGGACAGGTTTGTTGCATTTGAAATTTGAAATAAACGAACAATTATGAATCATATTGTTACAATTTTGAAACATTGGTGTAGATCATGGCTCACATAAGTTTCCGTCATAAGGACTTTTGTTTTAAATTGCTTTGTAAAATGAAGATGGATAATATGTTTAATTCCAATTATATTTTGGGGTGTTTTAACTTACATATTTTTTTTAGGAATGTCTCATTAAAAATACAATATTTGGTTGATGTTAGCAGGCTAACTTTAAAATATAACGAAAAGTCAACACGAGTCCACAAATTCAGTTTTCTCAAAGTTGACTAGTTTTGTGATAGATTTTGTCGAATAGTTGTGCATGGATGTTTAACAAATTGCTTGCCTTGATTCTTTTTAAGTATATAAGTTTAAGTACTATTCCATTCTTTACATGATATCATGGTCTATCAATCGAAATTGTTTGCAGGAATTCCACTACTGATCTCTTAAAACGTTTTATAAAGTACGAGTATTTGCTGGGAATGCCCGAAACTAAAGTCTCTCATAAATACTTCTGTCTTGGAATTCAATCGCATTTATATACAACCAACTGAGCAGATAAAATTAAACATTTTGATTAGGCTGAAGAAAACAAAAGATAGTACATATTTATAAAAAAAAATTTTTTTAAATGAGTACATAAATTATCCGCTTTATCTTGCCTACTCACCGTTAAAATTCAGTTTTCATCTTTTTGATTGAGCTCTTTATTTTTCCACTGCCATCAATCACAGTCAACAGCTGTTCGGATCCCTTCTCTGCACTTCTCAGGCGAGCACGCGAAGCTTCAAGCCCGGCGTTCTTTTCACTTCAAAGCTGACACCCAACAGGTGTTGTGATTGGCCAGACAAAGATATCCCAGCGATAGCGTCTATTTACATACATATGTACATATGTATGTAATTACGAATATGAATAGCTGAGTTGAATGTTTAATTCCTGGAAATTAGGAATTGTTTATAAATTATGTTGTCGAAGGCGTGGCAAGAGATAAAAAAAAAACCACTTAGCCCCCATTCAAATACACGCACACATACATAAAATAAAATTACAGACAGTCGATTGTAATTGACCAAGAAAACTGGATAAATTGTTTAACATTTTACCTTCACTTTTTCAAATTTGGCGCACAGTTCCGGCAGAATGGTTTCAAGTTCTGAGCCTTCACATTTTTCACATATACACGCGATTTTTTGGCGGCATTTTTCGTTGCCATATGCTAGCCGAGAAATGGCAGGAATGCGCGATTTCGAACACAATTTGCACGCCTCGGGCTCCAAATGTTGGCTCTATTTGCTCATCCGACTTACGCGACTTCCAATCGAACTGACATTCATTAACTGGAGGCGCGCACAAACTTTCTTATCTCTCTTTTCTTTTTTTTTTGTTTTTGGGTTTTTTCTTTTGGCGGTCGGGCAGGCGCTGGTCGGTCGGTCGGTCGGCGACGGTTTCTATGACGAGCGAATTGTGCGCCGATACGTTGGCTGTCGCTTTGACTGCTTTGCGTGCGACTAAACATTTTGTACACAAAGCCAAGTTAATAATACAAAATGCCCGGCGTTAAGTCGACTTCGTAACCCATCAGCCTGCACACCCGACCCACACTCTGTAGAGCTTTTTAACGAAAGCTCGCGCCGCTCACAATGACAGACAGACACAACACACTTGTTGACATGCAAAAACCGGCGCCTTTTTGCAGCAAATATCTACAAACACACATGCATACAAACATACATACACATACATACATACATATGTGCCTGAGCGTTCCACCAGGATCCCTTTGACATGACAGATCTTCAAAGCACTGAACAAAATAACTTTGCAGCATTTAGGAGTGGGTTTAATGAGACACTAAAAAAGACACACGATATTCACAGACCATTCTCATTTGTTCTAGATTATTAATCTTTGTCTTTGTCTTATAATTAAGATAAACTGTGTTTCGCACTATTAGTGGATACCATACCATACTTTCCCGCTTGTCCCAACTATAATTAACGAAGAATCAAAAATTAAGCGATTTCAGTGAATATGCTTTCTTGAATTAAACAATTTCTCAATCTAGGTATAACGGCAAGAAATTACAACCAACTTTAAGAAGAGATCTGATATGCACATCAGAAATAATAGCTTCTTCCATAACGCCTTGTTATTATAAGAGATGTGAGTTGTACATATCCCTGTGGTACCAGATATTCATTTTTCTATCATACCGCACACAATATTTGTATGTTAAAGCTTACGAGTTGCACTAATAGCCCCAATTTAACATACATCTGCCAAACAGCAGTTAGCAGCTTTATGTGACGATACATACATAAATATATAGCAACTGATTGATCAGGGCCTATATCGTCATCATTACGGCAACAATACATAAATCTCCAAGCTGAATGACTTTTAGGAATCCATCTATTAGTACATACATATGTATGCACAAGTATATAAAATCATCTAAATGAATCGGGTATCAGTGTATGTAGATGGAATCATGAACCCTTAATATATCACATTGACTTCACGAGCGCGTCTGAAAGAAAGTTGCATACTTCTTTGCATTGTCTAGCCAAACTTCTTCAATTTATTTAGACCCAGAACCACGTGCGTTGCAGGGTTTGTAGATAAGTTGATAATTATTTATATTTAATGAAGACCTAGCTAGTGCGACAACTTACGGATTTTAAGTTAAACAAATACATATGTATTTATAATTGTAATCCTTTGGCTCTAATGCTCTGTATATGTATATAATAATGATAATAATTTAAAAAGCGCGCCCAGCCTAAGTTGCACCAATATCGTCTGATCTGTCGATGATTTTATTATTGCTTATGTTTTATACTATCAAATATATTCCAGTTTTTGGTATAACATTTTTAATTGTATTAATTTCATTACTTTCATTGGCCATTTAGTAAAGAGTACCACTACAAATAAAATATGTGATTGAATTCACCAATAAAAATAGCTACAGCACGGAATGACTAACTAATTAACTATTGTGAGCCAGGAAATTTATAATTTTGTTATAAATTAATTTATTTATAAATTAATATATAAATGTAGTTTTCGTTCTAAAATTCTCTTCAATATTCTTGTTTAAAATAAAAACAGAAATGATATCGATAGTATCTTGCTTTGTTGTCTTCTTTGTTGTATCTTTGCTCTTTGTTGTAAGCTATTACTATCGAAACTATCGAGAAGTGGACAGGCCTACGCTCATCGACGTCGAGTACTTAAAAAGTATTAATCAATCGATGAATAGTAACGATGTTTTGTGGAGAGTAGTTGATTTGCCTTGCGAGGTTGCCACTCTTCGCACACTATTTGCGTCTATGCTTTTTGCTCTGCTTCGTATACTGTTTATTTCATGTTATTGCAATCCCTTTTCTAATCACTTGACTAACAGATTCCGATACGTGTTGCTTCTTCGCTGTGCGCGAGTTTTAGTTAAATGTTTTAATTTTGTTTATTTTTTCTCTTTGCCTTTTGACAAGTTTTTGCATTCGCAAAAATGCCTAATACTCTACATGCTTTTTTAATCTCACTTTTACTAGTAATTAAACAAGAATTGTGTCTGGTTATTGCCGATAATGCAATTGCTTGCAACAACTTGCATCGCAGTGATATTGAAGGCCACCTGTCCACGAAAACACCCTATCGCGCAATTGCCAACTATAATGATACTCCACCGCATTATGCCGGTTAGTGGACAAATTTTTAAAAAGCATGCAATAAAACATTTATGTACATGCGTATGTAGATATGTTGTGAAACCTGTGTTGACAAATCACACAGCTGTTTACTAATGTGTTTTTCCTAACCACATAAGGTTGCCACCCGACGCGCATTTGGTCTACGATACGACATGGAACGCGAAATCCGAGTAAGGAGGTTATTTTACAGGCAAAGGAGCGTCTAACCGCCTTAAAAGATCAGCTTCTGCAGCAGACTCAGCCCAACCTGTGTGTCGACGAGCTGGAGCAGTTGAGCCGTTGGAGCTGGCAGGACATTGACGGCAATGATGAGAAACTGCTCGTTGCCGAAGGCGAAGACGAGTTAATTGAACTGGCCGAGCGTATGCAATTGCGATTTCCCACCTTGCTGCCTGATCTTTATGATCCGCAATGGTACTATATGAAGTACACTGCAACGCAGCGCACACTGAAAAGTGCTCAGAGCTTTGCAACCGGTCTGTTTGGACGACATCGCATTGCGGCTGTGACGTTTCCGCAGCCACTGCGACAGGATCCTGTACTTCGTGTAAGTAGAAAAAACACATTTTTGGGGCAATTGTTGGCTATGCCTATTAAACTGGATCTAATTCTACCCATGGCGCAGCATAAATAATCTTGAACAAATTCTGCGCGCCATTTTTCGTATTTTCGTCTCATTTGTTGTGATGTGGCAGCACCGCACTATTTTGAGAATAAGGGTGGACAAGTAATACGTGAAAGTGCCCCTTCGTACTGACAAAGACAAAAAGCAAAGAGAAGAACGGTAAATGCGTATTTCGCCTTAGCGTGGGTTTACATTCAACCTGTGCACGGAAGTAATATTTATTAGTTTCGTTTTTTGCGCGTTTCAAAAACAAGAGTTCCGTGAAACGCAATTGAGGCCGCGATTCATGAAAAGTTAGCGCAAGATGCGCGTGGTCGATGTTAATATGAGTGTGAATCACTAGCGTGCAAGCAAGATAGGTAAAGAAATCGTTAAACTTGAGCATGAATCGCGACCTCCTCGCGAGCATAATCGACATCGTAGCACCCGTCTCCTACCTACCTACATACGTACATATGTACTTATATATGTACATACATGCAAAGGCAAAAAATCGGAGTGTGAAATTGTTTGGTTATGTGTGGCGGCTGCAATCCAAATGTGATGTATGAATAGTATCAGCGTCAAAAATCAAGAAAACTTTTATAGCAATTACCAATAGAAGCAGCCGCAGCACTAGTGGCAGCACAGCAGCAGCACCACCACAACATATGTATGCATGTACGTAAATGTTGGCACAACACAGTGAAAATATTAAATCGTCTCTAATGGCTGGTGGCGATGGCGGCGATGCCGGCGGTAGCGTTACAGCGACAAGCATTAGCAGCAGCAGCAGCAATAACAGTAATACAAGTAGCAGTAGCAACACTGCCCAAAAGGGAGACAGAAACAGGGATAGGGACAGCGTTGTGAAATTATTAGTCGGGCCCAACAATCTGGACATGTTGTGTTACTCCAAGGACTTGGACTTTAACTTACAAGATGTCCCGTTGTTTATATCAGACTGGCTGTGTCCACTCTCCTTCTTGGCCAAACGGCATCAGGAAAATATAGAGCCGCTTGTCTACGAGCGTCATGCATGGCGTATACGGGAACGCATGAAAACTGCCAGTGTTGCGCTGGTATTGTGCCTTAACATTGGCGTCGATCCGCCTGATGTGGTTAAAATTCAGCCCTGCTCCCGACTTGAGTGCTGGATCGATCCGTCGTCAGTGTCGGCACCTAAGGCTATGGAGCTCATTGGAAATAATCTGCAGATGCAATATGAGCGCTGGCAGCCACGAGCTCGCTATAAAAAGTGTCATGATCCCACAATAGATGATGTAAAGAAACTGTGTACATCACTGCGTCGTAATGCCAAGGGCGAGCGCATATTGTTTCACTATAATGGACACGGCGTGCCCAAGCCCACGGGCAATGGGGAGATTTGGGTGTTTAATAAAACTTTTACGCAATATATACCGTTGAGCATATTCGACCTGGTCGCCTGGATGTCGGCCCCTTCGATCTATGTATACGATTGCTCTAATGCGGGTATAATTCTCAATCTGTTCCAAACCTATGCAGATCAACATGAGCGTGAGCTGGAAAAGGCAGCTTCTCTTCAGCGGGGCGTGGTCTTGGTGCCTGGCCAAACACAGCCTCAGCAATTGGTCAGCTACAAGAATTGCATACATCTGGCCGCATGCGCTGCTAATGAGATTCTACCTATGAACTCACAGTTGCCGGCGGATCTATTTACGTCCTGCTTGACCACTCCCATCAACATTGCCCTCAAATGGTATGCCATGCAGGAGAAATTGGGTATGGTGCCGCGTATACCCAGCGACCTTATCGATAAGATACCGGGCAAGGTAAACGATCGCCGCACAATGATGGGTGAACTGAATTGGGTATTTACGGCCATTACGGATACAATAGCATGGAATACGTTGCCGCGGGATCTATTTCAGCGTCTTTTCAGGCAGGATCTGTTGGTGGCCAGTCTATTTCGAAATTTCCTGCTGGCCGAGCGCATTTTACGTTCTCATGACTGTACACCAGTGTCGCTACCTCCGTTGCCTCCCTGCTTCCGTCATCCGATGTGGAATGCCTGGGATCTGGTCGTGGATCTAGCGCTACAACAATTGCCGGATATACTTGAGCACAATGCCGTGTATCGACAGCTGCCCTTCTTTGAGGATCAGCTGACTGCCTTTCAAGTGTGGCTAGACAGCGAATCGGAATCACGAACACCCCCGGAACAGCTGCCCATTGTGTTGCAAGTGCTGCTATCGCAGGTCCATCGTCTGCGAGCTCTCGAGCTGCTTGCCCGCTTCCTTGATCTGGGACCTTGGGCTGTCAATTTAGCACTGGGAGTAGGCATCTTTCCGTATGTGCTCAAACTGCTGCAGAGTTCGACTCGCGAACTGCGCCCTGTACTGGTGTTCATCTGGGCCAAGATTTTGGCTGTCGATCCAAGTTGCCAAGTGGATCTGGTCAAGGAATACAAGTACTTTCTATCTGTGCTACAGGACAATACTGTCTCCAAGGAGCATCGTACGCTCTCTGCTTTCGTGCTGGCCTCCATTGTTCACAACTTTTTGTTAGGTCAGACGAGTGCGCTGCAGGGCCCGCTACTTTCTATCTGCCTGGAGCAGCTAAACGATGGCAGCTGGCTGCTGCGCCAGTGGTTAGCTATCTGCCTTGGGGTATTGTGGCAAAACTTTGAAAAGGCACGTTGGTCAGGCGCCCGTGATTTAGCGCACGAAAAACTGTACGTCCTGTTGCGTGATTCCATTCCCGAAGTGCGCGCTGCGGCCGTGTTTGCTCTGGGCACGTTCATCAGCTCGGTGACGGATCGTAGCGAAGAGCAGGCAAACAATATCGATCGTATCATAGCAATCACGCTGTTGGAAACAGTTGGCGAGGATATGTCGCCGCTGGTACGTCTCGAGCTGGCCGCAGCGCTTCAATGGATGGTTCTGCTCTTCGAGTCACAATTCATCACCGTGTACGCATCGGAGCACAGCAACTGTTCTACATCTTCGCTTGTAGCCGGTGGTGAGCGCAGTGCCAGTATCACCCACGGCATGCCGGGTGCACCAAGTGGAGCAGGCCTCAGCCACTCATCCACACACAGCTTGGAGAGGCATACAACTATACGGCGTGGCGTTAGCTATAGCTCTATATCGAACATGTCGACATCAAGCACTGCGGCCAGCACCACCACCATACCGTTCCAATCCATCTTTACAAAGCTGTGGCAGGGAATTTGCAATTTAGGTCACGATCCCTTCCCATTGGTCGCGACCACGGCACAGAAAATCATCAACTACATCGTCGATGCGCACGCGCATATGCGCGAAGCGGCACTAATAATAACCGACAAAGAGGCCACTATCGCAACAGAAAAATGCTCCAGTCTGAGTGTCAGCTTACCGCCCAGTCCCAACACGCGAACCAGATATTTGGGCGGTGGTGGCGAGTCGCCGCCCATTGGGACCACGGGTAATGCCGGCATCTATCAAGGAAGAGTATGGGCTGCCCTACGCCTCCCTAACAGCACTGGTGATCCACAGCATGTATTGCGAAAACGGCGCACAAGCTCCATGAACGATGAAACAGACAGCGGCCTCGCGTCAGCCGCCACCATGAATTTGGGTGGCGACAACGGGGCTTCCGGTGCTGGTGTGAGCGTTGGTTCTCATTCTGCGCACAGTAGCGGCAGCGAAAGCAATCATTACCATGAGCCTGGAAAAGTCCGTATGCAGCCTAGACCGATCGTGGCGACAAAATTTTTACCGTGGGCGATTTCGTACTTCACACGTGCAGGTAAGAACCGATACAGTTCGGCCGAGGGAAGCGAGGAGGGCCGTCAGCGTTGGCCAGTGGACAAGAACTCTGCGGAATTGCGGAGACGCGCATATAGCTACATGCGCAACGAACGTATTCGCCGGTGTGCATTTGAGCAGCGGTCAGACAAACGCCTGGTACGCCAGTATTCCTATAGTTGGGTGCGTCGCACACAATTCACGCCTGCCATTGTCAAGCTGCTGCCCTACGAGCAGGAGATCGCGGTGGCCTACAAGGAGAAGGTCCTCATCTACGATTGGCACCGCAACGCAGGTCACACGTTCGAGCCGAAGACGGCCGCCCAGAGTCATGGCGCCGGCGCAAACGGTAACAGTTCCCTAAATGGCAGCACGCCACGCAAACATGGTGTGGGCGCCACGTCCGGCATAAATGCAGGCGCTAACAGTGCCACCAATTTTGCACGGGTCTCTAGCATTGAGTTTTTAAATACCCAGGATATTGGACTAGTCTTGGCCGCCTACTATGACGGAGTCATACGTGTTTGGCAGTCAACAGGGAGTGGCGCAGGAAGCAGCGGCGAGGAGACACGCTCCAGTGAGACACGCCTCATCACCGCCTGGGATGCATTGCCGCCTGCAGCCTACCACAATATCAGTTCCTATGGCAGCGGCAGCGGTTCCGCCAGCCTGCTGCGTCATCAGCGCACCAGCATGAGCGATCACAACTCCACGGGCATTGTGACCGCCTGGCAACAGTACAGCCAACATTTGGTGGTAGGCGGGGGTGCCTGCAAGTTCCTACGCATCTGGGATGTAGAGCGGGAGTTAAAACTATGCGATTTACAGTTGGGACGGGAGACAACAGTGCGTGTGCTCTCGCCTTTTGTGAGCAACGTGCGCAGTGATCTAATTATCGCCGGCTGTAGTGATGGCAGCGTCCGTCTCTTCGACAAGCGGTGTACGCCACAGGATGCACGTATTCGTGTCTATCGGGAACATGCCACGCATATCATGCACGCGTGCTTGCGAGCCAATGAGACGGATCTTGTCACTGGGTGCAAAGCGGGCAAGGTGTTTGTCTTTGATTTGCGTGCTCGCTCCCAAACCGGCGTGCTGTACCAATGGGAAGCTGGAGAGAATGTGACTGCATTTGCGAGTCACCAGTTTGCGGATGCTGTGGCCTGCGGCAATGCCGCAAAAATATCAATTTACTCGCTGAACGGACGCACACAGAGTGTGCTGCGCAGCAACGAGGGCTTTATGGGCTCCAAAATTGGGCATCCAACCTGCCTATCATTTCATACGTATAAGATGCAGCTAGCAGTGGGATTCGTTGACAACACAGTCGCGGTCTATAGTCCCACGCCAGGTATGATGTTTTGACCCAAAACAAAAAACGCCTCTCCTATTCTACAATTGGGGCTTGAATGTTTGTTAATTATTCTAATTTGTATTTATCATTTGCTCAACTTACAGTTTTATAAACTCTGTAGCCGATGGAAAACTGACGTTGATGAGAATCCTGAAACATTGGTTAACGCACGTAGCTTTTATGGTGAGCCGGAGATGCAAGCAGCAGTTGAGCAAATAAGGCGCAAAACCCAACTGGCAGACCTCACACCCGAGGATGTGGAACTCATGTATACGGTGTGCGCATTTGAGACAGCCTGGCAGCGACGCCGTGCCCCCTCGGTCTGGTGCAGCTTCTTTGATTATGAAGCTCTGCTGGCCCTGGAATTTGCCGAGGATCTGGCTTACTATTGGAATGATGGCTATGGCTATGATCTGACACATCGCATTGCCTGTCCGGCGATCGCCGATATGTTTGCAGCCATCGAGTAAGAATAATTAAAATATAAAACACAAATACTAAGTACATATATTTGCAATTGCGATACTAACCGTTGTGTGTCTGCATGCTTGATTGTTGAAACAACAACTTTTGTCTTCATTAAAACATATTTTACACAGTAGCTTCAAACTGATTCCACAAGTTCTGCCTGAAATGCATTATTTATAAGATCTCCTATTAGACCTGACAGCTTTATCAGTAGAAGAAAAAAATCCGAAGAAGACAAACTCTCAGTTATGTGCCATATACATTAATAAACATTGTTTTTTTTTTCTTTTGACCCTAATCAGCTCGGAGTCCGGACGCGCCAATGCTACCTTCTACTTCACACACTCGGGCACGCTGCTTAAACTGTTGGCCCATCTGGGTGTGGCGAAGGATGAGCAGCCTTTGACACATAAGGACTATGGCTATCCGCGTCGTTGGCGTACGAGCGAAATTGATGCATTCGCGACCAATTTGGCCTTTGTGCGTTACGAGTAAGATTGTCTTCACCCTATTGACCTCTTAATCGCTCCCTAATTCTAATTTTGTTTTTCTTCATTTTAGTTGTGATAATGCCGAGCCTCATGTGCTTGTCATGCATCAGGAGCGGGCGGTACGCCTGCCCGGCTGTCCCCAAGATAGTAATCTGTGTCCACTCCGTACTCTTCGTCGCCTTTATGCCGATGATGCAGAGCAATGCGATTTTGAAGCGCTCTGTCGGATAGCTGCGCCGCCAACGACTTCATAAACGAATGAGACAAGAATCTATCGAAACTGCTGCTGCTATGCTTGGATCTGCTATTGCTTATATAAGCTTCGTGAAACTTAACATGGCCAGGGACTCATCAGAATGTTTGAAATGGAAATTTGATCAGATGCTGTTACGATTCAGAGTGATACAGACATGAAGAAGGAGAGAGAGAGGGAAACAGAGGAGTTGGAAGATAGATATATAGACATGGATGCTTGAAAATTGAGTCAAATGTATGGTGTTGTTGTATTGCCTTATAATCAATGTAAATCATCATTATTGAAATTGAAAGCTGAACGGCTCAACGCCTGCCCTTGGTCGTGTATTGATTGTCTGTCTAAGCCCATGTGTATAGCTTGTAAACAAATTGCCCAATGTCACTGACTATACATCAACCTTCATATATAAATTTAATTAGAGTATATATATTTTTTTCATATTCCCTTTTTGTTGTGAATCTTTTTCGCCTCCCTTCCCCCCACTATGCTTGGCTTACCTAATTCATATACTTTCTTTCGTTTGGTTGTGCTCTACATGGATGGACGCGGCAATTTGTATGTAAATGAAGGTCGATAGTCTCAAATGTGTAAAATTGTATATTATATATTAAGATGGCAGAGCCCAAACAACAGAACAATTCTTAACAACAGCTAAAGCAAGCACTTGTCTTGTATGTATGTATGAATGTGTGCCTCCTCATGAAAAAACAAATCATAAGCAAAAACATTTAAATCCTTGTACATATATAAATATATAAAATAAAAACTGATGTAATTAACTTAAAAACTATTATATTCTTATATAGATGCCTTTCCTTATTTCCCGCAATCTATTTTGCAAATATGTAAATGTAACTTTTTGAATATAAACGTTTTCCTTCTTTTTTTTTTTTTAAATATATAATATATATATATACTATCTACATACATATATATTTGTAATTAGTTGCATTTTAAGTCAGATGGGTTTTCTGTAATTTGTTGTGGTAGCTTGTGTTTTATAAAACAAAGAATGAAAATTGTAAGCCGATGCGCTCAAATTTCCAATACAAATATTATTGGTAGTAATTTGAAGACTGCTTTTTCGTATGGGAATTTTCATTTTGCGAAAGGAATTAAACAACAAGTTAGTGTCGCAAATGTTGTTCATACATATATAGAAATGCAAAGCTTCTTAATTTAAACTTAAAGTACACACAAACATAAGGACGCACTCATGATGTATATTAGCAATCCGTGTGTGTGTGTTATCTATAAAGCTACACATATACATATATACATACATATATGTATATTTATCGATGCATATGTGCATGACTTGTGCAACTAATTAACGCAAATTACAGTCAACAATAAAATTGCAGATGGCTAAAAGGAATCGCAAATACTTAAACAATCTTCATGTCACTCTATTGCTGACCCATCAAAACAAAAACAACACAAACAACGACCATAATTACAAATATAACATGTAAAAGTATAGTTTAAAGCTAAAAGGCTTCTATTCGCAGTCTTTTAAGTGTCGCAAAGTTAAATTTGTTCTTAAGTTTTCTGAGATTACTCAAAAGCAATGCAAAGAAAGAAGGAAAGAAATACACACAACAAAAAGTAGGAGGCAAAGAGATAAATGAATGAATAAATAATAAAAAATACCGAAATGGAAATGAAATGGAAATGTTGTAATTACAGAAAAATCAAATGTACAAATAGCAGCTATTTATTTTTGTAAGCAAACTTCCCGTGTTTGCATGTTAAACGTTTTTTAAAGCTTGCTGCTTATTTGTTTTGTTTTTGAAATTTTTGTTCTCTTCTCGGCACACCGAAGCTCAAATGCTCTTTATCACAACTTGTGTTCAACCATGCTAAACAATCTAAATTGTTGTGAAACCTTCAACAACTCTTCAATAACAATAACCGGTTGAAAAAACACGCGAAATTGTAATAAGTTTGTAATAATACTTGTAATAGGCTCAGCTGCTAGATAGAGAGCATCCGTACATATGTACAAGCATGTACATGTACATGCATGCATATAAAACACCAAGCAAAAACAAAAACGCTTGTAACAGAAGGAGAACTTAGTATTTATTTGAGCAGTTTTTTTTTGTTTTGTATTGTTCTCCATTCTTTCTTGAAATAAAAGTTAATACAAAACCTACACTCGCCATTGTCTTTATTCTCTTGGGTGGAAGTTCGCAAGTGATCGGATCTAAGCATATACTTGTACATAGTAAGTAGAGGCGAACCTTCAAAAACTAAAACAATGTGCAAACTTGTGAAATGCGATTAAGTGCTGTCCAGTCCAGTTCAGTGCTGGAGAAGATGCAGATCGGTTGATTGGTTGGTTGGTTGGTAGTTTTCTGAGCGCGCCGACCGCAACAGGTTCCACACCAGCGACACTAGCGAGAGCGGGACCAGGGGTAAGAATAGGAGTCTTTGCTTGAATAGGGCAGACGGCGAAGGCAACCCTTAACGTGGCCAGCACAGAGCTTGCAAAAGTTCCACCAATTGGTATGGCAGGTCCAAGCACGCGCTGGAAAGCTTAAAGCGACGGCGGCGGTCGTGAAAGCTGCGAGGAAGACGAGAGCGTTTCACTCCTCACTGCGCAGGCGCCTTTTGAAAGACAACGGATGGCATATGGCGTGCAGGAGCAGCGACCAGGCAGAGGAAACGCTGACGATGACGACCGAGCCAGGCGCCTGTTTGAGCATTTTGTTAAAAGTTTCAGTGCGGTGTTGTCGCTACGGTAGGCGCGTCGCTCATTTTGGTTGTTGTTTTTGCCATTATAATTATTGTTAATATGGTTTTTTTTTTTTTGGTTTCAAATGCTGTGCCTGTGTGTGTTGTTGCTGCTCACAAAATATTGCTAATTAATTGCATTACAATAGCCAGAGGCTATAGTGCATGCAGCGGGGCTAAGCTTTCTGTTTATTTAATTTGTAGTCTATTTGTGAGTGTATCCGAGTGTGTGTGTGTGTGTGTGCCGAAGGCAATCACCTGATGCGGAAGCGCGCCCTGCTCCAGAAACTGACCTAATTTTACAATCTCAAAAATATCCAAAAAAAAAAAGGGGGCCAGCAATATCTGGCTGGATCCCCTTCTCTACCAGCACCGGCAACCCCACAAAGTCCCTTCACCAATCACCCAAAGGCGCTTAGCTGGCTTCAGTCATTCCATAGGTTTTAATTGAAACCATTCAACGAATATACAAACGTACATATGTCTTCAATTAACGTTTTTTCCCTTTTGTTTTATTGTAGCGCCCCCGCCTTCGACCCGCCGATATTGATAGCCCGCCTCCAATAATTGTCTTCGTTACCCATCGCTGATCATAGGCGCTAGCGCCGGCCGCCAGGTCAGCAGCAGAAGCAGCCAATAAAAGCCATTGTCGTGCCATTCCCAAACATGGAGCAATTATGCTATTGGCTCCTCAGCTGCCTCTTCATCATTGTGCTGCTCTATGGTCTCCTGGAGCTTCACTACTTCCTGCGCATGTGCCTTTGTGTGCTCCTGGCCCGCTTCATCAAGCCCCGCTGTCACATTCTGGACACCACCGAAGTCAATGGTAAGGCACTAGCTTCATTGTCATTGCCAATTGCACTGTCATTACCGCCTATTAACAATTGTAATCAATTGTCCTTGTTCCGTGTGATTGCCATTACATAAGGTTCGAATTCTAACAACTAGTTGTCTTACATTTCCGTGCCAGTATTTTCCCCACTTAGTCGCCCAAGTCGCATGTTTTCGTTGTTATGGTCAATGTTGCTTAGTTGTGCAAGTTCAAGGCTGCTCAAGGTTGCAAAGAGGGGTGGGGTTAGTTAACTGTTTCTCAGTTTTCCGGCTTGCACAGCCCTCGCGGCTGGCTAACATACACTAGGCGATACATACGATACGATACATACATACATACATAAATAGGTAGGTAGGTACCCATATCAGTAGAACAGTGTGCGGATACTTGGACGATTGTTAGCATTTCAAGTTCATCTAGCACTCGAGTGATTAATGATTTCATGCATTACCCCTGTAATATGATATGTACACACATACTATATGTGGGGAATTGAGAGTACTAGGAATTGCAACGCATGAAAAATGTGGCAGACAATTAGTTGCACATTTCTAGTAATTTGAAGGAGTTACTCAGCATTTGTCTGTTTTCGACAAACAAACTTGTATGTTTGCAGGAATCGCATGCATTCTACGAATCAATAGCATGCGAGTACTAAGAAAGAAAGAGAGATAGAGAGAGATAAATACATATATTAAAATGGTTGACTTTATAATGTGTAGTGCAGATCTCAAATGAGACTTTATAATGTGCAGTGCAGATCTCAAATGAGAACTCAATCTGATAATGAATTTAGTAATTACATCTTATTTAGTAATATACTTAGTATGTATTTCGGTTTTGCAGGCCTCTGTCTCAGCAACGATGTGGACACGCTGCTCTATCATATGAACAACGCTCGCTATTTCCGGGAGCTGGACTTCGCGCGGGTCGACTTCTATGAGCGCACCAATCTCTATCGAACCATAATAGCCAAGGGTGGTTCAGTATTTCAAGGTGCAGCCACCATACGGTATCGTCGCTTCATACGACCCTTTCATCGCTTTAAGATTAATTCGCGCGTAAGTCCTAAGTTCTTGTAGTTACATATTGTGTGGAATTCTCTATTCTGTATCGCTCCACTGCAGATCATTTACTGGGACGAGCAGTCCCTTTTCATGGAGCATCGCTTTGAGCGGCCCGTGGACAAGTTCGTCCACTGCATTGCCATTTGCAGGCAGCGCATCATCGACGTCTCCATGGAGGCAATCATGGCAGAGCTACTGGTGCCGAATTCAGCGGTAACGCCACTTCAGGCGTCCCGTCACACGCTCAGCTCCACCATCAGCTTGCATCAGAACGCGCAGAGCCAGGCCAGCACGGCATTGGAGCAGGCCGAGAACGGACATGTACACCAGCAGCAGGCGCCGGCAAAGCTGAAGCCCGACCTTCCCCCGGAGCTCTGTAAATGGATCGAGTACAATGATTTGTCCAGCAAGAACCTGCGCAATGGCTGCTGACCGCCATCAGTTTTCCCCGCTCCTCGATTAGCTTCAGTGTAGTGGCCATAAAACCACACACATACATACATACATACATCCATGCATAGCCACTTGATTACATACATATGTACATACATATTTCTATAGAGAGTTGTATGAAGCTACGATGTATTTTGTATGGATTTATCTCCGCTATCTCTATATTGTTATTATTTTTTTTTGTTTCGGACTAGGATTCTTGAAGATGTTACTGTGTGTGCGAAAATGTGAAACTGTTTTTCATGGATAGCCTTTAAGTATAAGTTGTTTAGGTGTAAGTGTATGTGTGCATGTGCGGTGTGTATGATGCTAGTCTAGTAAATAAATCGATCAATGTATGTCTAAAGTCAACTCTCACAGATTGAAGAATCTATCTGCAAAAGGAACTCGATTGGAAAAAAGGCATTGGGTCTATTGTCTTATAGGAACTTGAAATTCGAAAAAAATTGGGAAATTTTCAAAAAAAAAAAACCTTGTCCCGACAGATATGACTGTGCAAAGCACCAATACGGAGTCACAGTTCAAAATCTAGTTTCCACACCTAGAACGTTAGGTATATTTGTTTAAAAACCAATTGCGAGCAGTATCAATAGTTCGGTAAGTGCGAAAACATTTGTTTTAGGTACAGCATTCTAAATCTAAGTACGCTAAGTAGGACTCCAAATACAAAATAATAGACAAATTATAAAGGTAATTATGGATAATACAGAGGGAAATTGCTATTATCAGCGATGAATTACCTATGCGAATACCAATAAATAGTTCACCACATCTACACAATCGCCGCAAACCCGCTTGGGAATTGTAATCACTTTTTGTCTCCCTTGTACTTATATCTGAGGTTGATTCAGACGAGATTACACAAAACTCAAATAAGAAAAATCATACAAGTATTGAGCAAAATTATTCTAGAATCACATTTATCCTGAGTGCAGAAATATCGATAGTTAACTAGAAATTCAATCACATCCTGTCGGTTTGAATGGATTTGTTATAAATAATTAATTTATGCACCTTTATTTAGTGACTTTAGCCACTCCACCGAGCTCTTCTGCTTGCAATACAAAGTAATTTTGAAATATGTATGTATATTAGAAATAACAGCGGAATAAAAAAAGCTATCCCGGTCTAAGTTTTTAAACGCAAGTTTGACGATTGTGATGCCATCAAAGGAATGTTTGAATCAAAAATACTATTTAAGAACTACTTATATATGTAGAAATATTTAGAATTTTTATATAAATAATTAGCATAATGAAACAAATCCATTTATTATTTGCATCTGTCTGTTGCGTTCTCGATTCTTCCATTCCAAGCGCCTTTTGGGATGAAAAATAGCCCATTTGCAAATGGAGAACGCGGTCTGGTGCTACAAATTGAAAACGTTACGGACCTTAAAATTATTGTTTCTGGTATATGGTGGATCCGTCTCTTTCTCCGCCACAGTCCTTCAACTGAAATAAACTTGGTTGCACCAGGAACCGATTTCAACCCACGAATACCCTATAGAAGCTTTAAAAAACAATAAATATATGATTCGTCATATATTTGTTTGGTGTCTCTAGCTATTATGGCTTAAAAGTTATTTTTGTTCATACCTGACATGGCTATGTATATCGATTCGGATGCTCTGTCGATACAAACATTCTGAATTTTAAGTATATCCTTTACACTTGGTACATTCTGCCACAGATGTATACGTATATATATAGCTTTATACATATACTCTGTAAAAAGAAAAAGATAGAAGAGTATTCTGAAAACATTGAGTGTGAAGAAGGCCCATGACTCGTTAGAGTCGATACAGCCATCTCAGTCAGTAACTCCGTCAGCTTGAACATGGAGAATTTTTTAGCCATTATCGTGTGCTTGGGGCACACAACTTTACTTGTCAGCTACCCGCTGACTGAGGGTATTATGTAGTGTCGATTTATATAATTTTAATAATGGGCAAGGGCGTACGCAGCTTTTACCAAAGGGGTGGGGGCCCAACAAATTAATATTTTGATTAAATAATGCACGATGCATTTAAAAAATAATTTTTGCATATGATCAATGAAAAAACTTCAAAACCTCCCTGTCTACGCCCTTGACAATTGGTGCAAAAGTCGCCGTTTTGGTTTTTCTTTTTTTTAACAATCATATCATATATACATAAAGGAAAACACTGATTCTTTTTTTTTACAATATTGTTTCTGATGTGATCGACCAATATTTGATTTATAGACCCTCCACTGTTTTGTCTTTCATTTTATTACACTCACAAGGAAGTAATTTATACAAACATAGGTCTCACTATATGATCAGCAGTCCAAATACATATATAATAATAGCGATATATAGTTTAAGATCTTGATTATTTATAAAAATATAAACAATATGTAGCGGAACTGTTATTTGCTGTTAAGTATGGATCCTCTATGGTCGAAAAAGATTCACTCTAGGTTGGAGCATAAAAGCATAAAAGACCTGACACCACTCTATTAGCCCTGTTGTGCATTTTCGATTGTGTTGGTCAATACGTTAGTTGAGTAACATGCTTATATGAGCGCATGCATAAGTTTGGGCAAATTGAGCGTTAAACGCTCCCAGCCAACTCTCCGACTACACACACACACGCACACACACACAACAATTATCCAACTGCACCGCTCTCCCGCTCTCACCAACCGTTTCGAGCAACTTTCGCGGAGTGGCGGCAACTTTGCTTTATTTCCAACACTTGTTTGCGCTTGAGCGGCTTTCTTTGGCATCAGTCGCTTTCGGTTGCCCCTAGCCGACAGTCGAGGCCGGAATTGACGTCGTTGTTCCTGTTGCTGTTGCTTTTATTGTCGTTATCTCATTTCCATTTTACGGTGAGTAGTGTGGGGACAGCATTACTGCACGGCTAATATCGGCGGGTTCAATGCATAATTAACACTAACCTGACAGCTTGCTGGCTATGCATTTCGGGCGCAAAGTTCGCGCAGAGCTGTCGATTTGGCGAATTTTGAAATCATGTGCAATTTGGCTTGGCCCATTAACCGCTAAAGTATGGCCAATGCTCGTAACTTGTTACAAAGCAAGTTGCGTGTGAGATGAAAAAAAAAACAAACAAACCAAACAAAACTGAGGGAAAACTTTCGCTGCTAATGGAATGCTGTTTCTTATTTTTTTTCTGTTGCAACATACAGCGCGAGGAGGGGACTAATAGAGAGGAGAGATCATGTCATTTCTGGTGTTTGCGCTAATCTTGTACATCATCTGGGATGTGAATTACTTCATCCGGTGCGTCTTTACGGTCTTCGCCGGCCGACTGTTTCAGCGCAAGCGCAAGGTGACCGACACAACCACAATCTATGGCCTCTGCACGTCTCAGGATGTGGACATCTTTATCCGCCACATGAACAATGCACGCTACGTGCGTGAGCTAGACTTCGCCCGCTTTCATTTCTATGCTCTGACCGGTCTCTATGAGCGTGTGAAGGAGCGTCGTGGCGGAGCCGTGCAGGGCGCCAGCAGCGTCCGCTATCGCCGTACTATTCCCATCTTCCATCCATACAAGATACAGACAAAGCTCATCTGGTGGGATGAAAAGGCCATCTACCTGGAGCAACAGTTTGTGACGCTGTCCGATGGCTTTGTGCGTGCCGTCGCCCTCTCCAAGCAGTGCATCACCAACTGCAACGTGTTAGAGATACTCAAGACCTACCCGGAGGCGGGCAAGCGACCGGAGATGCCCGCTGAGCTGAAGCTGTGGCTGGACGCCATCGAGCTGTCCAGCCAGAAGTTGCGCAAAGACAAGTGAGACTGCCGACAGCAATCGCATTTGCATAACTCATTTCCATATATTAATATGGATGTCTCTACTCGTAGTCTTGTGCGGTAGTTTCTACGTTTCTGTTTTTTTTTGTTTTGTTATAAAAGTTTTTTTAAGTGTAAATAAAAAAATGTTGTATGGGGGGCTAAGCCATTTTCTACACTATTATTCGAACACACAAGCGTATTCATTTGTGAGCCAGGGTTCAAAGTTGAGCTTTTCAAACAGATGTACACATCGATGACTACGATTGATATTTAATTTAATTCATACATTCTACATCTACTTCGTATTGGTAAGCACAATTACATAACTGATAGGGCCAGTACGAACAGATAATGCTTATCTTAAATATCAAATAATATTAATCAACAACTTGTCATTACTGGCCTGGCCGATGGATGAGCCTTTTGCGAATCTACCTTAGGTCATGGACAGCAGAACAACGTACATGTATGTATGTATGTAATTATAATGCTAGTATTGGAATAGATCTTTGCAAAGCCACCTTAGAGCATGAGCAGCTGGGTGAGGTCTGTGGTTGGTAGGGACACAGGGTAATAACCTTCATTATTCCCGTTTGAAATCAATATATATACGAAATTAGTTGACCAACTTTTCTAGAGCCGGCTTGCTCTTCGAAGAAACGGTATTTTCTGGAGAATTACAAAAGATATATTGACTGCTTTGGAACGGTTTCTTAACGGACTTTCTAATCTCGGTTAAGTATATGCAAGGCTTTAATTAGTGTAACATAATTGTTTAGTGATTGAAAATAACTACCTGGACATATAGTTATTTTGTATGTCGATACATCGGGAAACTGGCTAATATTATCATACTCTTTACCGGAAAGGTGAATGGCCTCGGGCAGCAAAATTTGTCCGCGCCCTTGTCCATTTTTGATAAAAGGGTAAATATTTAAGATAAGCAACGAGAGATGCAAAAGGCTTAAGTCCCCATTCCTCAATTGAAGCAGCACATGTGAAACTTATATGATATTTTCCAACTGAAGGATACATTAGCGGGGGCTGAAAGTCAATATTGCATCAGAAAATTTCTGAAATAGGTTTCAATTATTTACAATCTCTAAAAATATAATTATTATAATTCTAATACCAAAGGCTTGGTGGCAGCAATGGAAGTGGATGATTTCTGTTATTTATTTTGGAACCGATATAAGATTGTTTTAAAAGTAAACAATTAACAACATACATAAGTGAATAATTTGTTTGTTAAAGAAAAAAAAAAATCATTATTTGCGGTCTCTGCCTAAAATATTTAAGCTATTTTTGGATATGCCTCTTAGTCTTATGTCTGTTAGGGTTTTTTTTGCATAGATTTCATAGATTATAAAACATCCACCAAATTTGAAAGATGATCAAACAGTTATCGAGCTAAAATTTGAAAGACCACATTTAAAAATGATTTAACTAGAGTCCTAAGGTCAGAGAATATTAGAGTGAGCTCTAGACCTGTCACCAATACTGAAAAGGATATAACATATGCCTTCCTACGTTTCCGAATGTAATTAACATAACTAGTCAAGATATAAGTCAGAAGTCGGGGGTGCCAAATATTCTGATCTTAAGAAAAAGAATATGATTTCCTTGCGTTGTGAGTCCCGGGGCCACATATCATCTTCTGGTCGTAAGGTAAGGAAGTCGAAAGTTAAGCATCTTATAGCTCGCTTAGGTTATGCCTAATCACGCTGCTCCCTTGTCTGCTCACTTCCTGCTTAATTTTACGACCCAACCATGCGTCCAACGTTGCGTATGAGCACTGGCAGTGATCTGCCTGCATGCGATGCTTTTCCCCTCCATTACATGGGGGCAGGCATTGGACAACATAACGACGCTCACGAGCCACAATCACTCGCACTCTTGTTGTGTTCTTCTTTGTAACTGTAGTTGCTCTTTATCCCCTGTAGTCGTGCGTACGAGAGCCTGCATATTAGTTTTGTAAGCTCTCATACCTGTTATACTACTTTAATGCTGTCCGTTTGAAGATTTGTCCCCAATGTCTGAGGTAATGAATGCTCGAGACATACCACTAGCCAAAAGCATTACTCTAACATCAATAAAGAAGAACACTGCTAGGCTTCTTTGTTTTCGATTCTCGATATGATTAATAATAAAGACTTTATATTGTGCTATAGAGTATACACTGAAGCATTATATCGTTTCATTTCGGTTCTCTTTTTTATGAGTTTCTTAACCATTTTCAAATGTAGATCAAAACGTGACACTGAAATCGAAACAATAATCTAATTCATAAGTATGCGGGCCTCGCGCACATGCTTTGCCACTGAGATTGCAACTGTCAACTGGTCCCCATTTCGTAGCCCATTCCCCCATACCCATCTCTAAATCCACCTCCACCCCCATTCCTCCACACCTTGGACAACGAGCGACAGTTACGAGCAGAAGAGAGGCACGATAGACGACAAGTTGGTCGCTCGCTTGTTCGGGCGGCCGCTCAACTTGGGCTGCGATTGTTGTTGTTGTGGCAGCCACTGGGCAACTGGTTGTTGTTGCTGTTGCTGTTGTTATTGTTGTCGTTGGCTGCTGTTGCGGTTCGGTCGCGGATGCGCCGCATCGTTGTCGTTTTCGTCGCCGTCGTCGTCCGTCTTCTTTACTATTTTTAACTGCGAAGAATTGTCAGTCAGTTTATTTTGAACACTCGTGGCGTGCGGATAGAATCCACGGGCCGCTCGACAGACCGACACACTATCAAGCGTACGTACGACAAAAAAAATCCAATTCATCCACGAAATAAATAGAAAATTGTTGTAAAAATAAAAAACACGAAACGTCGCGAAAAAATTTAAAAGAAAATTACAAAATTCAAAAGCAGTCGACACAATTGGGAAATTTGTTAATTTGAGTCTTTTCTGCGTTTGTGTTTATATGTGAGTGTGTGTGTGTGTGTTTTTTTTTTTTGCTGTTGTTTTTGCCGCCACTCGAGGATACTAGAATCTGAGTGAGGAGTGAATGTGAAAACCAAATTTTTGATAGTGTGATAAAAAGTTTTCTATTTGCACTTTGCCGGATAACACGAAAAGTATGTTTTTGTTTTTAGCAACAGTTGTGTGTAGAAAGAAGTTTTAATTAAAAGTTAAATCCAAAGTTGAAGCTGTTTTTCGCAACAACAACAACAACAACATGAACGTCTCGTCGTCATCATCATCATTGGCATCATCATTATTATCATCATAACATTAGCATTATCAACGTAATTGCAATCACAATTACAGCTGCATATTTGCTTATTAAATTCACGGCCTTTAGACCGCCCAAGTGAAAATCTTTTTGTGCAGCTCAGTGCCAAAGACCTTGAGAGTGAATGGGTGGGGTGGGGTGGATATGGACATGGGGAAGGGGAGGGGGCGCTCACTGTTCACTGCTCACTGCTCATTGTAATGCGAATCGAGCATTGGCCATGCGAGCTGTACAGATATATTGAGTATTTTACAGTTACTTTGTAAACGGCGACAACTTTGCAGTTTATTGACAGCGAAAAAACCAGATTCAGCAGCGGCAGCAACAACAACAACAACAGCAACAACAACCCAGCAACTTGAAGTAATTTGCAACTTAAAAGAAATGAGGCGGCAAGGGGGAAAAGGCGTAAATACATAGACTAGAGATACCCGCCCCGTCTCAAGGCACTCGGAAAACAAAAAAGAGAAAATTTTCGACAACACACGACGGCTTTGGTTAAAGAAAAAGGCCAACAAACAGCAAGAGCAACAACAACAACAGCAAACGCATTTAGGCAACAGTCAATGGTCAACACTTTGTGGCAGCTGCAGGCCAAAGAAAAGCGCTGCCAAGCTTTATTTAATAGAAGTCGTTATTGTTGTTGTTATTGTTGACAATAGTTGCGCCTGCGCCCGACAGGCTGAGAAATGGACAGACTGACACTTTGTCTAGTCAATGTGTCAATGAAACAATCTTCGACCGTTATGTCTTGATGGTAGTCCAATGAACGTTTAATATTTAACTATAAGTTTTCTAATACAGATTCGTTTCATGATTAGTTTAGAATTTCGGCCTAGCAACTGATTCGAAGCACTAGTACGGATAGTAATTAAATATTCCAATTCATAGTTAAATGTATGTTCTAACTAAACATTTGAATGGCATTCTTTAATGTTGCTTTAGCTTCGATTCATAATTATTCTATATTTGTAGACTCTACATATTTTTTGGTTGATAAGAAACACCCTTTGAATTGTTGTTAGGCGACACTTAATTTATTCGATTCCTAATTACTCCATATACAAGTATGTATGGGTTCTAAATATTTTTCGGTTGATAAGAAAAACCCATTGAATTGTTGTGAGACAACATTGAATTTAATTCGATTTTTAAAAGTTCTCCCAAGTTTTTAGCCTAATAACTGATTAATGACAGTTCTTTCAATCTAAGCAGCTAAAAAATAACAATTAAATATAATTTAAGAAATTGTTCCTGATCATATGGTCAGGTAGGCAAACAATTTGCATACAAAAACACAAACCAAGAAAAGCCTGTCTGTTCATAGCTCAAGTAGTGAACTGCTAATGTACAAGTCCAGGGCGTCATTACTGGATCTAGTTACTTGTATTAGGAGCAATAACTACAGCAACAACAAATGCAACACCATCAGTAAAAATAGGAACACCAGCTTGTTTTATCTATGCCCCAATATGAGAAATGTTTTGGTGACCATCATTGGCAATTTTCATAGCATAAATCACTCTTGCACATCCGCACATTCATATGGGCCGCAACTGACTGCCCCTGCCCCTGCCTCCCACCGCCTCCCCTCGCCTGGGCTTCGCGTAATGATAAATGTGCAATGGGTTGCTTTTAAAATGGGTGAAGTGGAGGGGGGGGGGGGCGGTGTGGATCAGCAAGCGAGTAAATCGCAAATTTCCAGCGTCAAATGCCATTAAGCCAGCTGTGTTATTGAGTTAAATTGGAAAATAAGCGCGCGACAGTTACAGTTGTTGTTGTTGTTGCTGTTGTTGCTGCTGCCACCGCCGGGCTTTGCAATTGTTCGCACTTAGCGCAACCGACGCGTCTTGGGGTTGTCTGTCTGTCCAGAGTTGCTAGCCCCTCCCCACGTCCACTGCTCATCACCACAAATCTCAATATGCTGCCTGCTTATTATTTGCACTATTTCATTATTATGTTAAATGCTAATGATCATCAGCAGCATCATCATTATACTCATCATCCTCTGCAGCAACAGCGGCAGCGACAGCATCATCAACATCATCATTATCTTCATCCATCAACATATGTACGAGTATGGTACATCGTTATTCCAATTGTGCTTTTTGTGTTTATTATTTGCCTACACTTAGCCGCATTCCACACACACATACACACACACATACTCTATAGAAGTATCCATGCTTCAACTTGCTGGATGGTTGTTGTTTCTGCTCTGGCTGCTTGAAGTCGCGGTGTTAAGAGCTGATTGTCGCTGCGCATGCGCGCCACACGTGCCAAAACCGAACAATCCGTCAACTGCCACACTGACAGCAATCCCTGTCCCCAGCCTCTGTCCCTGTCCCTGCCGTTGCCGTTGCCATTGCCACTGCCACGCCCACACCACCACCGCCACTGCAATCAATTGTGCATTTCAAGCTAAGCCTCTGAAGCACTCGTAAGTGACTTGAGTTCAGCACTGATTCCTGAGCTGGGCTGTGTGATGTGGCATGCGATAATGGGCGTGATAATTAACCCTGTCTTAGTTAAGTTGTAAGTGTGACCGATTACTTTGAAGACGACTAAGCTATGAGGAATAGTTCCCAGACACCCAGGCTAAGATTTTCTTTGCAACTTTGAAGTTTCTAAACAGTGTACAGTGTTAGAACCGATCTTTCAGCGGCGTCATCTAAAAAGGACTCATAATCCATTAGGTCTACATAATGGTAAAAGCCATGCACCAACTTTTGTAAATGTAAATAGACAAATGACTTACTAAGTACTGGGCTTGAGAAAGGTGCGTAACAGCAACGAAAAGGTAGTCGATCTAAGTAGTTAAGGACTCTACTTACAATCCATTATGACGTCTACATAACGGTAAAAGCGACGCACTATCTTTTGTGTAATTACAAATTATTTTATTATACGTAGCATTATTCTATTGATATATACTGTAAATAAACAAATGACTTACTACTGGGCTTGAGAAAAGTGCATAACAGCAACGAAAAGGGAGTCGATCTAAGTAGTTAAGGACTCTACTTACAATCCATTATGACGTCTACATAACGGTAAAAGCGACGCACTATCTTTTGTATAATTACAAAATATTTTATTATACATACGTAGCATTATTCTAATGATATATACTGTAAATAGACAAATGACTTACTGCTGGGCTTGAGAAAAGTGCGTAACAGCAACGAAAAGGGAGTCGATCTAAGTAGTTAAGGACTCTACTTACAATCCATTATGACGTCTACATAACGGTAAAAGCGACGCACTATCTTTTGTGTAATTACAAATTATTTTATTATACGTAGCATTATTCTATTGATATATACTGTAAATAAACAAATGACTTACTGCTGGGCTTGAGAAAAGTGCGTAACAGCAACGAAAAGGGAGTCGATCTAAGTAGTTAAGGACTCTACTTACAATCCATTATGACGTCTACATAACGGTAAAAGCGACGCACTATCTTTTGTGTAATTACAAATTATTTTATTATACGTAGCAGTATTCTATTGATATACCCTGTAAATAGAAAGAAAAGTGCGTAACAGCAACGAAAAGGGAGGCGATCTAAGAAGTTAAGGACTCCACTCACAATCCATTATGACGTATACATAACGGTAAAAGCGACGCACTATCTTTTGTATAATTACAAAATATTTTATTATACATACGTAGCATTATTCTATTGATATACCCTGTAAATAGACAAATGACTTACTAAGTACTGGGCTTGAGAAAGGTGCGTAACAGCAACGAAAAGGTAGTCGATCTAAGTAGTTAAGGACTCTACTTACAATCCATTATGACGTCTACATAACGGTAAAAGCGACGCACTATCTTTTGTGTAATTACAAATTATTTTATTATACGTAGCATTATTCTATTGATATATACTGTAAATAAACAAATGACTTACTGCTGGGCTTGAGAAAAGTGCGTAACAGCAACGAAAAGGGAGTCGATCTAAGTAGTTAAGGACTCTACTTACAATCCATTATGACGTCTACGTAAGACGTAAAGACGACGCTGAATAGTTGAGTTTTCACAGTAACTCTTTTTCTTTTGGCAAAATATATACCTTATACCTAGCAGTATTCTATTGATATACTCTGTAAATAATCAAATGGCTTACTAATAGGTTTCATCTTCAATTCAAATTTCGCCCTCTTGTGAGACTCTCCAGCAAAGACCATGGAACTCTGAATTCTTCAGTCTTTTATGATACTAATTTAATAATTATTTTACATGTACATATAGTACAATATATAATTATTTTTGAAATATTTTCGTTCATAATGATAGTATTCCGGTCATTTAAATGGAAGCTAATACACATGGTGGCCAGTGCATCGGAGTGCCTTTCTAAGTAGATTAGTATGTGAGCTAATTATAAGAGAACAGCAAACTTTTAATCTAAGTATAATGCATAATTAAATGGAACGTGCAGTATTGCTGGAATAAATCTGTAAATGTTGTCACCAATTGTCGATCCACCTCTATAAAAATGTCCTATACTAATATAACTTTTTGGACCACTTAATGGACCATCCATAAATATTTAAATAAACTGTTTGAGACTAATCTAAAAATATCTGAATATTGCGTTTTCCGCAGTTAGGCAATGCAGCCATTTTATCTATTGAACATATATAAATATAAATTTGCAAAGGCGGCAACAATTGTTTTAAAATATTCGTTGTAAAAATCCGTATATTATAATAGAAGAGTTCGTTGATTAGTTAGAAGTGTGAATGCAGTATTTTTGGAATAACATTAGATAGTTCTTCTTAGCTGTCATAAATAAACTGGATTAAAACTGGTTAACAATATTGCAGCTGTTCAGATGTTGGTGTCATACTCGTAGTTTGTCGTCCAGAGTGGCGAAACAAATACAACAACAACAACAAGAACCACAACAGTAGCAGCAGCAGCCACATCGACGACTGCGGTATTTTATTGTGTGGGCGGTAATTTGAGACGCGTCAGTATTTTATTATAAATTTTTTGTTTTTTCTGTTAATACATAGTTGTTGATTAGTCGTAAATGTGCATTTGTGCTTACAATGCAAATGCCTGAATGTGTGTGTGGCTGTGTTTATACCCTGCACATGAAATGTAAAAGAGTATATTAGGCTTGCGCGAGCTGAAATATTTAACAGGCAGAAGGAGGCGTGGCAAACCCCACAAAGTATATACAAATATTCTTGGCCAGCATGACAAGACGAGTCGATCAAGCCCTGTCTGTCTGTCTGTCCGTATGAACACCTGGATCTCAGAGACTATAAGAGCTAGAGACACCAAATTTTGCACAAACATGCCTTATGTGTGTACGCTGTACAAGTTTGTTTTATTATTATTTATTATTATTTATATTTATATTTATTTTTGATTTCCCCCCACTGCCCCCTATAGGGGTTTTACACCTATATCTCGGAGACTATAAGACCTAGGGATGCCAGATTATATTCCAAAATACCTTATACGCAGAAAACGTGTATTTTGGAATTTCCCTTCCTCCCCCCGCTGCGGAAATCACAAATTGTGGTTTTCCACACCTTCCATATTTCTCAGAATTTTGGACAATTCGGCAAATACTTCCAGTTAGTGATTATGAGTCCGTATGCCGATAGGCCGATTTTAAAGGAAGTTATAGCCATATATAGGTTCTCTCTGCTTAAGCGCTGCCCGCAGTTGTTGTTGTTGCCGCTGCTTTGTGCTGCATACATGCTTACACAGACACGATTAGACACGAATAGACGCGCATGGACATGCAATTTTATTAATTTTTTTAATTTCTATAATTATTCTACACATATGTGCAGAGTATTTCAAAGGCAGGACACCCGACTTTACTTTACTCTTCACTTGTTTTGTGTACATACAAGTATGTATATGTACATATGTAAGTATGTATGTGTATGCGCAACCGTTGAACATTTTTCGCCAGCAAATTGTTCACAAATGGGTTAAATACACCCCTGCTGGGTAGCTGAACAACACACACACACACTCACACACACGTACTCATGCATGGTACTCCAGTTACAATACGAGAAGAAAAGGAAATGCCAAGCTAATAGAATACACATCACGAATATGTGTAAAACAAACCAAGCTGTTTTAATTCACAAATTTGAATTTATTTATGCACATTTGTGTTTGTGTGGCAGGCCAAAAAGAAAAAAATGAAATACGCACACACACACTTTATACAAACATATATTTAATAGATACAAATGTATCTAATGAATGCACCGCAGCGCGCTCAGTCCACCTTCCCTTCGCCTCTTCCCCTACCTCGACCATTCCTCGTTTGCAATTGAATGATTTATGTGGCCGTGGCTGCAAATAGCAAGAGTGGGTGTGTGTGTGTGTGTGTGTGTGTGTGTGTGGATAGTCTCTCTCTCTTAATAGCTTTCACCGCTGGCCAGAGAAACCAGCTTTAAGATACTTATGTACCTACCTACTTGGCATCTCCTTGCAGCAAACCCCGACCAGACGACGACACAGCAAGCTCCAAGGATGGGGAACGCTGGATACACATGCATACGTCGCACCTTCTGCTGGCTGAACATCATACTGTGGGTGAGTTGTATGCGAGCTTTGTTTCCTGTGTGTGTGTGTGTGCCACACGGCGTATGCGCAACATATGCCAAAACGCCAGACAATTGAGTTACGAGCGGATATGCAACAAGGCGATGGTAATGGCGATGGCGATGGTGATGGAGACGCAACAGCAACGGCAACAGCAACGGCAACGGCAACACCAACTCGTTCCGGCATTGATGCAACAAAGGCAGGCAACGGCGTCTGCAAAGTTTACGGCGTCTGCAGCGGAAGCGATAACAATGATGACGATAATGGCGATAATGATGAAAATGCTGATGATGAAATACAAGTAGTATTGTCTGCCGCTTGATGTTCACACGCGCTTTTGTTTCTCGCACGACTCCTCAACACGTTTGACGTTTTTGGCATTTGGACGCATGTGGAGGCACACGTGCTCGTGTTTAGAGTGCAAGGAATCAAGTCGAAGGCGTAGCCCCAAATATGCCATCCCATTCCTAAATAATAAAAGGGTTGTACGCCCAATGCAATTTAAAATTTGAAGCACCTCAAATATCGCTATAAATACCAGACCACCTAACAGTTCTGTGGGTGCTCACAGTTCTCTGGATAGCTCGAAAGATCTTGATCGTGTACGGTTTTGTTGTAATCCAGTTTCAGTTTAAAGTATTGAAGAAAAATGTGACTTTGGTTTGATTCTCACCGCAAAAGAATTTTAAAAAAATTTAATTTAATGCAGTTTTTCAAGAGTTAAGTGCTCAAAAGGTCAACTTTTTCATCTCCAATGAAATATATGTATATGAACGAAGTTTAAACAAACTCAAGTTATTTGGTGTTTCAAGCTAACGTGGCTCTCATTTCTATTATCCAGTTTTAGAGTTATCTGCGTCTAGGATATAAGGGTATGTCAAGAAGAAGACAAAACATCTGGCAATCCAAGCAAACCAATTTTGTGTAAACAAAGATTCATTTTCTTAAAAGATAAATAAGTTTTACCACTGGACTTGAAATTGTTTGTTCAACAATTCTTAATTCAACAATTAGAGATCAAATATACCCACAATTCGTATTACATACTCCCCAGAAGTCCCACTTATATAAAATCGGACTTTTAGTCCACAATTTACATTTGGGTTTGATTTAAATAAAATTTGTTCTTCAAATCAGAATTGATGTCAATGAAATTTCTCTTTATTAAAAGTTTAGTGCGTTCGGCTCGAAATTTAGAAGCCCATTATTCTGACAATGCACATAAGCTTACATTTTCATAGTATTAGTGTATAAGTATCCATATAATGATAATTTAATGGTTATTTTTGCTAAATTAGTAACGAAAAGTACCCATATTTTCTTTCAAAATGTTAAACGTGTACTCAGAAAAATCATTTCAGTGGCGAAATAATTAAATTGAAAAGTATTACAATACAGAACATCATTTTAATAAATACTTGAGGATACAATAGAGTTAAGTGGGGATTTTTGATTTCTAGTTTGGATTTTTCAAATCGATGTTAAGAGCGATTCCAAACGCCTGTTTTATAGTTTTCCAAAGAGTTTCACATGCTTATATATTATTTAAAAATGATAGGTTTTTTTTCCTTATATCACATTCTTATTAATTTAGTGTTAAAAAAAAGTTAAGTTTTGGAAAAAGCTCTTATTGGCTTAGAAAAGTAATTAATATTGGTCAAGAATTCATTGGACAAACGATATAGTTTTTGAAATATTTTATATAATCTAATCATATGTTGAAATTATAATTTATTAAATTATGAAATCTAATACCAATTCTTTTCTGCTTAAGCTTTTTATCAATGCCTTCAAATCCTCTCCATAATAATTTGCATGCACTTACGGTTCAATGCCAGATTAGGCAGTACAAGTATTCTTTGTCCTTACAAAAGTCTTCTTCACTTTGCTACAACTATTATAAAATTGATAATTTAAATGATGACGAATTTTAGTCAGTTATGTGGTAATTCATTTTGCTTGCCTTACTTGCTCTTGGACATAGTTCAACTGAGGCTTTGAAGCGTTATTTATATTGAAAGGACATGCAGGTTATCCGTTTCTAAGGTCTTTTTAGCTACAGGTCTTTATCCAGTACTTTCGCAGCAGTATCCTTTCTGTATTGTATAGATTTTTGTATTGTATATCTATATTGTATTCTATAGTAATTATCTTGATGGCCAAATGAATTGTGTGGTTCCTCGAAATTCAAAACACATTTCCAAGAATTAAATTTTAATTCTGCGCACCTTGTGTGGTGGAAGAGGAAGAGCAAAAAAGTTAACCTTACATAAACTATAAGTCGGGCATTAAACTATTGAAAGCAGCAGTTACTTATCATATGAATTGTTGCATCAACTCACTTAGCCCTCCTTTGAAGGAGCCACAATAGGAATCAATTAGAAGAGGCATATCCATAAACAATTGCGGCTTGATTCTCTGCAGACTGTGGTGTGGAATGTGTGTGTGATGTGTGACCTCGTGACCTAATCACCTTGTTTTATTCACCAGCTTTGCAGCTGCGCTTTCCTGGGCGCTGGCCTCTGGCTACGACTGTCCTATGAGGGCTATGCGACGCTGCTGCCCCAGCATGCGGCACTCAGTGCGGACACAATCTTCATGTGCATCGGTGGCATTGGGTTTGTGGTTAGTTTCTTTGGATGCTGCGGGGCCTGGGCGCAGTCGCGCTGTCTGCTCGTGCTGGTAAGTGGATGGATAGTACAAATAATAGCGAGCCATTCTCCAGATACAAGCATGCCGCTCTGATTTCTTCAGTACTTCATGCTCATTGTTATGCTCTTCATGAGCGAATTTCTGGTGGGCTCCATCGCCTTTCTATTTCGTGGCGGTCTTGGGCGCACGTTGGCCAACGAGCTGCGCTTCGGCATCGAGCGACACTACAATGCCAGCGATCGGGGCTCGCTGGTGGCGCCCTCAGTGGCTGCCATATGGGACAGTGTACAGCAATCGGTAAGTTGGAAGAGCAGCAACTAATTTATTCAACAATGGCCAACTCTGGTGGGAGCCAAACCCAAGTCGCTTTCTATTTATGAAAGCTCACAAATTGTTTTGTAATTTTGGGAACATTACAATAAATCCAAATGCATTGAAGTGGGTCTTTAGGAAATACACAAAGATAACGGATCGAGTAAGGTCAACATATTATCTTGCCAATTAAAAACGAAAGGAATGGATTTACAGTCACTAAGACTTTAGTTATTGAAAAATGGATTTAGGCAGATGGGCAGATAATATACTTGTAAATAACAATAAAGTTGTTTTACGTGCCACTGCATCACAATTGATGTTGACACTCCTAAAGATATAAAACTATGATTTTTTTAATGAAAACATAAAACTGTAGCTTTATTAAATTTTTAAAAAGCCGCTCTTCAAATTTGGTGACATTATGACGAATGGATTCATGGAAGATTAACAAAATTTGTTCTGAAGATTCTTTTTCTTATAATTTTTTGTTTATGATAAAGATATATCAGTATGATTTTTTTTAATGAAAACATAAAACTGTAGCTTTATTAAATTTTTAAAAATTTGGTGACATTATGACGAATGGATGCATGAAAGATTTACAGAATTTGTTCAGAAGATTCTTTTTCTTATAAGTGTTTCTTTTTTCGAGATCCTTGCTTTAATCCTGAAAAAATGGATGCATGAAGATTGTAGTTAACAAAATTTCTTTAGAAGATTCTTTTATCTTATTCTTGTTCATACAGACAAGTGCATACATGGCAGATTGGGTTGAAGAACACTTTTTTAGATGCTTGTTTATATATATACTTATTATATACTTATAGCCATAAGTATTATAGTACGAATAACTGCACCTAGAAAACATATTTCTAATGGATCTGAACTATACGTTATTAAGCGGTACTGTCTCATTTGTTTCCGCTCTCCCCTTTTTGCAGTTCGAATGCTGCGGGGTGTCCTCGTACGAGGACTGGTACGACGTTCAGTCGTGGAGCGGCAAACGCTGGGTGCCCGAATCGTGCTGTAAGCCTCTCTACGATCAGCGCCAAATAATCACCGAGGGTTCGGGCGATGGACTCCTGCGCGTGGACTGCGGCCGGTGAGTTGGAGAATCGTTGAGATCGGAGCACAATCAGATGAACCGATGATAAACCATTTTACAGATCAGAGAATCCCACGCTGTGGTGGGACAAGGGTTGCGCCCACTCTCTGCAGAGCTGGTTCAATGGCCAGCTGAATGTGGTGGGGGCCGTGGGCCTCGGCATCGCCTTTGTGCAGCTCTTCGGTCTGATCACGAGCATGCTGCTCTTCTGCACCGTGAAGCACAAGCGGGCCTCGGACACATATAAGTCGTATTCGCCCTCGATCGATCCGCAGACGCGCACCAGCAGTTGGGAGGATTGAACGCGACTGTGAATCCCAATTGGAAGTTCTAAAGCGAGAGTCTGGGACCAAGGCTTTTGCAGATGGTTTTTTTTTTTAGTTTGTCTCCAATGTTTTAGTTTTGTTTACTCTCTTTTTATTTATGCTATTATTATTTTTCATTTTTGTTTTCTTTAGGTTATTCAACACTGCAAAATGTGCCAAAAATTAATTTAAATCCGTATGATTTCTTCAGAATAATGATTCTAATTTTTTTTTTGTTTTTTTGTTTGTTATGTTTAGTGAAATGAAATGAAAGTGCTAAAGCAGACACATATCGAAATCTAAAGCCCATATCTCCTATACACATGCATATAGTACATGTAGTGTTTATGTATTGAATTGTATGTGTGTACTCGTATGTATGTATGTATGTATGTAAGCATGCATGCATACAGTTTAGTTTAATGGTGTATGTCCATATTGTGATGTGCTCTCCCTAGTACGTATATACACACTTATATACCTGCATATACACGTATATACCCACAACCCGATAGTCGCGTATGTACTACTACTTACGTATTCTATTCTATATGCCTAGAGCTTTAGCATTGAGATCGTAGTAGAGACACAAGAGCAACAAAACTGCCTGCGAAGCAAGGGGAAGCAAAGGAGTCGATTATGTAGCTAAAACAATAAACATATATTTTAATTTTGTAATAATCATTTCAATTGCTCAGTGTAGACCAAAAGACATTCCTGAATAACAAATGCTATACAAGTACATACTATATACATATACATTATAATTAATGAAGAAGTGCACAAATCCTCGAATTGTGTTAAGTTAATATAATAAATATACATATTTATTTACATAAACAATTATACAATTATAATAATAATTAAAATAATAATAAAAAAAAAAACACGAACAGAAAGTGAGAAGAAGATACGTATTGTCTGGGAAGTTTGCGGGCCTTTTCCATCTAGTACCTACAGGCCCACCAGCTTGCCACCAATAATGTCCAGCTGTGCCGTAATGCCTTTCGAAATAGTGCGCGCCAGCTCCTTGGGTTTCTGTGGGGATGTGGGGAGAGCAAATCAAGCATTATTATTGTACCGTTAACTAGTCACCAGCTGAACTTCAAGGCCGCCAGCGCAAGCTAAGTTGCATAAGCCAGCGTCGAGAGTCGGCAGAGACAGCGGAGACGCGATGTGTTACAGGTATTAAGTAAATATTAATGTCGTCGCGCATTAATTGCCATTCGGCTTGGGCATAAACAGCAACAGCAACAACAACAGCAACAACAACAGCAACAACAATAACAATGACGACGTGCGAACAAACAAATAGCGCGACAATCAAAGAGCAACACAGCCCCTCCCCCTCCCCCTCCTACGAACCACCTTATAAACCAACTCACCTCTATGAAACTGTTAAGCAGATTGGAAAACGCCTCGTAACCGTTGACGATCGATCGAGAGATGCCATCGAACATGTCCCCATTGTTGCCATACTTCTCATGCTCGCTGATGGTGTCCAAAATGGGCAACGGCTGTAATAGTGTTATAACGATATTGTTGTAGTTGTATATACATACTTAGATATCTTAACAATCGAACCGTCACTCACATGCGATATGTCCGACAATTTCTTGTGGCCATTGTCGTAGACGCCCAGCACCTTGGAGGGTATCGCTTCGTGCTCCAGATTCACAGACTCGGCCGTTTTGGCGGGTGTGGGCAGCAATGAGATCTGTATAGCAATTGATACATACATACATATATATATACTGGTAAAAAAAACCACGGAAATTTCAATATTTACACGTAGATTTAACTATTTTCACCATCGACTTGCACCATCGTGTGTTTTAGTAAATATTAAGTGTGCACACTTTAATTTAAATTTAATATTAAAATATTAAATATATATACATATTAAAATATTAAATTTAAAGCGTGACGATATTAAATCACAAGTGATGATGTGAAGACGCCAAAGGTTTTTCTTTTTTGTAATTATAAAATATTGTTTCCACTCTACTGGTTTTTCTAAACTCTTTTCAATATTTGACATTTCCATGATGCATATTTTATTTCTATGTATATATTTTTTGTTCTATAGTTCAATTTTTAGCAGAAAGAATTTTTAAAATTCTTTTGTTATTACGAATTAATTTTCTTGATGTTTTTTATGCCTTTTGGGTACGGATATACACATATTGTTTGGATCAATATTAATATTAAAAGTGAGGAGCAGCTGATTGAATAACACTAACTTGACACATACCTAATGACCATATCTGTGCTGAAAACCGATTTCTTCTAGTCAATTGAAATATATTTCTAGCAGATTGAAATCAACTATAAAACTTCAAATTAATTTATACCCAAAAATTAATTAATTGGGTATAATTTAATTTACTATGGAATATAATTTATATGGAATAAATTCAACTATTTGTTTTTTGAAGTGTGTGCATATTAATATTTAATATGGTTCAACATTAAATATGAATATGACACACTGTAATAACGCATTTTTACACTTTGTTTTGAATATTATTCATATTAAAATCACAAATTTAATATGTTTTTAGTAAAATTTACGATGATCATATTTGATTTGAATATGAAATAGTAGAACATTAAATTGAATATGAAAATATTCATCTGTACTACGCAACTTTTTTATCAGTGTACTCAAGCATATACATACTTGTACAAGTATGTATGTATATATTTTGAAGATATGTATTTGACTTACCTTAAAGGCCCCTTCATTGCTCACTGTGGCGCTGGCGCTGCTCAAGTCTCGACTTTTTTGCTCGATCTGTGCTGACTCGGCCGCATCTTCGGCAAATGCGTCCAGGACACCGAAATCGGCGGCCGACACCTGTGCGTCAATGGGCGTGGCACCGTCACGTGTTGTGGGCGCAATAGGCACGCCAACACACGTTCCCACAAACAGCAACAAAACAATAAAACAGCTATAATAGCTGCAGATATTGGCCAACTGCATCATTATGCGACTGCGACTGCGACTGAGTGTCTTGTGAAATCTTAAAAAATAATGAGAAAACGCCGAGGTTGTTGCTACTGCTGTTGTTGTTGCTGTTGCTGCTAAGCTGAACTGCACCTGCACTGAAATGTGGAGTTCAGTCGGGGCGTCTGTGCGCGGCCAGGTCCAAATTTCAACTGAATCGCTGCGCAGACGCAACGATTTTAATGGTTTAACCCAAGCTGGTGGCCATTGGCACATTTTTTTTTCGTGTGTTTACACACAAAAGCTGTACACACGTCAGGCCGGGTTGTCGAGGTGAGGCGATTCAAATCACATCCAATTCGTTCGAATGGGACATTAAATGCGCTACGTTTGTGAATTTGCTTCAAACTTCAGTTGTACATGTGATTTATCGATAAATCAGTTGGGTATATGTATGCGGACTGATATATGATTTTGCCACATAAAGTCGGCTCATTAAAATGGAACTAAGTCGGATTTGTTCAAGTTTTTTCATTGATCATATGCATAAATTATTTATTAAATGCATCGTGCATTATTTCATCAAAGTTTTAATTTTTTGGTAAAAGCTGCGTTCGCCCTTTACTACTACTATTGCAAAAAAAAAAACTTATTAAAAGAGTCTGTTTGTGAATTATTGGCTAATTAATTAATGATTTTGTTTGTTATATGTATGTATATTGTTATTTGGTGAAATGCATTTAAAATTATTATCAGAAAAGTATATACTCGTATTTCATTTATACTCGTAATTCGCATAACCACGCCCAACTTTTAAAAATAGTCTTATATTACTGTTTTAAGCCTACAGCTTACATCTTCAACCCAATTGTGGGCCCGATTTCCAAAGACCTCTCTTTAATTTAGTCAAGTCATGCATTCAGAAATAAATCACAAACTAAATTTAATACAAAAAATGTATATCTTCATAAATAAATATTCAATACATTTAAATTTCAGCAAACTGCGGCTGTCAAATCGACTGGACAAGTCGTCAAGCTCCAGTCGCGTAGCGTGCCAGCCATAAAAATAATAGCAACAATAATAAACTGTTAGCAAACCAAATACCCATACACATACACACACACACACACACACACAAAGACGTGTACGAGCAGATCGGCAACAAAACAGTAAACAATTGTTGGTAACAGCCCCAGCAACTTGTTGCGCTGCCAAAAAAAGAAGCAAAGACAAAAACAAAAATGTTGCCAGGCTCGCCAGAGGCTGTCGCAACAATGAGGAAGGAAGCCAACCCAGTGACTCTGTTAGTCAGTCAGTTGGTCACTTGGTTAACCAATTAGTTGGCCTGCTACACTTAACATCCATGGTGGACTGGACCGGCCTGTTTTTATTTCGGGGACCTGTCTGCCGATTGTGCAACTCGATGCCGCAAATGGCGGCCACTTGCAGGGAAGACTACTTTTACTTTAGCCAGATTAATGAACAAGCGATGTGTGTTCAATTGTGTTTATTTAAAATATATAATATGAAAATATATTATGTATCACATGTTTTGATAGTTTTTACTAATTATTGTAGCACATCCTTAGAAGTTTGGATCGCCCTCGATTTCCAGCATAAAATGATCGTATTCATGCAGGCCCAAGTCCAGCTCATCAACCACATCGTCTTCCATGGTGGGAGACTTGTTTTCCTTTTCCTCTTCGTCGTTGCCCCTCGTCGACTCTCTCTTCACACGCTTCGAGTAGCTTCGCGGCTCGTTCTTTAGTTTGCGCTTCGCCTTAGTCCTGCACTCGCGCTTCGACTTGATGCTGAACCAGTGTTCCGTCTTAGTTACCAAGTCCAATACCGAATCCGGCTCGGACTTCCTATTTGCGACCGGACTAGCATCCATCGTCAGCTCGCCCTTCGGCTCCGTCTTCACCTCAGTATTGCAATCGTTCCTTAGCTCGCGCTTCAGCTTGCGCTTCAGCTTGCGCCTCGAGTCGTGTTTCCGCTCACGCTTGGAGTCGTTCTTTCGCTCACGCTTGGAGTCGTGCTTTCGCTTGCGCTTCGACACATTTGTAAGCTCACATTTTGCTTCGCACCTGGGCTGGCGCGTCGAGTGGTGCTTCGGCTCATGTTTCGACTCATTCTCCTCATCACACAGCGGCTCGTTTTTCGGCACGCGCTTTGGTTGCGGTTCGTGGTGCAGCGAGGGGTTTGGCTTTGGGCTTTTATCGCGCCTTAGCTGCGATTGCGAATCAATACATAGATCGTTCTTCGACTCGATCCGCAGGTCGCATTTCGGTTCAAAATCGACCTGTGGGTCGGGCTTCGGCTCTATCTTTAGTATACACTCAGTTGCCAAGTTAAGATCGCGCTTAAAGCTCACCATGCTATTCGGAATTGTCTTTACCAGGCGTGTAGGCTCCATCTTCCTCGGCTTCTGCTCGGTCTTTGGGCGAGTCGGTTCGGTCTTCAAAATAGTTGACTCAGTCTTCTCGGTCTTGCGCGGGCAGAAGTTCAACGCGTTTGCCGGTTTGAGCTTTGCCCACCGCTTCGATTTGAACTCTGGCTGTGTGTGAATCTGTAGCATAAGATTCTGATTGATGGCTGGGAAGCCACGATGCTTGTAAAATGGGCCATAGTAGTGAGTGCGATTGTAGTGACGCTTCAGTTCGGCCTGAGAAGGATAACGACTGAGATTGGGCTTCACAAACTTATTTTCCGCCGTCACATACTGCTCGTAGTATTCATCTGAAAGTTGATAAAAATGCAACAATCTTGTATTAATTGAGCGGGAGCATGACCTACCCAGGGTTAAATTTGTATAGAGTGGGTCCAGAAGAGTCATTATTCTTGATTTATTTTACTTTCTACGCTATAAATATTACTTAACTGCAATGAGGGTCAAGTACAATTATACGAGTTTACAAAAATAATGCATAACTTACCAAAAGTCTTTCTAGCACTAAGTGCTTTAAAATTAAACGTTGCTTCAAATGATTTCTTAAACAATATTGAGGTCCACAAAAGGTTGCTGAAACGAACAATAGAATGCATATCCCTATTAACAATTTCTGCAGAGTTCTTTTAAGAGCACGACGTCATCAGTGAACTTTAGTTATAGAACAAAAAGTTGATAAGATCATGCGCAAATCCGCTGGTGGATGCTGCTCCAGCAAAGATCAGATCTCCCAATGCAGTCGAAAGGAAAAGAATAAATATTTAACTAGGACCGACACACTCACAATTTACAGATATAATTAAAATAAGTATGCATGCAAATTTCATTTGATTTCTGATTAGAGCTCAAAAGGCAGACACAACATTGTCTCTGGTTTTCTGAATTTCTACATTTGCTTTGTCACTGCCAGCGGCAGCCATGTTGAAAAAAAGATGAAATGAAAAGTGAGTGTGTGTGTGTTGGTCAGAAAAATGTTCCAATATGTGCGAAACGAAGTAGAAACGGAACATGCGTTTTTTCCCCAACTCGTCAGCTATTTGATGCGTGACTCAACTTGTGTGCCATTGAAGCATGGTTGACGAATCTGTAATTGCCCTTTATAGTATATTATAGGGCCCGACTCAATCATGGTGTACCATGATTGAACCGCAGAGCCCGTGCCAGATGAATCAATCAACACAAAACTCTTGCAGCTATTGCAATCAAAAATTTGCAGTTGGAAAAGGTTTTCTTTTGAATTGTAAACTCACCGGTACTTTCAAAAATATATGATTCGAATTCTTGCTTACAAAAAATGCTAGTTGAAAAAAAATTTAATTTAATAGCTCTATTCTCGACAAGGCTTTGCACTAAACTAATATAAGTTGTCATTGTGGCCACGTCGCAATTTCACAGCCTCCTATGGCAGAAATGTACAGCACAAGTTAAAAGGACATTTATACTCGTATGTTCGCATATCGATAGTTTTTAAAGCGACGTGCTTTTGTTATCGATAGGCACGCAGTAATAGGAGTTTATTATAATTTTTTGGTTTTACTTTTCTGTGTTGTTCATTTTTTTATTGCTCCTAAAAATATTTGTAAGCTCTGTATTTAAAAAGCAAAATCGTTAATTAGATTGGTCCAAATGCATGTAACACTAAAAAAGCACAAAAATTATAAATGACGATTTTATTATGTCTGTAATACAATATATGTATGAATATTGACAGTTGTTACAGGTACATTTGTAAGAGTCCTCAGATTGGTTCGGATTCCATCGATTTTATTATCTAATGCTGTTGAATTGTTGTCTCTCCGAAGATCGGATAAATACTGGTATGAACGAGCGGGATGTTTATTACATGGAAGCATCGCTATCTTCCCCAGATACATTTACATCGTCGTCTAAAATGCCGGCTCCTTCGCTGCTACTGTGGACGCTCGAGGTGTCGCTGGCGGACAATCTTGATATCTCCCTCGGGCCGACTGCTTTTATATCCTTGCCTCCGTAGATTAGGGGACGTAGCTCCGAAGTTTTTTTAGTTTTCTTTCGGGCAGCCACATTCTTATTGTTATTATTGTTATTAGGTGCGGTTTCCGTTACAATGAATTTGTCCGCATTCTTATTTATTTTGTCAGCAGAGATGATACTGGGTGGATTAACTGGGATCTCGTCTGCTTGATTCAATGGCTTAGAAGTGCCTTGTATGTCAGTTTTTGTGAACGGCATATGTACCGAGGGAACGTCAAGCGGTATCTCATTCTCTTCAAAGACGGTTGAAGTCCTCTTTTGAAGTTCTCCGCAAAAGTCATCCGCATCGGATAGATTCTTAAGGCGTCGGGTTACCACAGATCGGATCTCGTGTTTTGCGTCTGCAATTTGTTTTTTGTATCTCGGCAAGAGTCCGTCAAATATTTCACGAGCTCTCTTCACCGAAGCCCGAACAGTTATTTCAGTGGAGAAGCATCTTAAGGCATTCGTGTACATCTTTTTCAGTGTTGTCTCAAAGTCGTTCATGCCTTTGATCTCCTTGATTCTCAGTCTGTGCTCAATAGTGGGCCAATCAAGTACCTCCTCTACATTGTGATCGTACTTCTTGTTACTACCATACTCGCGCCACAGATCGCCGTTGTTAAATGGCCAGGTAGAGAGCAAGTATTTTTCCTTGCGTAGGGTCCTCAAGAAGTGGTCGCAATATTTTCGCTCTATCTGGCCATCGATGTGGTCGTAGTTTACATTCGGCCCCAAGGGGGCAGGTGGAATTTCGCTCTTAACTTCCATGGCACTGGGATAGGCCTTGGAATAGGAATATGTGGTCGACTGTAACTTGCGCTTCTTCTTGTCCTCCTTGGGTTTCAGCTCCACTTCGTTGTCGAAGTCAATCGACACCAGTCTGGTGTAGAACAAGCTTCGCAATTCCTTTCCGGCCATATTTACGGGAGTGCCCTCCAGATTGAACAACATGCAGTTCTCGAACATCAGTTGAAAGTCCTCCAAAGCTTCGTCAGCTTGCCAATAGTAATTATTGTCCAATCGCTTCTTGATCGTCGAGAGGTCCATCGGATGTTTCACCACATTGTGATAGTCGGGGATCCCCAGGGCAATTGCATCTACTGGCTTCTTGAAGTGCTGCGACCAGCGGCTGCGCCAGATATAATTTAAAACCTTCTTCAACTCCTCCAACACGTTCGTCTTTCTACCAGGGCGGTTGGGAAGAGGCAGCACCGGCGGCTGTACGATCCCATTCACTGGTTGTATATATGGTTCAATGCGTGGAATGGGCGCGATTTGCTTCTGCTCTGTCATTCTGGAATAAGTCTTCAACTCAGTAGCTTTGAGAAATCAAATCCCTTTACGAGTTCAATATCTGAAACGGACAGAGAAGTTTCTATTAAATAAAATGACAAATTTTGTAAAACTATTTGCTTACCTTATGATTTATTCTGACAGGCTGTTTGATCCCCAGAAAATGGTCTTAGGGATTGCTGAAAATAATTTCTGTGTTGTAATTTGTTTATTATTGATATTTACCTTATGAATTTTTAGATGTTTCTGCTTGAACCGCTCAGACAATAATAAATGTATCCTGAAGTATTCCAGCCTTGTTGATGTGACTGCCGATGCTATGGTGGAGTTGTTAATTGGAAAACTGTAAAGCTGTCAGGTCTATTGTGCTCTGAAAAATATCTCCTTTGGTATTCTAACTAGGGATGCGTGATATACATCGATGTTCAATATAACATCGATGTTTGCTTTCGATGTATCGAGATTTTATGATATATTAAAGAGGTCAAAATCGAATCATAAATCGATCAGCATCAGCAGAATCGAGCATCGAGCGCACGCATTAAATTATACTTTGAAATATTGCTGTCTATTTATTATATAAGAGATTTAGTTTATAAAAAATGTATGTGTACTATATTGTTGTGCATAATTGAAGAAAACTAATTGAACAGCCAAGCCCGTGAAAACGGCGCCAAAGCAAGACGGATAATGCCTGTTGTTTGGAAGTGCTTTTACTTTTAGCCATTCCTGATTTAATAAATTGTGTTATTTTGTTTACCGAAATATTTTATCATGGTACTAAGCAAAAAAGTGTCGTATGGAATTATTACGATAAAGTTAGCGATAAATCTGCTAAGTGCAGGCTTTGTCTAAAAATTTTAAAGTCCAACTAAATTAATTTTAATATCACAAATGGATCTAATTTTAGCCGTTTGTAGGCCAAGCGTGTTAACAAACTTATCTTCTTGCAACATTTTCCTAATCACCAATGCAACATATAGCAATAAATCTCTAAATACCTAAAATTTCTCAATGCAAACGTTCGTTTCATGTTTTGATCATAATATTTAAATCAAATGCGATATATCGAAAACATCGATGTTTTTCGTTGATATATCGCAATACTTGTACATACTTGATGAGCATCCCTAATTCGACCTCCGGTAAGGTGTGTAAACAAGATAATGGATAATATTTTTTGTTGCTCTTTGATATCTTTACTTTTTTAAAAATTATTGTAATTTTATTTAATTTTGAATTTTTTGTTTGCTTCTATTGTTTTTATACCCTGTACCCGTAGGGTAAAAAGGGTATATTAGGTTTGTGCAAAGTATGTAACATGCAGAAGGAAGCATCTCCGATCCCCATAAAGTATATACATATACAAGTATTCTGAATCAGCATGACGAGAGAAATCGATCTAGACTTGTCCGTCCGTCCGTCTGGATGAACGCAAGGATCTCAGAAACTATAAAAGCTAGAATAACCAATGTTGGTATCCTAAGTCCGAGAAAGGACGAGTTTATTTTATTTTTTTGAATTTTTCCCCCCTTCCTCCGCTACAGAATTTCGTCAATACCGTCCACATTTCAAAAGCTACCCTAACCAAACTTTCTAATAATTATCTATTTCTATATAATTACCTATTTTTGTTTCAAAATTCATCTATCGGTCAATTCTAAGAAAAGTTATTAGCGAAACAATTTCACTCCGCTACTACGCCAACAAGCTGCAGCAACAAGTTCGCTCTTCTTCCTCTTTTTGCTGCTGCTATGGGCGCATATAATTCAGTGACGGAAGTTTACCTGGGTACAGGGTATTTCACTGTCGGGCTTGCTCGACTGTAGCGTTATCTCTTGTTATTTTTAATATTTGAATGTATATCACGTATGTTTTTATGTTATGATTTATGTTCATGGTATTGACAGATATTTGTCAGAAATAAATAAATATGAATGCGGTCCAATGCGACAGAAATATACACTAACATACTAATTGCGTCTATGCGTGTCAATGCATGTCTGTGTGTATGTCTCGTGTGCCTGTGCAAAGCAGTAACAACAACAACTGTTCGGGCACTGCTTGCTCATATACAATACAGTGGAAACTCCCTTAACGGACACCTCTTTTATCCGGACACTCTCTTCGGCGGTCACTTTTTCTAAAACATTCGATCGGTGTATAAAGTATTTAAGTATCCCCTTTAGCGGACACTCCCCTTGGGCGGACAAAAATTGGCAGACCGTGAGTGTCCGGCCAAGAGGGTTTTCACTGTACATATGGCTTTATTGGCTTTTCGCCAGATTGTGGGAGGGCCATCATACCCAAAAATGTTATATTTGGATTCATCACTAAAGATAACCTTTTCCCAAAACGAATCTGGTTCATTAATATTCAGTTTGGCGAATTCCAGCCATTATTCCCACCGTCAAGCATGGTGGAGGAAATGCAATGGTTTGGGGGTATATAGCTGCATCTGGACCTGGAAACATGGTGTTCATTGATGAAAAAATGGACAAGCACATTTATAAAAGAATTTTGGAATCCAATTTACATGCAAGTGCCACAAAGCTCAGGCTCGATCCCAAAAAAGTCTTGTTCGAACAAGACAATGACCCGAAGCTTAAATCTTACCCCAATCACCAGATTTGAATCCCATAGAGTACTTGAGAGAAGGACAAAGAAGCACAATATCACATCCAAGGAATCCTTGAAAGCCGCATTAGCTTCTGAGTGGCGCAAAATTGATCCAAAAGAGACCAATAATTTGGTGGAGAGTATGCACCGGCGCTTACAAGCCCTTATTAAGGCCAAAGACGGGCCTACAAAATATTAACAATTAAATTATGTACATTGAAATGAAATGAAAAACAAGATAGAACGCTACAGTCGAGCAAGTCCGACAGTAAAATAGCCTGTACTCTCCACAAAAAGGAAAAATTAAAAAAAAAAATTTTGTTTTTAAATTAAATTATTAAAAAAATGAATGAATTAATTAATTAAAATTGATTAATTAAATTAAATTAGAATACATGTTTATGTTCAGTTTTAACAGCATACATTTACATCACGTACCTATGCGTGTTTATATGCGTGTATGTATGAAGCACAAAGTTGAACCAAAGCAGCAGCAACAACAACAGCTGCGGGCAGCGCATGAGCAGCGATTTTACTTATGGCTATAACTTTCTTCAGAATTGACCTATCATGATGAAATTTGGCACACGGACACATTAGTACTAATGGATGTACCTACCAACATTGATTTCAAAATTCCGAGAATTACGGAAGTTATAAGAAAAAACACGAATTGCGGGGGAGGGGGGGGGGGGGGTGTATCAGAAAAAATAAACAAACTCGATCTGCCTAGGGCTTATAGGAACCTTGATACCAATTTTGGTTATCCTAGCTCTTGTACTTACTGAGATCCTTGCGCTCATACAGACAGACGGACAGACAGACAGACGGACATGGCTATATCGACTCGGCTTCTCATCCTGATCAAGAATATATATACTTTGTGGGGTCTGCCACGCCTCCTTCTGTGTGTTACATACATGCGCACAAAACTAGTATAGCCTTTCACCCTTTGGGTACAGGCTATAATAATTCAAATACCATAAAGTGTACGAATAATTTATGGACGTAAAAACATGGCTGCTTTGATTAGATTAAGTTTTCCCCTTTACCACTTACGAAATTGTTTGTTACTGTTTTAAACATATGTAATATAAATATTAATTGTTCATTTGGATGCAAATTGTATGTTTCTAATAAATACAAGTAACCGCAAAGACATAGACAATTAAAGTCCAAAGTAAAGAGTGTACGAATAATTGTTGGTTACACTGTACAAACAAAACTGAAGACATGCTTATGTACAGTTTCGCCAGATTAATGAACACAGCGATGTGTGTTCAATTGTGTTTATTTAAAATATATAATATGAAAATATATTATGTATCACATGTTTTGATAGTTTTTACTAATTATTGTAGCACATCCTTAGAAGTTTGGATCGCCCTCGATTTCCAGCATAAAATGATCGTATTCATGCAGGCCCAAGTCCAGCTCATCAACCACATCGTCTTCCATGGTGGGAGACTTGTTTTCCTTTTCCTCTTCGTCCTTGCCCCTCGTCGACTCTCTCTTCACACGCTTCGAGTAGCTTCGCGGCTCGTTCTTTAGTTTGCGCTTCGCCTTAGTCCTGCACTCGCGCTTCGACTTGATGCTGAACCAGTGTTCCGTCTTAGTTACCAAGTCCAATACCGAATCCGACTCCCTATCCGACTTCCTATCTGCGACCGGACTAGCATCCATCGTCAGCTCGCCCTTCGGCTCCGTCTTCACCTCAGTATTGCAATCGTTCCTTAGCTCGCGCTTCAGCTTGCGCCTCGAGTCGTGTTTCCGCTCACGCTTGGAGTCGTTCTTTCGCTCACGCTTGGAGTCGTGCTTTCGCTTGCGCTTCGACACATTTGTAAGCTCACATTTTGCTTCGCACCTGGGCTGGCGCGTCGAGTGGTGCTTCGGCTCATGTTTCGACTCATTCTCCTCATCACACAGCGGCTCGTTTTTCGGCACGCGCTTTGGTTGCGGTTCGTGGTGCAGCGAGGGGTTTGGCTTTGGGCTTTTATCGCGCCTTAGCTGCGATTGCGAATCAATACATAGATCGTTCTTCGACTCGATCCGCAGGTCGCATTTCGGTTCAAAATCGACCTGTGGGTCGGGCTTCGGCTCTATCTTTAGTATACACTCAGTTGCCAAGTTAAGATCGCGCTTAAAGCTCACCATGCTATTCGGAATTGTCTTTACCAGGCGTGAAGGCTCCATCTTCCTCGGCTTCTGCTCGGTCTTTGGGCGAGTCGGTTCGGTCTTCAAAATAGTTGACTCGGTCTTCTCAGTCTTGCGCGGGCAGAAGTTCAACGCGTTTGCCGGTTTGAGCTTTGCCCACCGCTTCGATTTGAACTCTGGCTGTGTGTGAATCTGTAGCATAAGATTCTGATTTATGGCTGGGAAGCCACGATGCTTGTAAAATGGGCCATAGTAGTGAGTGCGATTGTAGTGACGCTTCAGTTCGGCCTGAGAAGGATAACGACTGAGATTGGGCTTCACAAACTTATTTTCCGCCGTCACATACTGCTCGTAGTATTCATCTGAAAGTTGATAAAAATGAAACAATCTTGTATTAATTGAGCGGGAGCATGACCTACCCAGGGTTAAATTTGTATAGAGTGGGTCCAGAAGAGTCATTATTCTTGATTTATTTTACTTTCTACGCTATAAATATTACTTAACTGCAATGAGGGTCAAGTACAATTATACGAGTTTGCAAAAATAATGCATAACTTACCAAAAGTCTTTCTAGCACTAAGTGCTTTAAAATTAAACGTTGCTTCAAATGATTTCTTAAACAATATTGAGGTCCACAAAAGGTTGCTGAAACGAACAATAGAATGCATATCCCTATTAACAATTTCTGCAGAGTTCTTTTAAGAGCACGACGTCATCAGTGAACTTTAGTTATAGAACAAAAAGTTGATAAGATCATGCGCAAATCCGCTGGTGGATGCTGCTCCAGCAAAGATCAGATCTCCCAATGCAGTCGAAAGGAAAAGAATAAATATTTAACTAGGACCGACACACTCACAATTTACAGATATAATTAAAATAAGTATGCATGCAAATTTCATTTGATTTCTGATTAGAGCTCAAAAGGCAGACACAACATTGTCTCTGGTTTTCTGAATTTCTACATTTGCTTTGTCACTGCCAGCGGCAGCCATGTTGAAAAAAGGATGAAATGAAAAGTGAGTGTGTGTGTGTTGGTCAGAAAAATGTTCCAATATGTGCGAAACGAAGTAGAAACGGAACATGCGTTTTTTCCCCAACTCGTCAGCTATTTGATGCGTGACTCAACTTGTGTGCCATTGAAGCATGGTTGACGAATCTGTAATTGCCCTTTATAGTATATTATAGGGCCCGACTCAATCATGGTGTACCATGATTGAACCGCAGAGCCCGTGCCAGATGAATCAATCAACACAAAACTCTTGCAGCTATTGCAATCAAAAATTTGCAGTTGGAAAAGGTTTTCTTTTGAATTGTAAACTCACCGGTACTTTCAAAAATATATGATTCGAATTCTTGCTTACATAAAATGCTAGTTGAAAAAAAATTTAATTTAATAGCTCTATTCTCGACAAGGCTTTGCACTAAACTAATATAAGTTGTCATTGTGGCCACGTCGCAATTTCACAGCCTCCTATGGCAGAAATGTACAGCACAAGTTAAAAGGACATTTATACTCGTATGTTCGCATATCGATAGTTTTTAAAGCGACGTGCTTTTGTTATCGATAGGCACGCAGTAATAGGAGTTTATTATAATTTTTTGGTTTAATTTTCTGTTGTTCATTTTTTTATTTCCTCTAAAAATATTTGTAAGCTCTGTATACAAAAAGCAAAATCGTTAATTAGATTGGTCCAAATGCATGTAACACTAAAAAAGCACAAAAATTATAAATGACGATTTTATTATGTCTGTAATACAATATACATAAGTATGAATATTGACAGTTGTTACAGGTACATGGTAAGAGTCCTCAGATTGGTTCGGATTCCATCGATTTTATTATCTAATGCTGTTGAATTGTTGTCTCTCCGAAGATCGGATAAATCCTGGTATGTTTTTGTACATTTATGGTGTGGAGTATTTGAACGAGCGGGATGTTTATTACATGGAAGCATCGCTCTCTTCCCCAGATACATTTACATCGTCGTCTAAAATGCCGGCTCCTTCGCTGCTACTGTGGACGCTCGAGGTGTCGCTGGCGGACAATCTTGATATCTCCCTCGGGCCGACTGCTTTTATATCCTTGCCTCCGTAGATTAGGGGACGTAGCTCCGAAGTTTTTTTAGTTTTCTTTCGGGCAGCCACATTCTTATTGTTATTATTGTTATTAGGTGCGGTTTCCGTTACAATGAATTTGTCCGCATTCTTATTTATTTTGTCAGCAGAGATGATACTGGGTGGATTAACTGGGATCTCGTCTGCTTGATTCAATGGCTTAGAAGTGCCTTGTATGTCAGTTTTTGTGAACGGCATATGTACCGAGGGAACGTCAAGCGGTATCTCATTCTCTTCAAAGACGGTTGAAGTCCTCTTTTGAAGTTCTCCGCAAAAGTCATCCGCATCGGATAGATTCTTAAGGCGTCGGGTTACCACAGATCGGATCTCGTGTTTTGCGTCTGCAATTTGTTTTTTGTATCTCGGCAAGAGTCCGTCAAATATTTCACGAGCTCTCTTCACCGAAGCCCGAACAGTTATTTCAGTGGAGAAGCATCTTAAGGCATTCGTGTACATCTTTTTCAGTGTTGTCTCAAAGTCGTTCATGCCTTTGATCTCCTTGATTCTCAGTCTGTGCTCAATAGTGGGCCAATCAAGTACCTCCTCTACATTGTGATCGTACTTCTTGTTACTACCATACTCGCGCCACAGATCGCCGTTGTTAAATGGCCAGGTAGAGAGCAAGTATTTTTCCTTGCGTAGGGTCCTCAAGAAGTGGTCGCAATATTTTCGCTCTATCTGGCCATCGATGTGGTCGTAGTTCACATTCGGCCCCAAGGGGGCAGGTGGAATTTCGCTCTTAACTTCCATGGCACTGGGATAGGCCTTGGAATAGGAATATGTGGTCGACTGTAACTTGCGCTTCTTCTTGTCCTCCTTGGGCTTCAGCTCCACTTCGTTGTCGAAGTCAATCGACACCAGTCTGGTGTAGAACAAGCTTCGCAATTCCTTTCCGGCCATATTTACGGGAGTGCCCTCCAGATTGAACAACATGCAGTTCTCGAACATCAGTTGAAAGTCCTCCAAAGCTTCGTCAGCTTGCCAATAGTAATTATTGTCCAATCGCTTCTTGATCGTCGAGAGGTCCATCGGATGTTTCACCACATTGTGATAGTCGGGGATCCCCAGGGCAATTGCATCTACTGGCTTCTTGAAGTGCTGCGACCAGCGGCTGCGCCAGATATAATTTAAAACCTTCTTCAACTCCTCCAACATGTTCGTCTTGCGCCCGGGACGGTTGGGAAGAGGCAGGACCGGCGGCTGTACGATCCCATTCACTGGTTGTATATATGGTTCAATGCGTGGAATGGGCGCGATTTGCTTCTGCTCTGTCATTCTGGAATAAGTCTTCAACTCAGTAGCTTTGAGAAATCAAATCCCTTTACGAGTTCAATATCTGAAACGGACAGAGAAGTTTCTATTAAATAAAATGACAAATTTTGTAAAACTATTTGCTTACCTTATGATTTATTCTGCCAGCCTGTTTGATCCCCAGAAAATGCTTTTAGGAATTGCTGAAAATAATTTGTTTTATGAGAAACATTTTCTAATGCAAATTATTATTGATATTTACCTTACGACTTTTTAGATGTTTCTGCTTGAACCGCTCAGACAATAATAAATGTATCCTGAAGTATTCCAGCCTTGTTGATGTGACAGCCGATGCTGCGGTAGAGTTGTTAATTGGAAAAGTGTAAAGCTGGAAAATGCGAATAGTTTGTGCAAACTACTAGTCTGACACTAGCAGGTACAATTGGTTTCAATGACTCCACTGATGAGCTGTTGCCGAGCTTCAGGTTAATCCTGCGCCTAGAGCATTGTTTCAGCCATCGAGTGCTAGACTTAAGAGTACGATGCGTCAATTAATCAGCAGGCTTGTAGAAGCAGGCTGATTCATAATTAACACGGTGCTTTAACCGCAATCCAATTAGTTGCAAGATTAGAAATGGTTGCACTGCTTCGATCGCCCTTCGTCTTATCAGAGCGGACGTGTCTTGGCTCAGGGCTAACCTGGCCAGGTTCGCAATTTGAAATTGTTACTCATTGTAATGTAATCATCATCTTCCTCTGTCTGTTACGTCATCATTTTGGAGGCACACAATCAAGAGTGCCACATTAATGCTTCAAATGTACATGCTATGGAAACAGAAACATCAATATAAATCGATGATATCAACTCTATAATGGCTGAAATGTATCGTAATTGCGGCTCGTGGCTCGCGCGGCTCTTTGCCGGGGCCGTGGCCGGGTCTTATTTCCTGTCTCTCGGAGCGTCGCAGTTGACGCAAGCGTCTAAATATTTCCGAGGCTTATCAGCACCGACGACTCCGATGACAAGAGCCACGAAATTGTTTTGTCTATATGCAAGCATGAACAAATATGTGGGTATATCTATGTACCTATATATGTACATATTAGATGCCTTTTGTTTTATTACAAACACGCGGACATATTTGTAAACAGATAAGCATGCGAACATAAACATAAATATATAAGAATTATTTTTTAAAAACATACATAAACATATAGCATACTATATACTCGTATGCATTTATACAAGTATTACTCATACAAATAATGTACACTTCATGCAAGCAATTCATTTTTCAATTACCAAAACTTTCCTCTACTGGAAGATTACAAAGTTACGAAATGTATGCTTATTACAAATATTCAACAAATGCGCACAACAATTTGTTAGTCAGTTATATTATACATATGTATGTACATATGTATATATATAAGTATAGATACAAAAAAAAAAAAGAAAAAAAAGGGGAAGTATTATATTATATATTATAGATATGGTGTATGTACGCGTACTCGTATGTATCTTATATGTTTGTACTAAGTAAATAATTAATGTCCTGTCTCTATATCTGAACAAAGGCTCCTGCCCTCTGTCCCTCGAAGAATATTGCACAGAAATCTGGGCTCTCGCCCCTCAGTTGCCGAACTTAATGGACTTCTCCGTATGCTGGCGACTGAAGCTGGCGCTGCTCCGGCCCCCATTCTTCAGTATGCCATTGCCGATGGGCGCTCCATTGGGTGTGCCGGACTCGTAATTGCTGCCGAGGAGCTGATGCTGCTGGGCATTGGACGGCGTCTTCTTCAGCGTTGTGCGCTGCAGCGTGTCCCGCTTCCCGTTCGCGCCCCGCTGCTCACTGTACTCCCCAATGGTCACTGTGCCCAGCCGCAGTGTTCGCCGCTGATTGCCATTCTGGGCGCCGTTCTGACCACCATTCTGGCCGCTCCCCGGTCGTCGCTGCACGGCATCGTAGTCGGGCCTGGGAGTTGCTGGCGCTCGCAAGCCACCCACCGTCACAGAGGGGGCAACATTCCGAGTGGGCGAGAGAGGAGAGGGGGAGGAGGCCTGCTGGCTGGCCTTGGACACTCCATTCAACTGCTGTGGCGCTTGAGGCGGCTGTGGATTTGCAAACTCTGGTGGCTACGACCAGAAGTTAAGCCTCGACTCAGAACATTTCTATAGGAATTTGAAGAATATTCTACGCTTACCGGTGGCGGCAATTCTGGTATGCCATTGTTGTTGTTGTTGTTGTTGTTGCTCGCTCCACCATTAAGTAGCAACTGTCGACTGTTATTGCTGTTGTTGTTGTTGTTGTTGCTGCTGCTGGTGTTATTGCTGCGATAGCAGCTATCATCGGGCATAATCGAAGTGCGTTTTAGCGTCTCGCCGCGCTGCTGCATTATGGAATTGTAAATATAGATATGAATAGGAATAGGAATAGGAATACAATATAATTTCAAAATTGAGAATATAGTATATACACAAGTAAACATATATTGATGGTATAAATTAATTGTCTGCGAGTATTCGCACAATCTGTCGATTTAATGGCCAGCTCATGCGATTGGCAGTTTCTCAGAAGCCATAAGGTTGAGTGTCCCAAGACTATCTATCCTTAAGTCTTTCATCATAAAGAGTATTTTTTAACCGAATTGAAGGAATTCATTCGGGTTCGAATTTCTAAACTTGAAGTCATTCTAAATACTGGTTGAAGACACAAGTATCTGTTTGTTTTTTTCCATCCAACGCATTGCCACAAATGGTTGAGCTAGCTAGTAACACTGTTGTTCATTTCAAGCGATATAGAATTTCACTCTCACTACCTCATAGGTGGACATGATGACCAGGGGTCCACCCATGCTCACTGGCCGCATGGTCGGCATTTCCGTGTCGCCGCCATCGCGTATACGTAGCAAGCTCATTGTGATTTGTCTGAGGGACAAACAAGATGGCAATACACTTTTCACTTTCCGGACTGCGAATGCTACCACGATACGTCTCTCGTACAATGAACGTAAATAAATAAATGAAATCCGTGGCCGTTGACGCGACCAAGTTGCTAACACGACTGGGTCGCTGGCGTGGCTGCTGCTCGAGTTTGGCAAGCAGGCACTAACTGGGCTGGTGGCGCTCGCCAACATCGATAAGATAACGCCATTGAGCACTAGCCTCTATTTACTTTTGGACGCTTTTGCCGCTCGTCATTTGCTGTTTGCTGTTTGCTGTTTGCCGATTGCTATTTGCCTTTTTGTTTATGTCTATTCTCGTCTCTTCTGCGCAATTGGCGTGAGTCATTATCACTCGACGGGTGATGATGTTGTTGCTGTTGCTGTTGCTGATTCTTTGGACCGAGCGCATCTTGGCACTGGCACGAGATATTTTCGTGACGGGGTGAAATGGAAAATGCGCTGGCAGACAGACACAAACTAAATACTTGTATGTACAAAATGTATCAAGTGCAGGCAAGCGAGCGACAACTGCCGCCCTCAAGCGTAACCAGATGACGACGACGACGTCGACGACGCTGATGACGCTGACATAATGGTTAGATAATGTAGAAGCGATCTCATAAATCACAATTTACAATTCACAATTCATTCAGCAGTCAGCAGCCAGAGTCCCCCACAATGCGCATTCACTTTTCATTAACGAAAGTAAAAACGCATTAAGTAAACGAAAAGTCAGACTTAATGGAGCCCATTGTTGTTGCTGCGATAGCTAGGGTTGTGGAGCAGTGTCAAGAGGTGTGACATATGGAAATCGGACGGAGGCGACGTTATTACACATGAATAGGCTTTATTGTTACAAAAATAAAACAAGAGAGAAGACTGCGCCCATAGCAGAAGCAAGAAGTGGACTTAATATACCCTTTATAGCCTCTGGGTACAGGGTATAAAAAAACGTATTTTTCGGTACCTCAAATTATACATAAATATGTAGTATTAATAAATATTAAAGTTTTTTTTTTTTTGTTATAATAATTGGTCCGGCTGGTGGCTATCGTGCACCAATTTGGATAACGTTTTTGAAGATCATAAGAATACCTAAGCCCATAAACCAAAAATAAACTCTACTAAGAGAGAGTTTTTCCGTGTGTAGGAATAAGACAAGTTTAGAGTTTGGCTCGAAAGATCTCGCTGCTCACACAGCTGGTCTTACTGATTCGACTTGGCATGCTAGTCTCATAGACTTTCTAGAATATAAAAATACTTTCGGAACATGTGCACCATATAAGGGAACTACTTCTTATAAAGCCATAATTTGGGACGGTTTTAAGGGACTCTCTCTCTCTCTCTTAAGAAGCACAGTTGGTATGACTCAAATGTGATGTTATAATCCGTATCAATTAAAGTTCAATTATAGTATATAGTGCTCTCTCCTTATTCTGGATGGTTCTGTTCAACTTTTTTGAGAGACTCTTCAAGTCAACTTTATTTATTTCTATCTTTAGAATGTAGTGTAAAAAGTGGGCTATCGATGATCGATCTGAACAAGTATTTACAGAATTTAGTGTTATCTTCCACATAGCACTTGAAGCTCTCACAGTCGTATGAGAAGTAGCAGTGACATATATTTATGGCGATCAGTTTTTAAGTTTGCTTTAATTGGTCAAGTAAGCAGAGTCTAGGGCATGAGCTGTTTCGCAATCTCTCTTGATTTTTATGACGCCTCTTATACCCATTCGTTTGTCCAATTTGCTGTGTAAATGCAGTTTTTCGCTTTCAAGAGCCGAGCAAATAATTCAGAGGCGCTAACAAACTTGAAAGAAAACAAAACAAAACAAAACACAAAACCCACACTGGCCGACAACAATAAATGAACAATAACTGAACAATAACTACAAGATATACTATGGTTGACCTTTGCAGCTAACAGTTGCATTCATTAGCAACAGTTGCTGGCTTAACTGTTTGCTTTGGCGTATAGCATTGCCAAATTCTTATTAGCCGAACAAAAAAATGAGTAAAAAGTGACTGTAATTGCGACTGTGACTTGGACTGCGACTTAGTCGGCGGCTCACCTTGTGCTCGCTCTCATGGAACCCGTTCCTGAACATGCGCTGATGCGCCCGCTTGAATTCGTCCATCAGCGCTGTGTGCTGATCTCCACCGGCCCCGTTGCTCTTGCACTCGCTGCCATGCGATGCGGCAGCGATGCCAGCAACGGCCGTCGATGAGCGCTGCTTATGTGACACTTGGCGTGCAACCGCAAGAGAATTCCCTGCACCACCGATGATGTTGTGGTGGCTGCTATTGTGATTGTGTGGCCGATCTTCATCTCGATCGCGTTCCCGATTAAAGTGACTGTTGTGGTTGTTGCGTTGCTGCTGATGCTGCTGCTGCTGATGCTGTTGCTGCTGTTGCTGCTTCTGCTTCTGCAAGAGACCAATTATGTTATTGTTGTTGCCGTACGAGTATTGAGCAACCTGCGCATTTCACTTACCTCTTTGCGCTTCTTCAGCTCCTCGTTTATGGCACTGGAGAGCGTGCTGCCGGCGCACGTTTCACTTTTGATTGCCTCCGTTGCTGCTGCTGCTGTTGCTGTTGCTGTCGTTGCTGTTGTTGTTTTTGGTGCTGCCGGTGGCGACTTTGGTGGCGATCGGGGCGGTGGCTGTGATGTCACAGGTCGGGGAATGTTGCGCTTTATGGTGCTGCGATTGCTCGTACTGCTGCCGTGGGCTCTGCTCATCGAAGTCGACTGCGTCCGTTGGATCCTCTGCAGATCCATCTGTAGTGGGGGTGGTGTTGGCGCCCCTGTGGGGCCATAAGTAGTCTTTGGGGCTGTCACATTGCTGGCTATGTAGGTGTTGTTGATCGAGGTGCCGTTTTCGGACAGCTTTATGATGGTCTTGTTGAGTTGCTTGTGCACCTCCATGCCGTGCACCCAACCCTGTATGGGCGGTTCTTCATGCACGGCCGTCAGCCGCTTGGACTTGGGGTCCGCCCAGCAGGGACTTTGGTCGCCAGTCACTGAGCTGGCCGAGCTGTTGTAGCCACTGGACTCCCCTGGAAACAGGTCGCAGCCCGCCGCTGTGCGCACAATCATATCCAACTTGCTGGCGCTCTTCATCACAGCCACAGCCTCGCTGAACAGCACATCGGAGAAGTCGATGCTGTTAACGCTAAGGATTTGATCTCCCGGACGTAGACCGGCCTCGCGTGCCACACTTCGCTCCTTCGTGAATTGTATAAAGATGCCGGGCTTCCATTCCGGACCCTTGCATATTCCCAGGCCGAGTTTTGTGCGGGGCGCCACATGCAGCACCACGTTGATGTCACGGCTAGCGGCTCGTCGCTCCATCACGTTGCACGTCTTAAAGGAGCTTTCAGAAGGCGTGCCGCTCACGCTCGGCATCTTGACCACATTCCAGGACAGCCGCTCGTCCACCTGACTGATTGGGAAAGGGGAAGAGAGCACTTATGTAGCTTATTAAATGCAATAGCCTATGGACTTTACTTACTCCTTCACTGGCAACATTCCCACGCCACGCACTTTCAGTATGACACGATCCTGACTGGCCACCAACTGTATGAACTCCTTGTGCACGGCATCGTCCAGACGAAAGCCATTAATGCGTAAGATTTGATCGCCAATCTACGGGTGAAAAATATAACACTTACTTATGACTTATACATATGGCTTCATTACAGAACTGTTGCAGGGACGATATTTTGCAGTAAACAAAGCGAAACATTTTTATACCCTGTACCCGTAGGGTAAAAAGGGTATATTAGGTTTGTGCAAAGTATGTAACATACAGAAGGAAGCATCTCCGACCCCATAAAGTATATATATTCTTGATCAGCATGACGAGAGAAATCGATCTAGACATGTCCGTCCGTCTGTCCGTCCGTCTGGATGAACGCGAGGATCTCAGAAACTATAAAAGTTAGAATAACCAAAGTTGGCATCCAGCTTCTCCTAGGTCCGAGTAAGGACGAGTTTATGTTTTTTTTTTTTAATTTTCCCCCCCTTCCCCCGCTACAGAATTTCGTCAATAGCGTCCACATTTCAAATGCTACCTCAACCAAACTTTGCACACATAATTTATATATAATTGTCTACTGTTGTATTAAATTTTATTCAATTTTGTCAATTCTAAGAAAAGTTATTAGCGAAACAAATTCTCGCCAGTACAACCCCCACAAACTGCAGCAACAAGTTCGCTCTTCTTCTTCCTCTTTTTGCTGCTGCTTTGGGCGCATATAACTCAGTGACGGAAGTTTACCTGGGTACAGGGTATTACACTGTCGGGCTTGCTCGACTGTAGCGTTCTCTCTTGTTTTTATTGCATTAGGTAAGGCGACTTGTGCCACCAACATTGCTGTAATTATGTATATTATGTAAGCAATGCCGATTTGATCGTAAATGCCAGATCTGAAGCTGCAATTAAAAGTTAAGCGCAGGAAATACTCTGATATTTGAAGCACAAAATATATGAACGAAGCCATCGAAGCGAATTTAATTTTAAAGTTGTCTAGGAATTCTAATTTGTTCACAAGAAAGAAGCATCTGCCTTGGCGTGTAGACTCTAGGAAATGCGAGCTACTAAAGCATTTATTCGATACTGTTACAAATCCAAACATAATAAAACAATAAGGCTCCCGACATTTGTATGTATGTAATTCTTAATCTATGTATGTATGTTTTACATTTCATTCAAATCAAGTAATCCCATGGCGCTCCTCAAGTTGTAGCAGCTATTCGGTTAGCCACTACAAATATTGCCTTATTATATAAATCAAGGCTTGAAATTCTACAATCTCGGATGCTGAAGTACCTATCAGCCGATGTTAGTGAATATTTAATAGAAGCGTAAGTCAGTTATTCACATTTTCTTTTGTACTTGCAGGTGTCTTTGATTGCGACTGCCTTATGTTTTATTTCGCAATTAAGAAACAATTGTATTTTGGTTGATCAAGTCCACACATACAAACATAAGTATACCTCTTTCGTCCGAGAATTCCATCACAACTTTTTCTCTCTCTGCCTCTTCCTCAACGCTTAAGAGTAGTACGCACCACACCCAATGGTACGTAGAAGTCACGTGCGTCGCATAAAAAGAAACGAGTTCGCAACGTGCCCGACCCACTTACCCGTAAGCCCTTTAGCTGCGCCTCCCCACCGTGCTCCACGTGCGAGACGAAGAAACCGGTGCCGTACTCCTTGCCCCCACGCACCGCAAAGCCGAAGGTGGCACTGCGCTCGCCGGGCACGACGAGCAATCGACGCTGGTGGGGTCGGACCAGACGCAGAACGCGCAGACGGGAACTCGCTGGAATGGCACACCAGGAGGAGGCGGCCGTTGTGGTCAGCGTCATCACATCGCTGGAGGCCGAGCTGGTCGTTGAGCCCTGCATGCTGCTGCAGTCGGTCAATGTGCTGGCCACCGTGGACGTGGACGATGGCGCCGTCGTCGACTTTGTCGCCATGTTCGTCGCCATTGTCGAGTTTGTCGTCATCATCATCATCATTGCTGATCCGCTTGATTAGCTGGCTTGCTGAGGCGTCTAGTTCGGCGTGACTGCAGAAGACAAAGTGGAAAGGAGAGGCGTGAGTGAGACGTGAGTGAAGTGGTGAAAGAACTTGAAAAAGCAAATGAGCAGCAGCAGCAACAACAACAACAACAACAATAACAACAGCAGCAGCAACCATGACAGCAAAACTTGAGCCTGGAAATTGGGTCGCACGCATTGGCAGCCTCGGCTGCTTTCACGCACACCAACAACAACAACAACAACAGCAGCAGCAACAGTATGTTACAACAATCTCACAGGCAACGACGGCCACTTGTTGTTGATGTTGTTCCAATTCGATTCGATTCGCCAGCTTAATTGTTGTTGTTGTTGTTGCCTCTGTCACCTGGTTTGTGTCTTGGCTGAACGATTCGCGCATAATTTCACTTTTACACGTAATTCAACGCTTCACTTGCGGCCAAATGAAAAATGGTGCAACAACAATGCAGCGGCAAGCAGCAACAATATTATAGAAATTTATTATTGAAATTATGCTCAACTCTTTCCCGCGTCTTCGCCAGCGTCAACGTCAACGTCAACGTCAACGTCAGTGGCTTGTTGTTTATAAACTTTGTTTGCCTTGCAGACGCCGATTACACAGCACAACACAACACAACACGGCATTTGCAGCTGGACGAGACGAGAGCTCGTTTAAAGTTATCTTTCCCCTAAATGTTTGTGAAGATTAAAATATGACCGAGATTCCACTTATTGCTGCTATGCCAGATAATTGGCTATAACTAACAAGCTGAGCTTTGGTAATTAAGACATTATGTAGAAATGCAAAATTGTAGGGAGTTTCGAAGACAATCTTTTCGAAGGAGCTGTTAAATACTTAAATACTGAATACTACTAGCAGCTACAGCTATCAGATTTGATTTGGAATATGATTTGGAATATGACTAAAACGCACGAGAGCTAACAAAAAATTGTATGCGCTTTTGAAGCGAATGCTATCGAAACAAGTACAGCTGTGCAAGCTATTGTTTTAGTCTTTTGCTTGCATATACTTTATTAGTAAATGTGTCAAATAATTTAACTATTTAAATATATAAAATGAATAAATATTATTAAATATATATTATTAGACTGACAAATTGTTTTGTTCACAGAAATGCAACAAAGCAGTTTAGTAAAGTTGTGAAACATTTGTAGCACAGTGTTGTTGTTGCCTGAAATTTTTCTGCCCACTCTATTGCATCTGCAACGTAGTACAATATATATGTATGTATTTATTATTAGCTCTTGATGGTGATAAATCACTTGATGCACAATATTTCTCCCGCATAATGCCAGTTGGCGTCAAAAGTTCAACCAACTCATACGAAAGACTTAGGCAACGAACTTGCTTCGCCTTGGACTCTTAGGGCACTTTTATACACAAGTAACTAAGTACAAGTATATAGTGCTGATATATAAGATGGAGAAAAGAATTTTGTTGTTAATGGGCGTTACGATTGTGTCGCCGCCGAACAATTGATCGTCAAGTGAAACTTGCAGCTCTTTGTGTTTTACACACGAGTATGCAAGCGCGCGTTCGTTTATCAATTTACCCGGAATATATGTACAAACATATATCTGAATATGTCTAACGAGTCAGTCACGCGCATGTCACGCACACGAAATTCGAGGCAAGCAACAACAACAACAACAACAACAACGCAAACACAGTAGAAACGAGAACAACGCATGGCAATTGAAATACTTGTGTTTAATGGCATTGGCCCCAGCAGGTACGTGCGAGTTCGAGTGTTCAGAAAAACAATGTAAATGCGAACAACAACAACATCAACGCAAGCAACAAAAACAACAACAGCAGCCGCAGCGATCATGCTGGCATCAAGCTGCTGATCATGCTGTTGATTGACGCGTACAGGTTAATAAAAAGGCATGTCAAGATGGATGTTAAAATCAAAGCGAGCAGCCGGACTTGTGGATGGATGCTGGCTGAGCAGTTAAGAAACAGGCAAAGCAAAGCAACACAACACAACACAACAACATCAGGTCAAAATAAAAAATTATCGTACACAGTGAAAGTCACGTTCATGTCCGAAAAAAAGCAAAAATAATTACTACCGCTTCTCTTTTTCTAAAAGCAGCCACAGCGACAACAACTTTAAAAATGGCTTGCAATAAAATTTGTTTATTTTTCTGCAATTTCTTTTCGGCCAGGCAGCAGTAGCAGTAGCAGTAACAGCAACAACTTGACAACTTCTACGGAAATTTCTGCTTGAATTCGTATAATTTAAAATCATCAGCCATGGCCGAGAGCGAAAGAAAGAAAAGAATAACAAGAAAAAATTGCTTCTTTCAATTAAAACGCAAGCACAAGAATTACATATAAAAGATGCTAGAGAGGAAGTGACCAACATACAAAGTGGGACAAATCAGAAAAATATGTCATAAAACGTGTTCACTGGCTCGGCGAGGCTTTGAAAATCGATATCGACTCAGTTATTTCAATGGAATTCAGAACCTATTTCTATGGAATATATTCTTAAATGTGCCTAATAGCCTATCAAGACTATTTATTTGTGTGAAGTCAATTCAACCATCAAAAAGCAAAAGATTCAATGAACAAAATCTATCGAATTCACAGGTTTCCTATAGAAGATTTATAGGATTTATAGGTTTGTGTAAATTGAAGTAAAATACTCTTATTTGGACCAAGGGCGTTTTCAATGCTTCTGTGGTTTTATACTTGTAAAGGGATCTATGCGATTGGCGCAAGGGTTAAGAAGAAGGTAGCTTCCTTATCCTATCTTCAGTCGTACAGTTTTTACCGCCATGCTCGACAATTTATTACCAGATTCCCACTAAAAGTTTTTTTCTAATTTTACTGGACTCAACAGAGACTTGCTAGTTCTGCAAGCAAATGATATGCTAAAGTGTGCTTTGAACTTAAGGTTTTCCTACACAAGATATGTCAGGTTTTTACTGCCATTATTGATGCTCTTTCAAGAATCTTAAATGGTAAACAGCATATAACATCTTGTCAAGTGTGTATTGTTCATATTTTGGCAATATTATTTATCTCTTAAAAGCATATGGTGTTTACCAGAAATTTGCGGATAGATACTAGCAGAGAATTAAGCACAGACTTGTTTATTTATTAAAAGCTGTTAAAATTTTTATAAACAAGGCTGTTTTGGGACAAAACAAATACATTCTTTGCGTCAAAACTGGCTTAACGAAAGGGATATGGATTATGTTTATTGTATCGTGCTCCAAATTTCCGGGTTCTTGACGTTGGAAAAGTTGAAGTTGAAAAGAAAAAATGTCAACATGCCAGGGCATAGCTAAAGAATTTTCGATTTCGATTTTCCTCGCTGCATGTCAGTGACAGACTGGGATGTGTTTAACGGAATTGTCGCATCCAAACTACTGATATACAAGCTCTAGTAAGTATAATATGCTAAATAAAGTAATCAGATCTTATCACATAGGGTGGGTAATGCTCGTCAATATATAAGATGCTTAATCGTACATACTAATATAATGTAGATTTTAAGCACAGTTCTTAGAGCTAGTTAGTTATTCAATTGTTGGGTTTAGATTTGTAGTGAATTTGAGAAAAATATGTACATCAAATAAACATGCCCACTGTGCCGATCCGCCGGCCAACGGCCAACCGAGTGTCAACGCAGAATTGGCGCTAGCTGTGGAGTGGTTGGCGGGGCGGGGCGAGGCGAGGCGGCGTGGAGCAGGAAACGCACGCAGGCCAACTCATTAGAACTAATTGCCTAATTGTTGGGCAGCAACTCGTGGGCCAGTCATGCGCATGGCCGGCAGCTGGATCCGGGGCCGCGGTTACGGGTGAAAGGTGAGTGCGAGGGGCGGACAAAATGTTGCCTTTTTCATTTGAAGTGTGTGTATTAATGTAGCACTTGTAGGTACCTTCAACTCTGGATTTAACTTGGCTGGCTTTTGTTTTGCTTCAGTTTTGTTTTGTTTTGCTTTCATTTGAATGTTTTTCTGCCCATTTTGGGCGTTTTTCTTTTACTTTTCTCTTATGTTTTGCTTGCAAAGCCTCTTGCTGTTACTGCGCTGCTGCTGCTGCTACTGCTTTAGTTTTTGTTGTTTTGGTTAATTTTTTGTGGCAATAATGGTGGGGGAAGCAAACTTAATTGTAACTACAAAATAATTCGTTGTGCCACAACCGCAAATATTGTTATGTATTATCATCATCGTGATTGTTACTATTGCTATTACGAAGCTGATTGTGATTGTTATTAACGGCTTGAATGCTGTGGCTGTGGCTGCGACCGCGGCTCTGTCTGTGTCTGGCCGGGCAGGTGCCTGGCATTGCTTTTGATTTATGGATGATGGCCAAAAAACTGATAGTTGACAGCTACGGAGGCTGCCGGAGGGCAAAGAAAGCATTTTGGCAAGGCTGGTACATTTAATTTTGATAGATCGTGTGAATGCCGTGAGCGAGTGCTTGAGCGAATAATTTCAATTGATTTATCATCCTGTCGCCTGTCCGCTTTGCCTTTATATCAGATACCCATCGCAGACACGATCAGGCCTCCACAAGTTATATTTTCATTGATTAATACGCGCTCCTATGTAATCAACGTTTGTCTATATACCAGAAAATTATCCATTGGACAAATCTGTTACTGGTTGCTTATATCACTTACAATCAAATACCACTTTATCCATTTGTACAACGCAATTGATCTAAATGGATGAGCGATGTATAACAATATTGTGCGTATTATTTAACTGGAATAACTGGATAAATGTAGTAGGGATATGGATTTCTCCATAACATATAACATCACTGATTTAAGAGAGCTCTACGGAGGGAACAAGCTTACAGATACGCCCATAAATAAGTGCTTCATACTTTGTTGGAGATTTTCTGCAAGAATATAACTTTTCACACCACATTTACTGTAACAATATATAGACATATCTATGCTTTTAAATTCGCCAAAATGATCCTATCATAAGTATCTAAAAC